TTATTCCGCTTAGCAGAGGACATGCTTGTGATTGCCTGCTCGGGTGTAGCTGTGTTGCTATACCTTCTTCTAATACCACCACTACAAATTACTAGATACGGAGATGTGAAGTAGCGTAGCAAGCATAGGGAAAGAACATTGTTTGAGCAGGGGAGAGACTCTTGATTATCTACATAGGTACTTGGTCTCGTAGCGTAGTGAGCTGAGCTGAGTTGAGCTGAGCTGAGCTATGTAAAACTCTACCTAGATACCTGCCACTTCGCTTATAGCGGATTAACGGGATGATATACATGCAGACGTGAAAATAAAAGTAAAGACACGAGGTAATAGAGCTGTCTGAAATGTAGCTAGTGAAATTGCATATAAAGGTATAGTTCGATAGCTGAAGATGAATGACTTAGGTACCTAGGAGGTAGTTATCATTGTATCATAAGGAGCCCCTTTACTAGAACAACATCTCGTACCTATTCCCCTTTATGATTTTCTAGGTGGTACCTCGGGGATTGAAGGAATAGGGGTCGGAGGATAAGTGATTAATCTCAGATATGTACTCAGCAAATAGATGGATTAGTGAATTATAGCAAGGAAACGATAAAGAAGGTATGCTACTATCAAGTGTTTATTATGAAAAACTGCCAGGCGATTATGGGAAATCATTAAGGCACATAGTTTTAAAGCTACGAGCTATCTTCTTGGGAGACATGTACATGAGAATCTCAGTTACTGCAACGCGTAACGAGTCCATTACGTAGGTCTTCAATACAGTCAACAAAGCCAAAGTCAAAGCAACACCTAACGAAACACCTATGCTACATGAGCCGCCGACTATGGCGATTGCAAATGCTTTACCGCAACACAAATTCCAGATGGGGTATCAATCCATACTCCGTTCAATAATGCATGTACCAGCCCAATAAGGCTGTCATCCTGAAAACTTTTCCAGATCCATATGCGTAGTTCGAAAAACCCCTTTTCCGTAAAAACAACTGACTGCTGAGAAATGATGCTGTTGTGATGGATTAATAAAAGCCACCTCCGCGACGACGACGATCATGTCGGTTGCGAGGAGTCCAGCCCGGGTCGAAACCGCCTCGGCCGTGACCACGTCCGTGGCCTGGACCATGACCATGGCCACGAGGTCCCCTAGGGCCGCGGGGCTCATGACGTCGGTCTTCACGAGAGTCCGGAATCGGTTCCTCGATTTCTTCTTCCCATTCTTCCCACTCATCCTTGGTGTGCTCGTCGTAGACTTTCTTCTCTCGTACTGCTTCATCGGCGTCAAAGACGAATCGCGTCGTACCCCCGTCAGGTCCCTTAGGTCCACGCTTAACAGTACTAGTTCCCGCGGCGGAAGGTGTGCTTAGTGACATAGGTGAACCTGTCGATGGTGTAGGGGGGAGCACGATAGATTCGCACTCTCTGCATTGGTTCAGGTAGCGTAAGAGGCCAGCGCGCTCAACAAACTGGTTGATACTGATCTGAGTGTCGATAAAGACTTGCAGGTCAAATATGGGACCGACTTTAGTGACCTTGCCATGTTGTGTGTAAAGGTCAAGAAGATCGAGCATCACCTCAGCTACACACTGCTCGTCTGTGTGCCAATCAAGCGGATCAAGTGTTTGGAAGTCGTCCACGAATCGACCGGTGATCATCGCGGTAAGTTGCGCGACTACAAGGGCACAAGTATATGAGCTGTGCTTTAGAGGTGCATAGGTTTTGTATAGGTCAATAGACATCTTCATAGCAGTCGGGAAGAAGCTTGTGAGGTCAGCTGATTTTCCAAGGACCTTTTTTACGATCTTGGCAAGAATCTTCTGGGGATAGCGGACGCGGAAATCGAAATTAATGGCCTCAACCATATATCGCTCAATGCCGATGATCACCTTGGATGGTTGATCAAAAATCTGTTTTTCGTTTAGCTTATATACATAAAATAAACATATTAATAAACGACTTACCTTGTCGTCTTGCGTAGTTGGATGATCTGAATTCTTAAGGTTGTGATGGGCACACAGAACCTCGCGAGACTTCTTCAGTGTGTCTTCAACCTTGCATGCTACAAATAGAGACGCCAGAGCGGCATCGGTGTAATTGTAATCATGAGTAGGATGTTCTAGGCGGAAGCGATGGTAGAAAGTACACGCGGCATTATAGGTTTTGACTGGTCTAAAAGCAAATGATGATTAATATCATAAATCTCAGATGGGGTAGCGAGGTAACTTACAGTAGAAGTGCTTCTCGGGTAGATTCGATCACCTGAACACCTTGAAGGCGGTAGTTAGCCTCCCTAGCAGCATCCAGTCGCTTCTCGACGAACATGCGGCGAATATGGCACTCGCAAATATATTGATGGCCGACTTTGATAGTTCCTAAGTGCGGGCCAGCAATAATTGCGTGAGGCTCAGTGGTCCCGTTCTTTGCGATGTGATTCGGTGCCATCTCTTCGGTGGTGCTCAATACCAAAGTCTTCGTGTTGCTTGATTTGTTTGTAAAGGTCGATCCTCCTAGTTCGTTGAATAAGGTACAGTGCTGTCGCTGGTAGCTGCGGGTGTGGGAAGCTACGCTGATAGCGTACGAGCTGGGTGTAATAGTAGCGTCCGAATCTTCGGAAGTGTCTGAGTCGTACGAATCATCAGGGTCGTCCGATTCGCCGAAACGGTCCTCTCTTCGATCAACAACGTGGGAAAATCCACGAGCTTTGGGCGAAACAAAGGGATCGTACTGCCCGCTTCCGCGAAATGGAGCAGTATTTCGACCGGTGTTCTGAGCTGCCGAGAAAACAAAATTCTTCGGAAGAGAGGGCGAATTCAGTACATCAAATTCGAAATCGGTATAGCTTCTGGTATGGTGTTCGTAAGAGTTCCATAAACCGCGGGGGGTAGTGGCTGTTGCAACTTGAGGACTGTGGACGTAGTTGTATTGGGAATGAGGATCTGGAGGGCCGATAGATTGAAATGCGCTATGATTGAAGCTCAACCTTGAACCTGGAGGGCTCTGGCTCTTATCGGCTTTAGAATTAATCCGCCCCATTATTTCCATTGACCGCCCTCGGAGTGGGGTGACAGGAAGAGCCGGTCCGGTCCGTGCGGAGGTCCGTGCCGGAGTTATATCGGCACGGTCCATATTTCCGTTGTCCGGCTTTGACAAATCCTTGATTGGTTCCATCGTTTCTTAACAACTTCAATAAAAGCCGGTGCAACAGAAGGAAGACAAATCTTCAATGATGTTTTAAGAAAACGCAACCCTTCAATAGCATGAAAGGCTAAAGGATCTTGATGATTTTGTGGTAAGCAATGATGAGTATGCAACTGACAAAGTGTTGCTAGTAATGGGGTCTTGAATGCAAGAGTTGCTTGTTTTAAATGGCATAAAATATTTTGGGTAGGATAAGAGGCATGATTGATTTATCAAAGATCAATCAAAGTGCCACTAAAAATTAAGATGTGAAGCCATCGTCGTTCTATGTACAAGGTACAGCATGAGTTTGTAGCCTAGAGACCTAAAGGTCAGTTGGGGATGTACTGAATGACTGACTTACAAGCTTTGACCAATGAGAACCTTGGAAGCTTGGCCTGTAACTACCTAGGAGAGGGTCAGCAGGTTCATAGGTAGTAGTTGCAACTATGGCACAGCCACTTCCATTCCTCGTGTTTTAGCATTCAACTTCTATTAAATTAGGTGCTTTAACTTAGCCAGGTACCTATTCGAATTCCATCAGAACATCATCAAGTTCATAATATCCATTCATCCATAATACACACATAATACGCATAATAGATGCGCATTACTACCGAAAACATGACTCTATTACAGAGACTACCAGTGTTCCTTACTCTTACATCTACTCTACGTGTTGTCCTAGGTAACCCCACGACTTTCAATCCGATTTCCACCGTTGCCGATGATGAGGATGACACGCCTCTACCAGTCGTGATTTGGCATGGCCTCGGCGATACCTTCTCAGCCGAGGGTCTACAGTCCGTCGGTGGATTAGTCGAGAAGATCAACCCAGGCACATTCGTCTACTACGTGCGCCTCGACGAGAGCCCCTCCAACGACCGCACTGCGACCTTCTACGGCAATGTGACAGACCAAGTCGCGAAGGTATGCGAAGATCTTGCCGCGCATCCCATCCTCTCGACTGCACCCGCTATCGACGCCATTGGCTTTAGCCAGGGTGGTCAATTTCTACGGGCCTATGTCGAGCGCTGCAACTTCCCGCCGGTTCGGACGCTCGTTACCTTCGGAAGCCAGCACAACGGCATCGTCGACTACAAAGCCTGTTCGGCTGCCGATTGGTTATGTAAGGGTGCTATGGCGTTACTACATGGAAATACATGGAGCTCGTGGGTACAGAGCCGGCTCGTCCCCGCGCAGTACTTCCGCGACCCCAACGATTTAGATAACTACCTCGAGTACTCCAACTTCCTAGCGGACATCAACAACGAGCGAGAAAAGAAAAACGAGACCTACGCTAAGAATATTGCGAACCTTGAGAACTTTGTACTATATGTCTTTGAAGACGACACGACTGTCATCCCGAAGGAGACGAGCTGGTTCGAAGAGGTCAATGGTACTGAGGTTACGCCACTGAGGGCTCGAAAAATGTATACTGAAGATTGGATTGGGTTGAGGGCTCTTGATAGGAAGGGAGGATTAAAGTTCAAGACCACTCCAGGCGAACACATGCAGATATCGGATGATGTGCTAGAAGGTGCTTTTAGCGAGTTCTTCGGTCCCTTCAAGAGTAGCGCTCCGAAGGATGACCAAGAATCGGATGAGCTGTAATTATTGAGCACGTGTATATTCAGTGTATAAACTAAGAGTTAGGATCAGGCACAAGGGGTATCGACTTGTTTTTTTAAATCGAGGATTCATGCTATGAGCTTTTATACCTAATCCCGCCGTACGCCGTCAAATCGTGCTTTAAAGCTTAAGATGCAAATAGAGCCCAACTCCTATTGTCACTTGTACACATATGATTGACTTGATATATAACCTTAGACCTCCAAAGCCTTCTTCGCAGCTTTCTTTTGTTTCTTCAGTGCTGCTTTTCGATCTGCAATCTCCTTGTCCAATTTCGCATCATCACTGTCAGGCAACTTCTTCGTCTTCTTGGACTTCTTCGTTACAGGTTCAGCCTCCTCAGGCTGTCCTTCGAGCGACTTTCGCTTCCTCCCTATATTCGCCTTTTCTGAGGGGAGGATGGCCTTGGCCTCCTCTGAGCCGTCAGCTACAATGTCCTTATGGTCGAGCCACAGCTCGTCCGTTAGCCAGATAGGCAAGGCAGCGGTTTCAGGGCCCTTAATATAGATGCCTCGAACATTCTTCCACTTTCCTGGCACGAATTTTTCTACTAGATTCTTCGCAACCACCTCGACGTTCTCCGCGATCTGCTCGGCGGTCAAGCTGGCATTTCCGATACGGATAGCGGTATTAACCGTAGGTGATAGGTTAACAAGCGCCGCGCTAGAAGCTCTTTCTATTTCCCCTGCTAATTGTATAGGAGTAGCCGTGTTCGGATTCTCTGCATCCTTTGTGCGCTTCACCCTCTTTCCGTCACTCTTCGGCACGCGAGCCTGTATTTCAACGGGAATTGGGCGCTTGGCTGTCGTCCCGTAGAAAGTCTTTCCTAAGATTCCCGGTAACCTGTTGATAATCCGTGTATCACCGAGGAAGATATCATGCTCATTGAAAAGCTTGCGCTGCGCTTCGTACGCCTTGAATTTTGCTTTTAGCTTGGATACGTCTATAACTCGCGTTACGCGCTTTCGCAGCTCTGCAGGGAACTCGTCAGAGGCAACCAGATTTTTATATGCGCGCTGGGGCTCCGCAGTTATCAGGCAGATAGTCGCCTCGGAGTCAGTGTTCAGAGGGTGTGGAACAACGATCTTGCCTGGTTTAAGGCGTCGAGAGTCGGCAATATGTCGCTTTGTAGTCAGGGTGAGCCATATCGGTACCTCTTTGCTAGCTTCTTCAGGGTCGGCTAAGAGATTTCTCTTCTCGGAATTGGCAGCTTCCTTAGATGCTTTCTTCATATGCGCCAGCAACGCCTTGGAAGCTTTCAGACTCTATACAGAGAGGATTAGAATAAGGCATGAGTATAGGGAATAGAAAGGAACAAACCTGGTTTGGGTCTACAAGAGAGACCGCAGTCTCGCTCCGCAGAGTAACAGTCTTTGAAGAGGCCATTGTGCAGCACAATGAGATTGATAAAATGAAATATTGTTATTCGTGAAACCTCGTGAAGTGAAGCCGCAAATCGATATTTTTTTTTAGCTGCAGGGACGTGGGGCTAGAAAATCTAGATTGGTCCAAGCGTCTGTAAGAAAGCTTTTATTCACTGAACTGGACCCACTGAAGTATTTTATGTACAAACAGGTACATAAGCCCTCCACTGGCCAATCACCTCAGCAGCTTTTACTAACTGATATCCTTTTTTAGACATTACTAGTTTAGATCAAATAGTCTATGTCAAGCTTACAGAATCTCAAAGCGCAAGGTCAAGTCTTATACATGAGATTTTAGTCAATGAAAATATCATTTTGTTGAAGTTTAGTTGTTTATTTACCACTAATTACGCTAACTATTAATAGTGGTATCATCGGCTTGCTGCTTAACTGCCCAAAGTCTCGATGGTTAGCGCAATTACTCATATTTATGGTAATATTGCAAGTCGTCAACAATCCATAATTATAAGTGATATTGCAGGCACAATTGCTATTTCTATAAATTGTATACGGAAATAAGCCGTAAATAACTATTCAACAAAGTATAAATACATGTAAACTTATTCGAAGATGGAAGTGCCATGTACCTAAGGGAAGACCGTATAATATTGAATAAGGGTTATTTATTATTTACGATCTTATTATCCAATAAAATGGAACTGCTCCAGCTTAAGTGAGAACTCGGTCTCCACCGCAATGGTTGCTTTTGAAGAAAACTTATCTTATCCCACAACAACGCAGCAGTGATCTGAGATTGCCGGACTTGTAGCCATGAGTGGCCGCCATATCCGAAGACGGAGGAGATTTCGGTTATCGGGCACGTCGAAGCATAACTAAAGCGCTATCGTTACTATTTACTAAATTCAGGTTTAAGAGTTCTTTATATGGCCGGATCTCCCGGTTCATCGTTGATCATGACGTGTAGGGAAAACGCTCGGACTTTTGCTATCGTCAGATTTTACACGATCTACGATGATGAAACAAACTCGAAAATCTGGGGTAAACGCGGACATAGACGTATACAAATCTAGCTTCAAGTTACTTAACTACAAAAACAAAAATGCTAGTTGAATTGAGAAGCGTATGATATTCTAGACTATTATGTTAATCTTGGTTCCCTTCTGCAAGATCTTGGGTCTCAAGAATCCAACGTTAAGGTGATCTACACCGCTATATAAGAATTTAAAAGAATTCTCAGCTTGAAACGAAAACAAGTACCGAACAAGGATAATAAACATCACTCGGAGAATTTTACAGTTTTCTCTCCTTTATGCAGTCAGATTATTAGAATATTCCGAGCTTAACAGGGAAGATCTTTATCGTCAACATGGCCCGAGCGCTCTATTGAAACGTTGGTGTGGTAGCAGAACTGAGCTCCTTTAGTTTCACAAGTTTCGTTGATCTAATGCTCAACTAATCTGATCTGCGCTCATCATCCAATACAAAACGAGAGGTATGAAATGTCATCCTAATCTTAATACATCGCAATATGTGTCACGTATCAAGCTAATTACGATGACAATCTGTTAGTCACATTCGCAGACTGACGGAACGGACGGCGCAGGTGATGATTAAGAAGTAACCCAAGAAATCCAGCCTTGTTTACATAGAAGGAAGTATATATCCGTGTTCAGTACTAAGGGATTCAAAAGAAATCTACCTCTTAAAAAGAATGCCAGGATATAAAATCGACGAAATTGGACAATTATAACCATAGCCCCTTGCCTTTCGGAATCTTACGTACGCCATGTTAGAAATATTAATCCTTCACCATGTTTTCCCAGCTGCCACAAAAGGCAGGACGAGCGCTAGAAATAGACGTACAGCTAAAACATAGATACCTAATTTAAGCTATCGCGCCACAGCATCGCCGTAAATTTTGTAGTTCACAATATTATACATAAAATACTGATCAACTTAGAGAATTTCTTAGTTGGCATTACATAAACGGATGCATAGTAGTATTCGTATTGAGCGACAATAGATGCTATGCAGTACGATATAAAACAAATACCTAGCTACCAGGGTTGAAGTGGCATATCATTGCCAAGCCGGATGAGAGGCTTAATTGATAGGTAGAACACCGCATTTAAGTATCACAATATTAGCTACCCTGAACTGAAAAAATGTTTATGACAGGGGCTTGATAATTATGTACCTATCTTAGCTGCTATAGAAATAATGGAATAACTACGTAGAACTCGAAACTTCGACATGTCTCCTCATAAGTCTTAGAACATGTATTTAGATCCTTTCTTACCTATTTTCTAATATATTTCCTAATTCTGTCAGGACTAACAGACAAAATCTCGGCCGACAAGAGCTTTGAAATCCAAAACTTGGCTGCAGGGATACCTACATGATGCTTAACTGACGAAGTACCGCGTCCCGCATTAAATACCTACGTTCCCTCGCTGGCAGCAATAATTTCTTCCAAGTATCAGACCATTGCCCACATCTTTAAGGTAGTTAGTTCCAAGGTGACATGGGAGCTACGGACTATGTATTTAGGCCCCTGTAAGTAGTATGTGTTAGATTCGTCTTGTGATCGCGGCTTAATAGTGTTATGGGTACTTATCGAACCGATGTATCTATGCTTGCGGGCTGGCGAGCTAGAAAGATCTAGTGTTCGGATTGTCCCCTTTTTTGAGATAACACCCGGTCAATGCTAGAGATAGGTGACGTTGATGGTTGTTAATCCACCCCAAATTTCGAAAAGATTAGCTAGCTCATCAAACAAGATCGCTGGATTTTCGAGAGGAACACCAACCCAACGGTAAGCAAAGGTCACCCACACAGCTTACGTTCCTACGTACTTTATCTGGCAGCATTGGAGGTGCTGTGCCTTTCCCCTACCAGGGCTAGATCAGGCTTAACAGCTTGTCAACCTGGAAACATATTGCAGGTGTATGCTGCAGTGCGACTCTAAGCTTAATCGTCCAGTGAATGTTGGTTAGCAAGTTGATTGGGCCGTGCGAGCTTACAATCGAAAGTAGAATAGCTCATACGAGCTTGTTTAAACGATGTACTATAGTAAGCAAGGGATACCCCTGTTGACCCTTTCCGCATTTTCTACGATGAAGATACATACCTACGTATGATCGATTGCTCACAGGTACAAATAAGATGGTGCCCTGGTATAGACGGAATATGCACGTGTAGGCGGGGAAGTTGGCCAAGAAACAAGGGGACGTTACAAAAGGGGAGATTGGCGGTACCGGGGTAGACCATGCTAGCTTTTCCAGAGACAGATTTCATATGGGCAGGTCGACGGAAAATCGACCATCTCGAGCATAGCATTGCGCAAGCAGAGAAGAAAGCTAGCTTCGCCAAACGATCAGTGCGAGACCCGTTTTGCTGACCTTGCGAAAGGAGGCGTACACACATACATACATACAAGTAGGAGAGTGGCACCTTACGAGCTTCTGTATTCGAACTTCTTTATTTACATATATGTATTCGACCGACGACAACAAGCCGTGTGGATCCTCGCCCGTAATTTAAATCTCATCCTAAAGGCGAAAAAGAGCCCTTGTCGGCTTGGGGTGCTTCCGGTTGTGTCCGTGACGACAGGCTTGCTCCTTATTATAGGTTTCGTCCGTTTATGTGAACCAAACTTTTCCGGGTGTGTGAGAGAAGCCATCCTTCGAGCCCCCACCTTACCGCTATTCCCGACTGTCACCTCTTTATCGTGAGCAATAAATATATGTGACCGACGCCTTGCGCTCTTGGAGGGAAAAGAATATTGAATTTGTGGATGACCGCGGGTCAACACCACAATGGAGTCACTGTGGGTGTTTTCCCATCAAAGTTCTACTGATCACTTTTTTCAAGCATCAGAAACACTGACCTGGATGATTCAAAGATCTATCACGCCCGATTGTATTACACTTAGTAATACCATCATCACAGCTAACACTATACTAAATGGATTCGTGCGTGAGGTACGGGAGGCGCGATCCGATGTGGACGGAGTATCGCGCGAGTTGCACTCGCTGCAAAGTGTCTTGGACCTCCTAAATGAGGATGCTGGTCTATTCCCTCCGGAGTTGGCAGAACGGATTCCTGCTGTGCTCGAGCACTGTTCTAGACTGATCAACGAACTGGACACGAGTATATCTAGCCTTAACAGTAATGAGCTATCGCGGCAAAACAAAAGATCCCAGTGGCTGGCTACTGGGAGACAAGAAGTTGCGAGATTTAGAACTGCTTTAGAGGCGCATAAAGCTGTCCTAGGTCTTGCCTTGGATTTAGCCGGGGCGTGAGTATAACGTATCTCATAAGTAAATGCGTATCTAATAAGGATTGACAGAACTACAATTCGGGATGTTACCTCAGACGTAGAGCCTAATAGGAGAAATACGATAGAGAGACACCAAAACAGCGCTGCCGTTATGGAGGATGTCTCACGAGTCCTGGTCGAGATGAACCAATTACGGATGCGATTACCAGGGGAGTTCGAGAAGAGCGAGACGGAATTCAGCCTTTATGACTATATGACCTGCTTAAAGTCGTACGCCGAAAAGATCATTAGTGTCAAGGAGAGTGAGCATGAGGTTGAGCAGAGCATCAAAGAAGTCAACGAAACGGCGAATCAAGGTGCATTTGTAGGCGATCAAAAACTATTTGGAGCTTACATCGGAGACAAGCCGGACAGCGCGATCGATGTTAGCGTTGAGTCGGCATCTAAATCACGCAACGATGTGCAAGCAGACCTCGAAGACGAGAAGATTCCCACCATCGAAGAATTAATGGCTAGCTTCGTGGGCATCCCCAGCCGAGCACCGACTCCGCCACCAAAGGATAGCAAGAGACGCGAGCTTGCCCGAAGTCTTATGGTTTCTCCATTTGAGGCCACTTCAGATCATCCGGATAACTCTTACGGTTTCGTTACTGAGATTGTTGCTCAAGGACCGCTAGCAGAGTCGCCGCCCTCCATAACGAAAAGCAGAGGGTTTGGGAAATTTTTTGCGCCTCTTAAGCATGCGATTTCAGAGGCCAGACCTCAAACACGATCAACGACTTCGACTAACGCCACGGATATACAACCCGCGACTCCAATTATTCAAGCCAGCCTTGTTAGAAGGGGCAGTCATAGATTATCAGTATCTTTTAAGAAGTTGCCAATGTGGAACTCAGAACTGATCATGAAAGAGCCCGAAGACACAACCCCCAACGCGGTCTTCGGCGTCCCGCTTCAGAAAAGTATGCAGATTGCTAAAGGAACCTCTAAGACTCACCACTCGGGCCACGGAGGGTCATCACGGCGAGATTTCCCTCTGTGTATGCAAAAGTGCTGCTTCTTTTTGAAGAACGAAGGTGTCGAAGCTCCAGATATCTTTTCCGAGCCGGGTGATAGCTACAGGGTGCAGAAGTTGAAGGATATCTTCAGTAGTGGTCCGACATATGGCGAGGATGTCAACTGGACCAATTTTGGTGTATACGATGCCGCGGATCTTATTCTACTCTTCCTCTCGCAACTCCCGAAACCACTGATCACAGAGAATATAGCTAAACAATGGATCGCGCTCTCGAGACAGGCAATGCTCTCGGGATCTCATAGTACCCGACTTGATCAATGTATTGATTTCTGGGAGGAAGCACTCGGCGGCCTTCGAGGACCAAGCCGTACTCTGTTCAAGTTGCTCCTTAACCTATGGGCTGATATTGCACAAGCAGAAGAGAAGAACGATATGACAGCCGAACGACTAGCCGGTGTTCTTATCAAGCCCCTAATGCACATCACATCTACGAAATACGAAACTGACTTCATGCTATCGCTCGCTTTCCTTATCCGGAGGAGAGTGGAATATACCGAGTTGCTGAAGAAAGACCAAGCAGACGTCAAGAGGATTAGCAGGGCGGCATGGTAATGCAGCAACTGATTTTCTATCTTGACATGGGCGTTCTAAGCGTATTGAATTTCGCTTTACGGCTCTTTTCTTGATTTCCATCACGACTTTTTCTAACAGTTCGCCTACTCGATATTGAATATTTCGCATAGGAAGATACCCGGCGCAATTTTTTTTATTTTATATAGTTAACCTATATTTCAAGTCGCCTTACAATTTATTTTGTCTCGTATTGAAGCAGGGCCTTCGAGACATCGGCCAAATTACATAATTATAAAGAACAAAGAAGCTTGAAGAAATTTCGGCTGCAGCAGTGGAGAGACGGTGGAGACGCGCCTTGCTACTAGGCAAGGAGGAGAGGGGGAGGGGGAGGGGGAGGCTGGGATGATACATGATACCTAAGACATACATATGATATCAACTATATACTTTTTTTTTTTAAAAAAAACTCGACAAACAAGCACAGATTTTTCCATCTCAAGTGGGGAATCTTATATATTTTGTCAAAGACGACGCTGTCTTGTGGGTTTGCTGGATTTCAAACATGTCTGTTGATACTACCAAGCGAGCTAGCTAGCTGTGAGACGATTCTTCTTGATGTAGTTTCATGTCAAGTTGTTCATGAAGAACATAACATAGAATAAGATTAAAATAAATAAAATCTTTAGTATTAAACAAAATGAATGTAAGCTATGCAGTAAGATGAAGTTGGCCAATTGTCAACGAGAGAACCCGAGTATGGTCAGATGAATCTACTAATGTAGTTGCTGACTCGATTTGAATAACTATTGTAAAAGCATATCTGATGTATGTTGCGAGTTCGCTGTTAGGAATAAGGCGTATTTTACTTAGCACGAGGTTGTCCTCACTAGACGTCATTCAATATCTAGTCTAAGCTACCTATGCTACACGGCTATCACTTATATATAATTATTCTTCCTACTAGACATATGCTGATGTACTTATACGAATCTACCTAACGGTATATGCATTCATAGGTAATCAAAGCATTCATGCAGCGGTGAGGTGTTTGTGCTAGGACGCCTAACACCCGAAACCTGCTGATGATGCAGTAATCACGGAGGTTGGCTAGCCCAGCCCGGCTCTGAGAGGTCGGTTGAACACTTGACGGCTAAAACATGCAGTAGCAAGTTAGGTAAATGTAATTGATGAGGCAACAGGCAACCGCGACTTGCAGGTTTGCAGGTAGGTAGGTAGTTTAGTAATGAGGAGAAACCGCGTCGAGCGCCTACACGGGCTAATCAGCTAGGTTAGTACTTGTACCCGACATACCTACCTAATCCCTAATCTACCTACCTACAGAAGGTAAAAGCAATCACGTTAGAGTGGATCCCCACACGTCAAAATTCCTTAAAGAATAATTAAAGTGTAAGAAAAATGCTTGGGTCTTCCCCCAGCCACGAAACTCTTCTCACTTCAACCTTCCATTAGATCGGACCTCTCTTCGCCAGGCCAGACCAAGCGACCCGGTCTAGATTTTGGTCCTTGATCAGACGAAAAAACTTAAAAACCTTTAAATTGCAATTCTCTACTATACGGGTTTACTCTGTATCAATTCATTGTCAAACACAATTCGTCAGCGGAGAAAAGAAAAGGCACGGTGCAGGGCTCGGACACGGAGCCGGGTTAGATCTTGTGTAAGTGGATTTAAGTTAAGTGGAGAGGGGGGAAAACCCAGCTAAAAAAAGAGCGTGTAGTGAACGCGCACCGCGACTCCAGGTTCCATCTTAAAGACGCGCAGAGAACCCACATCTTTTTGGGCAGGGCGTACCGTGATACAGCACAGTCAATTTTCTTCTCCCAAATCTCAAATCTCAAATCTCAAATCCCTTAACCCCCTTCCTTATCCAATCCGACTTTTTATCTTTCAACACATTCATTCCATCATTACAGTTCCGCTATTTTATTTCTCTTGCCATGCATTCTTGACCTTTCATCATGACATCCTCACCCGTCAAGATTATGGATCCAGCGGATAGAGCCACAGCAGAGGAGCCCACGCTCCCCCCTGCGTCTGCCTCTATCTCGCCCAGCAAGAAACGTCCTGCACCTTCTTTGCTCCCACCATTCGAGCCCCTCTCGTCTTCGCCTGGCTTTCCGAGACCTATGAAGAGACTAGCTCGGGATAAGCTCGTCGACTCGAACCCGTTCTTCAAATATCCCACGCCAATTCCAACCTCAAGTACCGGTATACTGTCATCATCTCCCCCACGCGTATCATCCTCTAGACCTGGACTCGAGCGTGCGGAATCTGTATCAGAACGAACACCACTGTCTGCTGTACGATCTGTCGAACTTAACGAGAACGGAGATACGCTTCTGATGGGTCGGTCGAGTAATTCTTCTCACTACCAATTGTCAGCCAATCGTCTCATATCCCGTATCCATATCAAAGCACGATATGTTCCGGCTGTAGACCCCTTAGAGCCAAACAGGGTAGAAATTATTTGCAATGGTTGGAATGGAATAAAACTTCATTGTCAGGGGCGAACTTGGGAGTTAGGAAAAGGGGATACCTTTACCTCTGAAACTGAAAACGCTGAGATCATGTTGGATGTACAGGACGCGAGGGTTATGTTGCATTGGCCTAAGAAGAATCGGCATGAACCCATTGCAGCCTTGTCAGACTCATCTTGGGAAGAGTCGCCATGCTCTAGACATCGTCGTAATGACTCTAGTTCGGACTTCTTGCAGTCGAGTCCCCTTCGACGACAGACGCGTATCAGATCCCCTGAATCGCCTTCTCCACATAATTCTTCTAGCAACTTAGACACGCTGCTACTAGCTGAAGATGCAAGCGAGCCTGTCCAGATATATGAGGATGGTAGTTCAGACGAGCAAGAGCTCCCTAAGCAGACATCCGATGTGGATGTATCGTTTGCCCAGACAGAAGTTACCAACAGTTTCTCTAGTGATCTTAGTGATCCTGATGACGATGACCCTGATGAGGAGAACGATCCTATTGTACACTCGTTTGGACCGTTTGGAGCTAACCTCTCCAATCGTCTGGCTGCATTCACAGCAGAATCACCAAAGCAGTCGTCCCACGTTTTATCAGGTGATACAACAGCTAAGCCGTCATCGGAGCCGGAAGAGAAAGCTACCGTTAGCAGTCGTGTTAATGTAGGAGTTGTCAAAAATCATGTCGTCAATCAGTTGGCCTACTCTCGCTTATCATCCACCCCCTTGTCTACTATACTAAGTCTCCTTCCTGCTGAAGAGAAAAGAGACCTGACCAAGGCTGCACTGCGTGAAATCATCGAGTCAACGCCTTGCATTGGCGTCATTCCCCGTCAGGGAAAGGATGCGGCCGGCAAGCCGCTCGAGAGCCAATATTATTATGACCCCGACCATGACGATGACGATTCGCGACGGATTGCCGTGACCCAAGGCTTACGAAAACCAGGTTTGAGAGGTTGTCGGAAGCAGCACAAGGTAACCATTTTATGAAATCCTATAACATCAGACTGCAAATACTAACTGTGTTTAGCAATACTATTGGAAGCCGCCCAAGGCTTCCTAGACGCCTAAACAGCAGGCTGTCTCGACCTGTGCTCGATTCCTTTGGGTTTTATTCAGTGCTTCATATTACTGAAGTGGACCTTTTTCGTGGATAATATAGAACTTCGTGTTCTCTTTCACTGTTTGTTATTGGCGTTGGCAATTGCGTCAGCATCGTTGCCACACCCCCCGTGCATAGCTGGAGGCGTTGGATGGCTCATTTTTATGATTTTTTATTGGAGTTTAGGACGTTTCGATGATATCCCGCTACACTGGTTCATAGTGGTATATGAGGAAGATGCGATTAGGATGACGTGACGAGTCACCGACGGCACCTCGCTGGTTAAGATATACGGTTGGGGGGGAAGGGGATGAGGTTTGAGATTGCACAAGTTGCGGACACTCATTACCTGTGTACATAAGGAGGCAATGGAGAAACGGTATTTTGATTTCTTTTCGATTAGATCTTCCCTACTTGTAAATATCTCAACTATGTACGGTAGTTGAGTGAGTGGCGCTTGTAGTACTGTAATCATAAGTTTAACTGTCTTGGTGAAGTAGTCTGGTAGTGTAATGTAAAGTTGAACATTGAAGACCATGACGATAAATTTAGCGGGGCAGATAGAATTGATGAGGTCGAGTTTATACAATTGCCACCAAGATAAGGCCTTATCAGCTAGAAGCTACCCCGCAGTCTTGTTTAAGCTTGTCTAGTTGGTTTCCACTTTCGCCGCCCATGCAACCCATCATCAACGGCTGCATTAGCATTTAATAAGTCTACCAATACTTCGCTGAGGCTATCCTTAACAAACAGGAAACGGCTGATCAGCGCTGCATAGTCGTATGCTTCATCGCGATCTAGACTGCCCATTCTTTAAGACGAGCATTCCAGGTTATATGTTATACTCCATAGTATTCTCTATATAAAAGCCATCGACGTTCCATTACTCTTTACTATGTATATCTTCCCCCTATCTAATACAATATTACTTACAAAATACTTTTACTTTTACTCTAAGAATTAACCAAGTAACACGTCATCACGGATAATTACTTATACTAATTATCATAACATGCCTACTCAACTAAACATTTGTGTCGACATCGCCAACTTACCTACAGTACCACGAGGTCCTACTAGCCCGCAGCACGAAAAGGAGGCTGCGCGTGCAATAAGCAGGACTGACAGCTGGAAGCCGTCCTTGGGGCGCAAGCAGAGCGTAAGTGTATTACCTGTATATCTACATCCCTTGCAACTTAGACATAGGCGTACCTAGATTAAATAGTTGCTGACTCGATATTCTTTTTACAAATTCTAGTACCACAGGGAAGACCGGAAGCATATACTGCAGATGAGCGGCGTGCAGAACGTCGAGGTGGGCCCGGGGTTCAGCGAGCGAAACTAAATTGTCTACATACCTACCTCCTAGCATACCTCCTAACCTAACCTAATGTACTACTATACTCTACTCATCGATAACCCGCATTCTTTTTATTTATTTATAGCCAACTCGTGGGTCATGGAATCGTAAAGGGAAATTGCATGACTGCTTCCGATTAGCAACACTACGAGACTGAGTTGTTTTGCGGACGACAGGAATATACGGGTTGGCTTCATACGGGAGTTCCGGATTTTTGGATTATCGTAAGGGAGGGCGGAATGATTTAACATGATCAATTGGATGGGAGGGGCGAAACGGTACAAAGAGTTGGAAACAAGATTGAAAAGGCGGCATGACCCCAACATATTGGAACTTCCCTTACACATAGGTAGTCCCGTAGAAGATTGTATTACATATCAATTATACCTAATATTTACCTAATATCTCTTCACTAATTTAGCAGATGCAGTCTGCAGAGCTAGGTTGTGTCGTCTGATAGTCATTTAACGTCTACTAATAGGCCTGTCTAGATTTATCTATTTTCGGCTTAGAAGCTTAGGGAACCTCGGCCTGGAAACGCTTAAGCCATAATTTCCAATCACCCGGGGCTATCATGATTTGCACACATCGATTCGATATATGAAATGCTTGTAGATTGAAGAGGTAACCCCAGACCCGACTTAGGGAGTGCTAGTTAAAGTATACATAACGGAGAAGGGGTAGTCATGCGCCGACCAAAACTACTATACAACCAAACAAGAGTTTAACAATGATTGGAATACTTATTGATAGGTACCTTGAAGCATCCTCAGAGACCCAAACCCAGTTCCAAAACCAAGCACCCGTGCCCACCACCAAAATGCTATACAAACTCCCCATACTCCAGTATGTCGTGTTGTTCGTCCCACGCCTAAGTATTCTTGTAAGATAGGATAATAATCTCTCATAAACATATGATCAATCAGAAGCCAGTTGGCCCCCGACCGTCAGTGCCGCCGGTTATGAAATATTCGCTAACGACGCCAAGAGCGTACGAAATTCCGGCTACCCAAGCACCACCTATCAGCACTCGTTTACCGACGCCATCCTTCGGGTGAGTCCGTGCTTCCTCGCGGGTCGTTGATTTGGGCCCGCTGAATACAGGCTCTTCTCTTCTGACGTCGATATTAGAACGGAAAGCAGGCGCTTGGGTCTCCTCTTCAGCTTGTGGTACGTCGTAATTGACAAATCCTGTAGGCGAAACGAATGCGGCCGCATTTGGCAAGGCTGCCGGTTTCCCCATCATATCTATAGGGTTAACCGGTGACGCGCCCCCGTGACCTGTTACTTTGAGTGGTCGAACTTGACGAAAGACTAGCACATCCCCACTGCCAGATACGATCTCGAAGCCCTCGGCCTGTAAGGGTGCGAAATGTGGAAAGAATTTTGTCGGGTTTGATAGGCGGAGAAGCACTTCTGCTGGTGACAATGGAGATGCTTGATCAGGTACAACTGAAGTAGTTTCGGCGAGGTTGATCTTTTGCATGGTTGGGTCATAGGCTAGAATCTTATACACTGTCGGCTCGGTAGTTCGGTTCGGTTCGGGCATGGGATCAGATTCGGATGATGAAATTGGCGGTCGCCCGTCGACCTCGGGGTCTCTGAAATATAGCGGCTTAAGGTCAAGAATCTTTTGACTGGCATCTTCCGCTGGTAGGGATTCCAGCATTGTTTCCCTCGAGTCGTTGCCGTACGTTTTGGCGAAGGTTAATGGCGCTTGTTCCCCGTCACATTCCCTGGTATACGACGTTTCCAATCCCTGTGGTTCTTTAGAGTACGGGTCAACTTCGGCCTGCGCTCTATAATGATCAAATATGCGTCTCGTAGACCTTACCTCTGGCTGGTTGAGACCCGCTTCCAGCTTCGGTTCAGTCTGCTGTCTATCCAAGCTCGTCTCTAACTTTTGGGAGTTTGTAGACTCGGAAAGCTCATCTGAATATTGCTTCTCGGCCTCCTGAATATATGCTATCTTCCCGTCCGGTGTACCCCATGATCCCGAAAAATCATCTGGGAAATCACGGAGATAATTACCAGTCAATCCCGGTTGACTTGCTCGAGATTCGGTTTCCGTAGCTGAAGGTCGACTACCCTCTTGTGCTGACGAGAACTGCGATACGCCGTTGAGGTCAAGCTTTTGAAGCCCATCCAATATACTCGATGTTGGGTTCTTATCCAAGGTTGGTTCAGGCGCTTTTGCGTCGAATTCTTCGAGAGACTCTGCAACGATATCTCGCTCTTGGGTGACTGCATTGTCGAGTTCTTGAGACTTGAAAATTCTGTACTGCTCGAGATCTCCATATTGTTGGAAAGGTTGCTCCTCTGGCGCAGAGTCCTCAAAGATTTTTGTATCATACTTATTCAAGTCGTCGTACTTGGGTGCCGAGTCGTCCACTGGTTTAATACTGTCTTCTTTATAGTGCTTGTACTTATGGAGATCATCATATTCAGTGGATGGGATGTCTCTTGCCACACCTTCTTGATATTTATATGGTCCATAGTCGCCCAAGTCATCATAACGTTCAGTATGCTTTTCGGTATCTATATTTTCATTATGAATGTAGGGCTTGTACTCATGTAGGTCTTCGTAATTCTGTGGTGTTTTTTCACTAGCATTTTCTGCCTCTCTGGCCCCGTAAGTCTTATACTTATCGAGATCTTCATAGCTCTTCGTTGGTTCTGAGGCCCGTTCGTCAAGTTCGTCGCGTTGATATGCTTGGTATCTATGAAAGTCATCATACTGCTCGTCTGGCTCATCGGGCGGGAGATGGTTTAGGGCGTACTCTTCGCTTTGCATCACGGGATATCGGGGGGACTCTACATTGTCACCCAACGCCTGTATTCCGTCGTGACCGCCACTAGCACCAGCACCATGAGATGGTACCTCGTCAATTTTGATTTGACCATACTCTTTGAGTTCTACAGGAGAAGGTGGACCGTCGGAATGGGTAGGACCTGGATTTTCTCCATCTTTGGGTGGTGCAAATGCAGAGAACTGAGCCCTGTATGATTTGAAGGAATTGGCAGGGGATGACGTCGAATCAACGGCTTGTCCGTCGAATCTCCTTGGGATTTTACGCATCGTAATCGGATCAATAGTATAGTCTTCACTGGACGATACACCAAAATCATGTTCTTGTTCCTTAGTTAGGTTATGTTTAGCATCTGCCGACTCCGATGAGTGTGCATGAGACTCTGCTTGGGCCGTGTGCTTCGAGGCTTTGCCACCCCAATGATCCATCGCATCATCTAGTCGAGACTTCCACGAACGGGTAGACGAATATCGCATATAATCGCCGTAATTACTCATCCAGGAGGCATATGAATCAGGAACCCATGATGTTTTCACGCGTACATTTCCAGTGTCTGGAGTTATCCGACTTTGTTGTCGCCGATCGTTCAATTCGCCATGGTCGACAGACCGCGAGCCGCATCTTGGTCCAGTTGGACTCCAATACCTACGAAGCATATGCTTTAAAACGACTTTGGGGTGACTATCGATGGAGCGCTGGTCCCATGATAACTTTCCATGAAATGCTTCGACATATTTATGCTTAAGCACACGTTGGCGGTGTCGAATCTCTTTCTGGAATTCAGGATCAAGGTAGGAAGACCACATACCAAAGCGAAAGCTGCGGATCTGCTGGTTCATTCCGGCCCTTAGCAGTGAGTTGCCAATAGGCCGTAGAGCACCACAGGCCGCAGCTCTGGTCTGAAGAGACCTCGCTTTGGACGGCGGTTGACAAACGGTGCGAGTTAACATATTGATTTAGTCGTAAGCAACGGGAGCATCATATACCGTCCGCTACAGAAGTATACGCGTCAGCAGCGATGGTGGATTTGCGATAATTACAATATTGAAGATACGAAAGAAGTTACTAATGTCTGGAGGATTGATACAATAAGGCGATCGCTATCAAGAAAAAGTATCACTTACACAAAGCCAACAGTTCGACTATGGAAGCAAAAGTAAACTCATCGACTTGTTCGGCTAGGGAAGATGAGTGTAGGTGGTAGTTGGTAGTTGGAAGTGTAGTTGGATTGCCTAGGTATCCATCCCCGCCGAGGCTCTTAGAACTTGAAAGGGAAATGTGAGGAGTTGTTCTCTAGGCGGAGAGTTACGGGAGCGGGGAACCCGGGAACGGGTTGAAACGGGAGGATCAGTTCGTAGGAGTGCGGAGAAGAACGCTAAAACTGTAATTAGCAGCATAGTTGCCCCAATTAGGACAGTGGAGACACCCGTGGGGTAAACCGTTTCCCCTGGTCTTATCCGAGTACGTATTGTACATTCTATTTCGTGCATGCAGGTCCCATACCACGTACTAACTTTCATATAATTGAAGTTTTTACATGTAGGCATACTAAAATATCTAGATCGAGATGATATGTAAGGTGCCTTTTTAAAAACTTCTACTTATATTTTACTTCATTCGACGCTTTGCAATGTTTAGAATCTTATTCTAAATATATAGAATGCGGGAAAACTCGGCTTAATCTGGATATGAACGGGAGCACGTGCTATGAGTTAGTTAATACAGAGTGGCTTACATAAGAATTATTGGATAGGCGACGTCACAAAAAAAAACGGAAACCCCACCGTGGGGTCAAAATATCCTAAGCCAATCTACTGGAAACAATAGCAATAGAAGCTTTTACTAATAACAGCGCATTCTTTATATCGTGACCTCTCTACCAACTATCATTTATCTCCCATTGCGCAAGTCTGAGGAAACCGGGCACGGGATTTTTCATATAACGGCTTGCAGGTTGGCAACAAGCGACAAGCTACGTAGCGAATAAGAGAGCTTGCGTGGCTTCAGGAACTAAAACTAAACAGTTGCTCTCGTTGCCATGAGTCGTAAACCAGCTAAGTCGCGTGCCGCCGCTGGCAACACATTTACGAGTTTCGGATCCAATACCTTCAGTGCTTTCTCAACTTCTTCTAGAGGTGCCGACCTATCCTACCTGGCCGAACCTCCCAATCTCTCTTCCATATCTGACGCCAATGTTGTCGTATCTCTTAAGAACCTGCAAAAGAAGGATGCTACAACTAAAGCGAAGGCTTTAGAAGAATTAGTGACCTACGTTCAGGCTCATCCATATGAGAGAGATGGAGGCATAGAAGAGCCTATTCTAGAGGCTTGGGTGCGTGCAAATCACGTAGATCAATATACTACTCTGCTTAGTTAGTAATGTGTATAATAGGTCCAATTATATCCTCGCGTTTCGATAGAAAATGCCCGTCGCGTCCGCGAACTCTCACATATATTGCAATATGAGTTAATGAAATCCGGTCGCAAGCGCACGGAGAGATATGTGCCTAAGATTGTAGGCTCTTGGCTTGCTGGAACATTCGACAGAGACAAAGTCGTATCTCGCGCAGCCGCGGAAGGGCTATCTTCCTTTCTTACAAGCCCAGAGAAAGTGGTCCAGTTTTGGAAGCGATGTCAGCCTCAGATCCTAGATTATGCGTCTGGAGCGATAAGGGAGACCGCGGAAACCCTTAGCGACGAGCGATCTACGAGCATCGATGATTCCGAGGCTAAATCATATCGAGTCCTAGGAAGTAGTCTTGCGCTAGTCCTAGGTCTCTTACAGAAATTGAGTCCTGTGGATCTTGAGAAGTATCAGGACGATTATGATCAATTCTTCGAGCAAGATAAGGTCTGGAAGAGTGTTTCTATTAACGATGCCGTCGTGAGGCAGTTGTCCTGCCAGCTCTTGATCGCATGTCTTGAAAAAAGACCAGGAAGGATCGAGGCAGACCTTGGCCGACTTAGTAAGACCTTTGTAGCCGAAGGCTTGACTTGTAGTCAAGTTGGTTCCGCGGCTAATTATGTTGACGCATTGACCGAATTGACCGCCAGACACCCAACTGTCTGGACGTCTGAATATCGGGGAAAGAAGTCACTGGCGTCAAGATTAAAACTATTCTTGGAGAAGGGCTCTCAGAGTGCTGGATCGAAGTTCTGGGTCTCACTCAATCGCTTGATAGAAGTTATACCTACTGAAATACTTCCAAAGGATCTAGATAGCGCCTTGGACTTCTTAAAGTCTATGAGGTTAGGTTTAACAAGGAGAGAGGAACCTCGCAGTAGTGCTATTGATGGCTGGTCAACGTACCTCAACACTGCTAGAATGTTTATCAAGGTGGTGAACTCCATTAAGGACCGAGTCAAGATAGCGCAAGAAGACATATTCCCTCTGATTACGCACTATTTCCACCCAACCCCTGAAACATCAACATGGGCTTCTGGAAGCCAAGTGCAGATTCTAATCAAAGCATACACATCAACGGCAACGTCACCTTTTGAGGAAGTTATATGGGCCACCGACTCGGAATGGGGCCAATGGAAGGAGAACTTCAGAGCCCGCATCCGCAACTCGTTACCCGAGGCATCGAAGGAATATGAAAAGTCGCAGAAGGCAATAGCCGATGAGGGCTATAAATGGTTCACCTTTACGGGTTTAATTTCGGAAGCTCATGAGAAAACATTAGGGACTGACCGTCCCATCCCGGATATCCCTGCCAAGTATTCCCTAGAATTACTTCAGGATGTCTTTAAGTTGTTAGAAACAAGGAAATGGAAACCATTTGGAGCAGCAGCTACCGTAGAATCAGCTTTTAAGCGATCCCCGCGCCTTTTCGGGCAATCTTCAGCTGCTATAAGCGATGTGTTCGACCATCTCACAAACACGCTACAAACTCATGGAGTTGAGTTCATCCAATCACCAGCTGCATCATATATTTTCTCAAGCATCAACCTGTTAGGTCATATTCCTGAGCAGAAACAGGAATATGAGAAAATTTGGACGGCAAACATCACGACCCTTCTGGAATACACCGAAAACCCCAGCACTTTGTCGGCTCTCACTGCTCTCATTTCTACCAAGGAAGCTGGCGGTCTTGCCAAGCAGTTCCAGAACTTACAAGCAGAATTAATAAAGCAGTGTCTGATGTGTGCTGTCGGCACCATAGATTCTGGCTGGGTCCTTTTCGATGCGGCATTGACATTCGATGCGTTAACAGACGCTGCTGCGAGTCGACTTACGACAGAGCTTGGAAGTCGCATCACGAACGCCCTAGGCCAGCCAAATCCAGGTGTAATCAAGGGCCTACGTCTTATAGCGGAGAAGAAGCCAGATCTTTTATTACAGGACGAAGTGACTCACATGAATTTGATGACTAACTTGTTAAGTGTTTCCGAACGGTTTGATGCTACTTCTGATATAGCCGTGCTAAAGGGGTTGATGGAAACCCCGTCAACCGGTAGTTCTCGGCTATCAGGTCTCGTGCAGCGAAGTATCTCTACCGCCGACTCGAGCTCGCTTGCGTATGTTCTTACTCTAATGATATCTTATATTCCTGCTAACAATGCCTCAGCGTTGATACTATTGTCCAGCAAGTTATTCAAAGTTCTGTTACCGATGCAGAGGGTAATGGTCAACTAGAAAACCTGATACCAGACACAAGGGTATGGAGGGAAGAGTTAGCTCTCTTTCTACAAGAGACACCCAACCAATCTCTCGCCTTCACAAGTGTTGTTGGCGGTGCTTATTTCCTCCCAATATCCACGCTGGCTACATCGAGTACATCTGCAAGAAGAGATCGAGATGGCTGTTCGATTCCTGGGCGCATGGCGATATACATCGCTAAGCTGCTTTCCGCGGGTTTTCAGCTTGACGCTCTGCCACTTCTAAAGCGTGTGGAGATCGTGATATATTTGAGTCTGACCATACAGTTAGTAACAGATCAACTTACTGTCAAAGGTAAAAATCAGATTTGGAGTTCGCTTTCCTCTGATACTTCTCTATCAAATGCTGAAGAGTTGGTTTCATCTGCGCGAAAGGCCATCGTCGATATGACAGAGGATGCTGCTGATTGGAGAGATGGTTCCAACACGGATAAGTCGCGGTTGATGCACGACATCATACGAACACTTATTGACGAGTCAAGGCCCCTAACACCTATGGGTCTATATTGTGCACGGGCTTTGAGTGAGATTCTCCAAGCGTTAGCAGAGAAGCATGGCTTCCCTTCTAGCGGGGAGCAATGGCTATCTGATTTGGATATACTTAAGAACAACACCTCTACTGTCTTCCCTGCTGTCGCAATCCTCAGTGGCCTTGGAGAAGCACTTTCTGCTTCAAGGGCAGTTAGCAACTTCTGCAACCGCCTGATCAGCGATATTGCAGGAGCCAGTCCTAACCAGGAAAAAAGTCTTATCAATCTCGTGCTTCTCAACGCTTGCGCACAGGTATATGATGTCGGCGAACTTCCAGTCGCGAACAATCGGCTAGTTTTCGCGGTCAAGCAAATTACATCGTGGCTGGACACTCCTGAAGACCTCGACTATCGTTTCGGAGCAGAAGCTTGTCGTAGCCTCCAGCGCCTCCTTCCGTGTGTTAAGGACATCTACGGCCCTTATTGGGAGAAGACTCTGGATTTTTGCATATATCTCTGGACAAAACCGACGACTGGGTCACTTGAATGTCGGTTGCCTGAACTTCACGCTTCTCTTCGTCTATTTACTACGTTGCGATCACTTGAAGAACCTAATGACGACCTTATTGATGTTTTGCAGATATCCGCAGAGAAAATATCAGCTGCATTGATTAAGCTACTTCAAATTTCTAGGGACATAGATACACAACCCCTAGAGATTGTAGACTCGATTCTCTGCCGGCTGGTAGAAAAGCTTCCTCTACACCATATAAAGGATCTCTCAGAGTTATATGGTCTAGTAGCAAGTGATTCGCGGGGCATCCAAACAGCAGCGTTTACCATTCTTCACAAAGCACTTCCTGCTGCTCAGGAGGATCTATCGCTAGACGTTTTATTAGAGAAGAAAGCGGCTCAGCTTCCGGATGAACTCCTATCTCTTCTTCTCGATGCCCCAACGCTAGAGAAGTACTCTGATGAAGCCCTCGGCCGTTTCCCATCGCCAGTTCGCTCTTATCTTCTCTCTTGGCATCTCATATTTGACTCTTTCCAAGCCGCGGCTTTTAAAGTACGCAGTGATTATGCCGAGAATCTTAAGGCAGCTAATTATGTTGGCCCACTGATGGAGTTCACTTTCGATGTTCTAGGTCATTCAGCGGCTCATGCATTGAACCTGGATAAGGTCAACTTTACGAAGGAACATATTAAGAAGTATGACATAAAGCTCGCCGAAGCCGAGACCGAAGAGAGGAACATGCAGTGGCTCCTCGTCCATTTATACTACCTCGTGTTAAAATACGTTCCTAGTCTCTTCAAGACATGGTACATGGAATGCCGGTCAAAGCAGACTAAGATTGCGGTCGAAGGCTGGATGACAGAATTCTTCTCCCCTATCATCATATCAGAAGCATTAGACGACGTTGAAAACTGGTCCACCACCCAGGAGACGCCTACAGAAGGCGAAAACGAGTTGATCGTGAAAGTTAGTCGCGCTGCTAGAGAGGTTACTGCTGGCTACGAGGTGGATGAGCTACAAGCATCGATTTCGATACGGCTCCCGCAGGAGTTTCCTCTCGAGAACGTTTTGGTGTCGGGAATAAACCGCGTCGCGGTCAACGAGAGGAAGTGGCAGAGCTGGATCATGACAACGCAGGCCGTGATAACATTTTCGGTGAGTTAATATCGTATTACCCCTGAGACTTGGACATTGTATCTCACATGATGATAATAGGGTGGCAGCATTATTGATGGCCTTACGACTTTCCGCCGTAACATAGTGGGTGCCATGAAGGGACAGACCGAATGCGCCATCTGTTATAGCATCATCAGTACCGACAAGAAGACGCCAGATAAACGCTGCCAGACGTGTAAAAACCTCTTCCACCGCACTTGTCTGTATAAGTGGTTCCAGAGCAGTAATCAAAATACATGCCCTCTATGTCGTAACCCGATTGATTATCTCGGGTCGGATAGGAGAGCAGCAAGGAATGCATAATAAAAAGGAATCTGGTTAGTTATAAACCACCCTGCAGAGGAAATGGCTGGATCAAGTGTATAGTGGTGAGGGTAATGATAATGATACTGGAACACGCTCAGTATTCGTGAGTCATAGGACAGTACTAGTTGAATTGTAAATTCTAACGTTATGGTGCTTAACTATTTCTCGCATTTCTAAGGGTCATTCGTAGTTTTTCATATTTTTTTAGCATGAGACTCCTACGTCTTGGTCATGCATGAATGATTAGTATATATGTAGTACCCGGTGCTTAGATCTATCTACCTGCTGGTATTATTTTGCTAGAAATACGAATTATGATTATTGACTTCAGACCCCAGGGTGGCGATTATTCTCTTTGGGCTATATAATTCGTAGCGTATTTGGGCTTTGCAGGAGCTTACAGGCAGGATTCCTTCAGCTTTATATGGGGAGTTATGCTTCCTTTTCCATGTGATCTTGCGCCAAAATATATGCGGTTGGTCGCTTAATATCCCTGTATTTATGTATGTACAGCGCTTAAGAGAATTTTATGTAGATTTGATTGGTTTATCCATACATTTTACCATGCGGTTAACCTTCCAATTATCCTTAAATCCGCACCCTCTTCCCAGCCTTATTAGCTGATGTTACATGCATTTCCACTCGCACGTGTGAGAAACGGCCCCCAACTCGAGATTCATACAGGCAGATGTAACATAGTGTTTTGGGCTCAGCTACCCAGCTACTTGAGACTTCTAGGCCAGTCCATGGTGCAACACAGTATCTTATGCGATATAGAAGTTTATATAAGCCAGCTAAGGCCCTGTTCTTAATTTTAACTCCGTAAACTTCTTTATTTAATTTCTCTATTTAGTTTCTCTGATCCAATGGAGAACGTCCCACAAAGCGGGAGTGGAAATAACGAAGTATACTATCTCGGTAACCAACCCGAATATTATTACCCTTCCGGCTACAATACCTATGCAGGTTATACGGGTTATACGGGTCAAATTGATGGCTCTTTCGAATATCAACCAGTCCATGGGGATCTAGGTCAACCGCAAGGGCACGCGCCGGAACCGTCACTATCGCCATACTACGTCCAAGACAAGTCTGGGTCTAGCTTCCCGACTGTTAGCAGTAAATCGCTTCCTCCTCAAGCGCCCTCCCCACATCCTACACAGTTCGAATATTCCAACGCCGAGGAACCTTTTCTATTAACACCATCCAAATCAAAACCCCAAATCATCTCGACTCGCGGACACAACTGGAACTTGGAGATAGGGGCGCTAGTTCTTAGTTTTAGCGCATTGGCAGCCTTGATTGCGCTGTTGATATACGTGGATGGTCGCCCGCTATCTGATTGGAAAGGTTCTATCTCGGTCAACGTCGTAATCTCCGGCTTGGGGGCTGTGGCTCGAACATCTCTAGGATTTGCCATCAGTTCGTGTCTTGGTCAAGCTAAATGGAACTGGTTCAAAAAGCGACCAGACAACCTCGTCGCTTTTGATAGGTTTGATGATGCTAGCCGTGGGCCATGGGGAAGCTTATGGCTTATTATTTGGCTTCGAATCCGGTGAGTCCATCTTTTTTTGGTCATCCCCTGAATGCCCTGGTAGCTGATTTTTATTCAGACATTGGGTAGCCATCGGTGCAGTCGTTACAATATTATTAATGGCTTTCGAACCATTCCTACAAGCGGTTATTTCATTTCCAGGGCAGGTTGACCCGAGCGTCGATTCTTCTATGATCCAACTCAGCCGCAGCGAGGCACTTGATGTAGGCTCGTATACTGGTGACCCCTCGACTGGAGTTGGGGGGCTACAACTGACGCCTTCTGACTTGACTATATCACTTGACCCCTTTGAATCCCTGCCAGACTTGGGGATGCTATCCTCGTTCAATAACGGATTTTACAATTCTTCAAATCGTGATAAGCAAACCACTTCATTCACTTGTCCTACTGCAAATTGTACCTGGCCGACATTCACCTCGTTGGCCGTTTGTAGCTCATGTAGCAACGTAACGAACCACTTACAACGCTTTTATGAATACGGAATGAATAAAGGAACTCTATCCTCAAATACTAAGGCGATAACTGCAAACTTCACTATAAACTCTTTACCAAGTCTCAACCTTTCAAATCCGTCCGACATTGACCTGGCCGAGGGTAAAACTCTTTTCTCCCTGGTTGCCTTCATGTCTGCAACAAGGATTACTGACCCGAAGCTTACCCTCGCATATCAAAACTTAACGACAATGATTACTGCAGTAGAGGTTCTAAGAGCCGCGCCGGAATACGAAGCAGGAAAGCTGACATGGGACGAGACTCCAGTTTCGGCAACCGAATGTGCTTTATATTTTTGCACTAACGCGTATGAGTCTAACGTCGAGAAAGGTGTCCTTACGGAAAACATTGTGGCATCTTGGGCTGAACGGAACTTTGATTCTTATCGTGACCTTGAGGACGTTAAGAACTTCGATGCCTACGAGAAGTGGAATAACTATTCACTCTATTCTCAAAACGGAGATGTCAAACGAAGTAATCTCGAATTATTCATACCTGATGAAGATATAGAAAAATATAAACTACCAGAAGATGTTACTCGACGCTTCAACCTTACGGAAAACACTGTTGGCAGCACAACTCGCTTTGTCAATGAGGGTCTCTTGAACAAAGTTATGACTTGGCCTATAGGACTAAACACCGAACCAATCCCAGTTGCACAAGCTCTATACCAAAGCCAAGATTTATCGGCTACCTTTGACCAGGTTGCCTGGACCGTGTCGAATTGGATGCGCGACATTTCTGATGTGAAAACACCAGGCGTTGGGCGAGAGTGGATAATACATATCCGTGTTAATTGGTATTATATGATCCTTCCCTTGATCACTATATCCCTCGGCTTCCTTTTCTGCGTATGGACTATCATAGAGACACATAGGCTACGTCTAGATCCCTGGAAGACGAATATGATAGCCACGCTTACGCACTCCGTCGATGTCCAAACACGAGCGCAGCTTAGGGATGCTGATAAAGAAGGATACTTGAAGAAGTCAGTTAGGGCTATGACTGTGAAATTTGAAGATGTAGGATCCGGGCTAGAATTGCGGACTAAACAAGCTTGAGTACTTACAATATACCCTATGGGTAAATTGATATTTAAATTATGTACCTATCTAAGTATTGCGCGATATATTTCTTTCATATTGAATACTATCCATAGAAGCGCGTTCTATCATGACTATTAATGAATAATTGGATGATGAATATCAATATCAGGGCTTCATCCGCACATCACATATCTCTCCCTTATTTCCTACGTGGTGATACGTTATCATCTTCATATGGTCGACTAGCCCCTCTGTTCCAGTTTACTGGTTTGAAGATCGGACGGCGAGGCAGAACTGAGGGTTGGGGGATTGATTGGGCGGCAGCATGGCGCATTTTCTCAAGTTTGCGATGTCTCCTGAGGTTTTTGCGGGTTAACTTTGCCGTAAGGTTTTCAGGTTTTAGTTCCTCTGATATAGATCTACGACCCGCGATAACGTCTTGGAGATTCGACCGGGCCTGTAGGATATTATTTAGGAGGCCTTGAAATGAGACAGGGTCAGTAGAATCAGAAAGATCGGAGGTCCCGGTACTAGAAGATTCGGAACGGTACTTGTAATTAATGCTCGGTACAGAATCATACATTTGAGAATCCAATGAGGGAACTCGAGCCCAGGAATTCCTGCGGGAGACATCGGATCTTTTACGCTTTTTAACAACCCGAGCCGGTGGGGTTGGCTGAACTGTTTCTTGAGTTGGCTCTTGATAGGGGGGTTGAGTACTCGGTTGAGTTTGTCTTTGAATCGACGGTCTTGGTTGAGGGACTGCCCGTCGCTCTGATGGCGCACAAAACAACCCACTCTGTCCCAAACGAACACGCTGAGCAGACCTCGATTCATCTTTATCATCTTCCCTAAAACGCTTTCTTCCAGCGTTCTTAGGGGTCACGAACAATCCACTTGCCATTATTAGACTTGATTACAACACGAATTAAGACGATGAACTTTACAGGGGTTGCAAGCTTTATCACAAATGTGCATAGGAGCGAGATTAATGATAAACTGCGAATGATAAGAGAAGGAAGACATGATGTAAATACTCATTAGAACACCTGTCATGTCCTGGATCATGGAGCAACATGGCACCTGTATTGCGCTTGTTCCATATCAGCGCCGGGGTATGTGTACAGCTTATGTTCCATGACAAACTTCAAGAGATAAAGGCTTGGAGTTTAAATAAGATATCATTCTAGAAGTCACAGGGATTGAGGTTTGATTAATACTTTACGGTACCTACCTAGGGATAGGGTTGTAAAGTAATTGGCTTTTGTTAAATCGCTTGTGATAATATTTTTCATGGTTTTACGTCTCGAGTGGTTAATAGGGATTTCTTGTTTAAATAGGAAGAGAAGGTTCGTAATGACGGAAGTATATATCGTCTTTATTCCTATTACAATGAAAGGCGTAATTGGACCTATAATGATATTGTTTATTTGACTTAGATGTATATAGTACTCCTTAACCAGAATAGGGGGGTTAAGATAGGGGTCAAGCATGATGCCGCCTTTAAGTACTAGACCTCGTTATGGTAATAATATAGCAATAACAATAAGTCGGATACGTATAGAATAGTTACTTAATAAATATTCTAGTCCCTCGCCGTACCTACTATGTATTTACAGAGTTTCCCTTCCCGAGCAACCGGAATGAAGATATTAGACTCCGGCACGGATCAGATAATGGTACGGGACCCCTACTTTTCGGAGTACATACGTCATTTTTAGGCCAACGCGTACTTCATCCCCGCTTTTCTGACGTCGGTGTATCGTATCATTTGTAGACTTTATCGTCGACAAGGTACACGACATACTACTAAGTACACCATGATTTGGATTTGACGCAACGTGGATTAAGGGAAAGCGAGCTTATCTGGCTCGTCTATTAATGCGCAAATAACTTGATATTACTATTTTAAGCAGCGAAGCAGTTGGGATTGTCGCTGTTATATTTAACATGACGGAATCCATACATCAGTGGCTCGTCGCGTTTACAGCTTCAGCTCATCGTGAATTCTACTAATAAGCCCAGTTGCTTTTCCATCTTGGTCTTGATCTGACTTGCGAGATGTTTCTAGTACAATATATTCAGTAAAATATTTAACATAGCTCTTGTAGATGAGTTTCGATAAAAATCCCCCATAATGTCTCTTTGCCCGAGATTGGCGCGGACCTTGGGCCGTACCCGTCCGAGTGTATTACATCCTTCTGTATATCGAGCCTTACAAGCGGTTCCATTTTGTAACCCTGTTCTACCACAACCTAGGTTATTGCACTCTTCACCTAGTCTGCTATCGAAACCTACCAACCCGGATCCGCGAGAAAATCCGGCGGACGAATTAGCCCCTAATGCTGACATTAATGTTGGTCAGAAGCGGTTCGCTGATTTCGACTTGAAGGGCAGAGTCTTCGTCGTGACGGGAGCTGCAAGGGGTTTAGGTCTTGCTCTTGCTGAGAGCCTTGTTGAGGCTGGAGGAAAAGGTGGTAGTTATCCCATAACTACATGACTTGTGCATGTATCGCCACTTATCCTTGCTAACCTATATTCAGTTTACTGTCTCGACCGTGAAGAAAAACCTGATGAGTACTGGGCAGAGGCTAGAAGACGAGTAGTCCCCGAATGGGGAGGTTCGCTTCATTACCGGCAGCAAGATGTCCTTGACACAAAACACCTGGATAAGACGATAACGGATATCGCAGATGATAACGGGCGTCTAGACGGTGTCATTGCTGCCGCCGGTATCCAACAAATTACACCAGCTGTCGAATATGAGCCGGCTGATTCTGCTAAGATGCTAGCCGTTAACTTCACAGGCGTATTAATGACCGCGACATCCGCCGCTCGTCAGATGATGAAGTACAAATGCCGAGGAAGCATATGTCTCGTAGCAAGCATGAGCGGCAGCGTAGCCAACAGAGGCCTCCTATCGCCGGTCTACAATTCGTCCAAGGCCGCGCTGATCCAGCTGGCGCGTAGTTTATCAATGGAATGGAGCCCGATAAAGGGCGATGGCACGGGAGGGATCCGCGTCAACTGTCTGAGCCCCGGACACATCTTGACGCCTATGGTACTTAAGAATTTCGAGGAGGTGCCTTCTCTTAAGGACAAGTGGAAAGGCGAAAATATGATGGGGAGGCTGTCGACGACGACGGAATTCAAGGGCGCGGCGTTGTTCCTCTTGAGCAATGCGAGTAGCTTCATGACTGGATCTAATCTTGTGATAGACGGTGGACATACTTCGTGGTAGCGTCCTTTTTAGATGGTGTAAATAGTGCGTTTTATAATTATATAGAACGGACGTTAGAGTGGTTGTTAGAGATGTATTAGTGTCTATTACTTATACAGAGTAGAACTATAGTTAACTACCTAACGTAAGGTATTTTACTTAATTTTTATGACAGCATGCCGAGTTTGAGCAAGTTCTATAACTATATCAACTGCTCTAGGCTCTGTCAGTCAACAATACATATTTCTCCGTAGAACTAAGGCGAACAGAATGTATAATAGAGAAGTTAGAATGCAGACATATACACTACCTGATGAAGATATATTATCAGAATGCCAGGCACGTCTACTTCTAAGATTACTCCATCAGTTCGGCTCTGTTCTGATGTTAATACCATCTAGGCGTCTGGAATTACAGGTGGCTTCATTAGTGTTTTTATGTCTGGGATTAGTGAAGATAATTATCTCAACCTTTAAATGTAGGGGTCGAGAAAAGCTCTCCTAGCAATATCCCTGTTTCGACCGGATACCATTTGCTTGTATAATATGTTTGGCAACGCATCCTGGAACCTCCTGGTGCGTTACAGCAAACAACATCTAGCCAGGCTAATGACGGTGCCAGAAGTTCCATATAGCTTCCCCTAAGTATGGTCCTATAAATGTCATATATAGACCGGAATTTTCATCGGAGCTTTATTACGATATCCGCTTGAATCATAAAGCACATTTCTTTCCCTCGTCAATTGCCGTACTGCAGAGCGCGAGATCTCGATGCCGGCCACATTAAGGATGGTATGATCGGTTGCTTTTCAGCGGTAGATGGAAATCTATATGACATCCTCGTCCGGCAACGGAAAGGAAAACGACGCGCGAGCTCCATATACCTTTCTCGCCGGGAATTTAGTAGTCCGGCAGTCCGAGTAAGAAGCGTTGAAGTTGACTGCGGCTGTCGGCTATCGGGCGGCATCCGGGGGCCCATATCCTCGAATAGACGTCTCAACCCATGCTACTTTCGAGATGGCATTTCTAATCGATTGATAAAAGGTCCCTGATCGCTGTTCAGTACCCACAGAACATGCGAAGGCGATTCGAAGCCGAAGTAGCATCCAGGAACCAGACTAGCGTCCCGCTCCCGACGCGTGGACAGCGTTAGCAAACCGTACACTCTTCGCTCATCTTGACATGCTGTCAAAGACCCATATTTCAAGTAGAGAATAGAAGCTATTCCCTCATTGACTTTCTCCTAGATATTCTCCCAGGTAGGTTTAGGTATCATGTGAATAATAAGACAAGCCAAATGGGTGCTCTAGGCATATGCTAGGTAGTGATAGCATCGACATGTCGTGGAAAGAGCACATAATGCTTCTTCGGTGAGATGAGGCGTGCAAATCAATCGCCGATCCCGATCTGTAGGGTTTCATCCTCGTCCTTGGAACATGAGACCCATCCCGTCAGCCCAGCTCAGAGAGCTTGCGAAGTCGGGCTTTTGATGGTACCCAGCATGAAGATGCCCACCTTGCCCACAAATGCCCCCATATCGAACCCTTGCGCGTTTGGCCATAACTCTTTAGCCCGCTGTATCGATAGGTCAACGCGAAGGACCGAGACTAGCACTTATACATAGAAATATATAGTATGCCGGATTCGCTTCGCGACAGTTAGCTGAAGCTCGGACATCGGTCAAGATCTAAGAGCGAGTAAATACATTTAATATAGGTGTTCTATGATAATGGTTCCATAGAGCTAACTTCTAAGAGAGAATGAATATGTATGGGAGAGACCGAGAACCGGTAGCCGTAGACTAAAGGAGGAACGATGGGCTCCTTTATATAGCCCAGTCGCAAGCACCTTGACTGTGACTATAGATTAGCACGCAATAGCACGCCATTCTAATACACATCTTCATTCGAGAGCTTAGTTTAGCAATCATGCCTCGCCAGATCGATCTACTTCCAACCCCGACCCATGTCGAGCCTAAGAAACTGATAGTGCTAAGCGCACCTAGGTAAGCAAGGTCTATGACAATTTATATTGAAGATTCAAGAAACAGCTTCTTACTAGATGCAGAACTGGCACTCATGGCCTCTACCTAGCTTTGAAGCTTCTAGGCTTTAAGCCGTACCATATGGCTGAGGTCCTCAAAACCGGCCCTCAAGCACTACATATTTTGAATGATGGGCTCAGGGCTGAGATGTTCCACGAGGGCAAGCCATGTAAGTGAATTTAATAGGAAATGTAACAGTAAATATACGGAGAGCTAACATGAATCGAAGATGGCCGTGCAGAGTTCGATAAATGGTTCGCCGACTACGACGTATGTATTCCTCGCTGTTCCTACCTATCCGATCCGAACTCACGACCGCTGGGTTTCAGATAATCATAGAAATGCCCTTCTTCATGATACGCTCGGTGTTGAAGACATACCCGGACGCCAAATTTCTCCTGACAGAACGAAACCCGGACAAGTGGGCGAAGTCATTCGAAAATACCATCGGTATGATGTACACAAAATTCAACTCTCTTCCGATGTCTATATTTAGGCACTTCGATGGGTTTGCCTCTGGCATGTCTTCTATGGGTCGGATGCTGGTAGATTACTACACTAACGGATACGGCTTGACGCCGGAAGGACACAAGCATCTTACTGAGAATTACACGAACTAGTACGTCAGAGTACAACTCCCTTCTTGTGAAATATATACCCTAACATATTGGACACAGTATCGCAGAAGTAAAACGTCTTGTCCCACCAGAGCAGCTAAAGGTGTGCAAGCTCGAGGATGGGTTCGGATGGGACGAGATTTGTCCGTACCTAGGCGTCCCGATACCCGATGAAAAGTGGCCGTCACTCAATACGCCAGAAGAATTTGGCGAAGTAGCCGCCCCTAAATTGAAGACGGCGTTCATGAAGGGCATGGTCGGTACGACTTCCATCATAGCGCCTATCGTCGCTGCGGGTCTTTGGTATTTGAGGAAAGGAAAGCTGTCTCTTTAAAGTACCGCTTGAGGTATTCACCGAATCCATACATGACCCACAACGGAGACAGACAGTTTGAAGTGTTTAGCACTTGAGTCAGTTAGGTACTGGACCTAGTTGCAATTCGAGATTGACACATAGGCTGTCACGGGCGTGGTCCTAGCTAAGGAAACATCACGCCGAGTATACCCAAAGAATAGGAGCTTAGGATTGATCCCATCTCAAGCCAATTTAGGCGCTACGGCTAGAAGTCCCTGTATGTGTTTTCAACGATGCAGACTTGCTGGCTTTTCGTCATAGTCAAGATTGCAGAGTAATGGGCTAAAGATAATAATTCATCCCTGTAACATGCATCTAAATTTCAATGCCTGGATGGTATTAGCGCAGAGTGAGAAATAGATCTTATAAGAGACACTTACTTGGGATGCAGTAGCTCTTTTATGACTGTTATATGCTACTGATGCGGCAACAAGTTCCCGAAAATCTTCTTCAACATCCGGTAGAAGAACATCCCAAGAATGGCCTTCAAACACTCGATACATGTCGAAAGGGGGTGTCTTGAAGTTCACTGCTTCCGGCCATGACTCCCGAGTTGGACTTCCGATTGTCTTGAAAATGCTTAATATTAGGCCGAGTTGATTTCCGTCCTCGTGGGCCGCTCGGGATTCGAAAAGCTCTCGAGGGGTCTCTCGGCAACATTCAGCGAGCATAGCTCCGGATGCCCACATATCGATCGCGGGGCCATATGATTTATCGCCGAATAGCGTTTCGGGTGCACGATACGGACCCGTGCCAACGTCTAATATTTTGTTATGAGCAGGTTCCGTGTGGATTGAGAGCTCAGGATGCCATGCTTCACCAAAATCGGAAAGGTAAGCGGGACCATCGGCCGACTCAAGTAGAAGTGCCGAAGGTTTGATGTCCCTGTGTATTATACCTTTCTCGTGGATATATACTAGAGCATTAAAGAGGTCCGTAAAATGTTTCTGTATCCGGACTCTTGGTATACGACCCTGTTCAATAAGAGTCGCTAAACTTAAGGGCATAAACGGAAAAACTAAAGTAAAGCGTTGCTCTTGATCTAGGAAAGTCTCTAGCAAAGGAATACACGGTCTTTTCAGCAACTTCAAGATCTTGGCTTCTCTAAAAGGATTATGAGGTTCCCCGACAGAAGTATCAACAATTACTTTGAGAGCAACTGTACTTGACCTATAGACTTCGGCAGTAAGTCCACTTGCGACATAATGGCAGTTTTGATAATGCCCTATAGTAGTACCAGGAGATTCTGGGGCGACTTGTTCTATTGGAGCAGGTTGCGTCTCGGGTGAAACCGGTGCTTTTTGGTTTAGTAAACTTCGGCATGTCTCATCATACTGAGCCTACTACGGAGTAAGTGTTCTGCGGAAATTTAGGATGGGCGAATTATAAGCTATAGATATGGGGGGAGGGGTTATATGAGAGGTTACTTACACGCGACGTAGAGGTTTTGTAGGCCTCATTCTCAAGGACAAATGCGCTTTTCTGAGAGGAAGGATCTGTATCGTTTAACCCGTCAAGCGCAGCCTTTCTTAAAAAAAAGAATAGTAATATTAGTATGTATTTAGAAATATTTAAAAGAAATAAGCTTTAGATAGACTTACATAGTTTGAATATTATCATAACGATCAGATGAGCTGAGTGAGGCTCTCCAGTCGGAATTGGAGGTCATGATAGCGGGGTTTGGGGCTTGGGGTTTTCTTGATTAGGAGATTACCTACGTAGGATGATGTAGATTTGGAAATAGTAATTGAAGATCCGTATATGTGGTTTTAGAGTATGGTAACAGGATTAAATGTTTCATAGATGGAATTATTAAAGACTAAGACTAAAGAACTCCGGTCTTTAGAAGGTTGGACCGGTTCCTCTTTATTTGCTTAAGTTAGGTTGGATATTAAATTATTAAATTACATACCGATTAATGTCTTAACGGGATTCCTAACATGTGAGAAATAGCAGGAGCTAAAAGGGAAGAAATCCACACTCCATTTCGGCACAGCATTGGAACTCCACTTATTAGAAGGCTACCTACCATAGCGGAGGAGGGGGGTTTGAGGGAATCATTCCGTAAACCTAAAACTATTGCACTTACTAAAATCATTCCGCCTGATGGTAACAGGGGAATCAGATTAATGATTCCAACGTTGTGGAATGATTCTATTACTAGAATGATTCCGTAAAATAGAACGATTTGCCTTTTCACGTGATTTTCACGTGATATACACGTGAAAAAGTGGGGTCAAAAAGGAAAAAAGTCAAAAAAATTAGAAGGACTGGTCCTCGAACCCACCACCCTTGCGCTTGTGTAACCTAACCATTAACCCCACTATTAAGGTTAAAGTTTAAAGTTCAAACGTTTGAGCTAATGGGACGAGGTGGCCAATCTCATCGAATTATTTCATTGTGGAGATTTTCCTGTTTTTAGGCCTTATAACCTTTACATCAGAAAAAATAAAATTTTGACTTAGAAAAAAAAAACTTTCGAAAAAAATTTTATTTTTTATTTTTATTTTTTTCGTTTTATCTTTTTTAAAAAAATATTAAATTTTTTTTTTATTATTTATTTTTTTTATTATTAAAATTTTGTATTATTAGTAAAATTGTTCCAAAAGTTGGAACGATTTTACGGGATGGAATGGTTTTACGGTTATAAAACGCTTTCTTTAAAATAAGACATTAAAAGTGGGTACTGAGACCTACTAGACCCGGATTCTGACCAATCAGAGCCCTTAAAACCCAAAAACGTTCCACCGCACGGAATCATTCCAGTTTTAGAATGATTCCGCCAAACCCCCCTCCTCCGCTATGGTAGGTATCTAAGTAGAAGGATTATGTTGTAGGGTATAGCGTAATAATATCAGTAAAAAACCTATAAACATGCCTATAATAAATTTATTAACAGCATTCATCAGCTTTCATAGAAAATGGAAAAAGCACACGCCCCCCTTCAAGCTATATCCACCTTTCACCTTACCTAACCCGACCATTAATACTAAATACTAATATCATCACCAATAACCAACCTCGTCTCGTCTCGTCTCGTCTCTTCTCCTCGTCGTCATTGTCAATTGCGTTTTGGTTTAACCATTATTCTTCCAATGTTCTCGTAATTTATTTTCTTTCGCTTCTCTCTTTAATCCCGTATTTATATGTCTCTCTATCGCCCCCCTCTTACGTCTTTGCTCATACTACCTCTGTTACCTTTGTATGATTGCGCTCGTCCTTAATCGCGATGGAAGATCTCTCAAGGGCTGAGTACCCAGCTATGCTGGTAAGCTTACATCTTCGATTTACCTCATCTATATAATAATGCTATATGCGCACGGAAGCGACTAATTACTCTACTCAAATTCTACAGGCAAACCTCCATCCTAATCAAGCTGTTCATGCTCTTAACGACCGAGTCAAGCGCATTTCCAAAGTCAACACCGAGATCGCCGATTGGTTACAGGTATTATACGCTATACGCACCACCCACTTACTCAACCATCATCAGATAGCTAAACTGCGATACAGGAGCGTCGGAAAGTAGAGGAGCAATATGTCCAAGGTTTAAAGAGGTTAACCCAGTTTCGGGTCCCGAATGCGCAGTCGGAACTTGGGTATGTTATTCAATGCCGCAATATCTTTATCGCAACCCCTTTCTATTTCCCTAATATTAACGATCATCATCACGAAGGACTTTCCAAGCACAATGGGACAAAATCATCCAATCCGCCGATGCCCTTGCTATGTCGCATCACATATTCGCCACCAAGGTCGAGAAGGATGTTGAGATACCCCTACGAAGCTTTCACCAGAAGAAAGAGATGCTGAACCTTCAAACCATTCAAGGCAATCTTCAGAATATGGCTAGAGAACTAGAAGATGCCCAAGAGCGAACCGATAAGCTAAGTAGGAAGGGTGGCAAAGCCAGCGCCCAAAAGGTAGAGCTGGCAGCTGGGAAGCTCGAGTTTGCTACTCAACAATGGGAATCCCAAGCGCCATTTATTTTCGAATCTCTGCAGGCCTTAGACGAAAGTCGAATGAATCAGTTGCGTGATTGTCTTACCCAGTACGGCACTTACGAAGGGGAGCAAGCGCAAAGTCACCAATCCGAAGCCGAAACGGTACTAAATAGTTTATTGGACTATAGCACTGCAACCGAGATCCAAAACTTTGTAGCTAAGACGACGGCTGGCCGGCCAAAGATCGAGAAGCGAACAACTACGGGACGACAATCATCCAGCTTAAGCGGCGGCAATTCCTCCCTAGCGCCTCCTAGCATCCATGCCCCAGCTGCTGACGATCGTAGCGAACATTCCGTCTTTAAGGACGGGCAAACGGAAAATAAGCTGCGCAGTCGCATCGGCACCATGCTCGGTCGGAGACGACAGAGCATACATGGTGGTTTCGGACCGTTGTCGCCTGCTAAAGGCCCTTTTGGAAGGAACATCAAAAGTAGTCATGGGCTATCCCCTAGAGCATCATCCAGTAACCTTGGCGATTCGACAAACAGGCTAGGGTCGCTTGTGGAAGACCCCCTTACGACCGAGACACCCTCTCGAACGTCCGAGACAAAAGAAAAGACCAGTCATGATGGCATGAATGGTTTAGGCCGTGACGGCTCTACCGATGCGGCCCCACCAGGAACGGCAACATCGCAAGCGTCGCACGTAAATGGCACATCGATCCCTGCTGATATCGCAGATGTGCCCCCTCCGCCAGGGCCCCCTCCATCTCAAAAGGAACCAGAAAAGGATTCCGAGGGTTTCAGTGTGCCAGCTCCGTCTAACGATCCTATCTCCCAAGCAGAGAGGGAGGCAGCCGCACAAGAAGCCGAACAGATATTCAAGCTCAATATCCAGAAAGAGCCCGTGGCCGAGGAGGACCCAGAAGAAAAGAAAGCAGCGCTCTCAAATGTCGCCAACAGCCTTTCAGCTATGGGAATACCAGCTCGGAAAGGGGGTACTATCAGAGGCCGAAGAGATGTACGCAATACTATCTACGTTCCTGCTCCCGTTTCTGAAGGTTCTGCAACTGAGCACCAACACCCTTTCCCTTCTTTACACGCTATATCGTCGAAGCCTGCCGGGGTTACTACCCTTGCCTCCGAAGCGAGCGTTGCAGGTACATCGGATACTCAGTCAGTCCGTTCTGGAAACTCATTGAGTAGTACTATTCACGTAAAACACCCCGACATGCATGAACCAGGTCTCAACTCTTCCGTCATGGAGACGGTTTCGGCAACATTCGAAAATGGTGAGATTCAGGGTGTGAAGGTTAATGGCGAGATTGCCTTCTCATACAACGCCTCGGATGTTTTTAACTTGCCTAGTAAGTTTGATCGTTATTGAAACGGGGTATCGTAGCTAACAATCAGCAGATCATTTACCTATTCGAATTAACAATTTCGCTACGCTCGACGTCATTGGTCCTAATCGTATTTTCGTCACGAATGATACCCCTGACCACCCAGAGCAATTCACCTTGGATCTTTCTCATCTTCACAAAACTTCCATTGGCTTCTCTTATAGGCTTCACGCAGATCCAGACGCTACTTCTGCAGAACATGTACCGGTTCTCGTTCACCCTGTATGGAAGCCACAGGGAGATAAATTGGGATTATTGCTTCAGTATAAACTCAACCCGGCTTTTAAACTCGCTCATGGTGGTTCCAGCGTGCAGGTGCATAACCTAGTCCTCTTTGCTACATACGAGGGTAAGGCATCAGGCGCTCAGACTAAACCATCTGGGACACACCTCAAGGATAAACATATTGTATACTGGCGTCTCGGCGATGTCACCCTGTCTCCGGATGCGGACTGGCAAAAGATCGTGTGCCGGATAATAGGCGACCAAGGCGTAGAGCCTAAGCCGGGCGCAATTGAGGCTCGGTGGGAAGTCAGCCTACCATCGAGTTTCGTTGAGAGCGCGAATGCTATATCAGTGTCAAAGTTCGAAGAGGGCAAGAGCAAGGAGGTAGAGCTCACCGAAGACGACCCGTTCGCAGACGATACCGCTACCGTAGAGGAAGGCAAGTGGGTCGACGTGCCTACAGTCAGGAAGTTAGTAAGCGGGAAGTACGAGGCGAGGTAGATGGAAATAAATATATAGGAGAAGTGTGGAGATACAGATTCGAAAGAACAGTAGGGAGATTTTTGTCTGGACGACGATGATGCTCTTTTGTAAATCAGATTAGCGGGTTGTCAAAAATTGAAGGTTCCATTTGTGCATATATGTTTCGATTATCTCTCATTACTCAACATTTCAGCTTTGTGGATAACTTGAAGGACTTGATACCAAACTGTCATAGGTGAAATACCGGCAGAAGTATTCTAATTCATGGCCAGTTATATAAAATATTTCTATAGTACCTCTGATCCTACGATTGTGATGCAAGCCTAGAATATTCAAACGTGTTGTGTATTATTTATATGTACTCTCTATTTTGGAGAGATGTGCAGCTAAAATGAACTTGCTGCGGCCAAATCATTTGGATATAAGCAACATGTCTCATTGTCCTGAACGCCCGCGTAAGCCTTCACAGGTAATCATTACATGCTATGCTATGCCGCATCATATCACACAATACCTCCTCATACTGCGGGACAGACATGAATAACGCCGCCCTGCTATTAAAAATTTCGATCGTGATTCGAACCCATCAACACAGTTATCGTACTCGTCCTTAAGTAGTACATATAAACAGCCGCTCATCCCGTATCTTTCACGTAGTCCGTTGGATTACCGACTAGCCCTGGTTTGTTCCTCGTAGAACTCGAGCGTAAGCGCCGCTAGGAAACCCGGGATGCAGCCCTTGTCACGGACCCAGAACTGGATTTGGTCCTGGATGCGGCGGGCGAAGGGGCTCTGCGGTCCGCCGGCGACCTTCATGGTGCCGCGCTCGCCGTCGAATACGATACTGTTCTCCTGCTCGTCGGTGACACTAGGGCAATATAAACTTTCCACACGCATCTTACCGTTGGGGATGAACGTCACAGTCCAGCCTAGTGTGCTAAAAATAGCCTCTTTGAACTCCTGCGACTTAGCCGCCCACACCTCTTTCAGTCGCCGCGTTGTCTTTTGCGCCGACGCTGTCTCCCGCTGCGCTTCTTCGATTTCGCGACGCGCCGCAGCTAGTTGTGACGCTGGGATTAAAGGAATGTTCGGGTTAGGGTTGCGGCGGGCTTCTTTTTGTAGTTGCGCTAACAGTTCCTTGTTCTCCTGCTTAAGAGCTTGGAGCGTAGCCATCTTAATCGCTTCAAAGTCGGAAGTAGGGTTGGAGCGTAGAGATAGGACGCGGATTTTGTTAGTTGATTCGGCGGCTGCGAGGCGTGATTGTAGAACCTCGTGTTCTTTTTGAAGGACTTGGTATTGCGTCTGAAGTTTCGAAAGCTCGTCGGCTAGCTTTCTGCGTTTTCTGTTGAGTTCACCGAGCTGCTCACTCTCAGATTCGTCGGAATGGCTGCGCTTAGATCCGATAGAGGCGGGTGCCGCATTGCCAGATGATTCCAGGGCAGAGAGTTCATTATGCATAGTCTGAACCTCCTCCTTGTACTGATCAACCAGCTTTTCAAGCTCGGAGATGCGATCAGCCTTGCTCTGATCAAAATTCTCAGAGTTGAAGGTTTCGTCTTCTGTATCAAAGGCCTTGAGCTGGGCGCGCAAGTACTCGACTTCCTTGATGGCAAGGGCACGCTGGCGCTCTATCCGAGCCTGTGCCTTGCCTGCCGATATAGGAGCAGTAGTAGTCTTTAGTTTTTCTATTTGCGCGCTCAAGTTTTTCCTTTCACTTTCTAAAGCCTTGATAATCTCATCACGCTCCGTGATTTGAGGTTGTATTTCACCAAGCTTTTCTACAAGAGAAGCAGAGTTATATCGCTCCTCCACGAGCGCACGTACGACCGCCTCAGGAGAGTCGAACTCCATAAGTCCGCCATCCGCGCTAGCATTTTGGAGGTAGGCAGTCCATGCCAAGCGTTCATCCTCCAATCTCTGTCTCTGAAGTCGAGCCTCGTTGAGTTCGGGTTCAAGAGCTTCGGCGGCCTCAAGCCGTCGTTGAAGCGACCGTTTCTCTTCCTCCACAACTTCTACGGCCCTATGTATTTGCCTTAGATGAGTTAATTCCGTATGCTGTTTGGTATTCTTCGACTCGAGTGATCTAATATGTTGGACTTGCTCAGTGAGTTCGCGTCGGATGATAGCGATAGTCTCAGCGTCACCAGTTTGCGCCTTTAAGCGCAATACATCGGCTTCTAAATTACCAATGAGCCTATCCTTCTCTAGAAGCTGCTGTTGTGCAACCTGTATTGAGACTTCCCGGGACTGGCCATCTTGTTCTAGCCCTTTGATGACATCTCGAAGATTTGAAAGTTGGGTTTCCATATCACTAACCCTCTTTTGGGCCATCCGATCTCCCTCCTCTTTTGCAGCTGATAAGTCTTCTAATTGCTCTCTCAGAAGACGCGCCTCATCTTCCGCATCTCGGGCCTTCTTCTCAACTTCGAGTTTCTCGCCAGTAGAACTTTCTTTAAGCTCCTGCAATTCCTTTTGCATACTTTCGTACTGACGCTGTGCCTTATTCTTATCACCTTCGGCGGCCTGTTTTTGTTTAAAGTCGTCTTCGGCTTTCCGTCGTACATCTCGTAATTCATTGTCATGTTGTAAAGCTATCATTTCCTTCTCCTGTTCGTAGTTCTCAAGTTTGTAGTGCATAGTAGCAAGCTCAGCCTTGAGCTCCTCTATTTTCCTTCGCTGGGTTTCATACTCCTCTGCGTCGGGTGGCGCAAGATTTTCCTTGGAACTCTCACGCGACGAGGCTCGGAGGGATTCTGCGCCCACATGGCTTTGTCGTGACGAAGGTCTAGCATGATGGGAAGTTTGTGCATCTTCGGCGCCAGTTAAGAAGTTATAGGAAGGTTGTGTTGCTTTTTGTAATGATGCGCGGAACGAAGTGACCTATTTCTTAACTTAGAGTTGATTATCATGAATCAGATCGGGATTGCTCATTAATGACTTTACTTACCCTCGACCTCGAAAACGATCCGCTTCCTGTACTTTGTCGAAAATTCCCGGACATGGCGCTTACTTGTAAAGCATACGTCGCCTAGTGTTTGCTCTCGTTATGAGTCTAGGTACCTATACATACCCAAAAGGAATGATGATTTGATAAGTTAGGTTAAAGTGCTTAAAGTGCGGTATCGCGACAAGACCCGCTAAATTGTTTTTGTTGTTTGCGGCTGCCCTGGCAATGCTGCCGCGATTAGCTAGCTTGATACCTTATCACGTGCAGATGATAAAAATGGCTTTGTAAAAACATTCTCTTTTAGAAATAAAAGCTTCTACCCCAGGATTACAGCTTTGTAAAAAATAGGTACCTACCCAACATCATAAGAGCTTGACAAACTGATATTTCAATAGAATATACGCGTTAAAAATTATATTCACTCACGAAATACACTTTAAAATATGCCTTAAATACATGTATGTATTTACACTGATATATCCTGTACATGCAAGATACATAAGTACATGTGAAGTGCGCAATAAAGACCGAGCAGCCGAGCTCCGTCCGTACCTAGCTACCCTTGCTGCATCTGTGGGTCTTTTAAATCAATGCAGGAGTTCCTGACTTGGCTTACAGCTCTTTACGCATTCTTCCGGGGGTATACGCCATTGCCGAAATTCAAGCTTTCAGCTGGCTCAGGTCCCACACAGCTGCCACGATGCTCTATGGTGGGCTTATTAACGTAATCTATTTCTTGCTTCCCTCACTAAGACTCGGTAACAATTTGGAGTTTCCCTTTCATACCTACATACCTATGCGCTACATTTAGGTCATACATAACACCTCGACTCGTGAGGTTCCAACACACATGGATTTCTTCTCTCGGTAATAGCATTGCGGCTTTTGCTGCTACTACTGACTTCTCGTGCCACTAGCAATTTGCGCAATTTACAATCCAGTCCGACAATCAAAACATCATAAGTAACTTCTCTCGAACACCGACACTATGGTTATACGACCGGCACCTCCTTCGGGTATGTCGTCATTAGCTATTAGGACACCCCTCCGACTCGCAATCCATCATTCGACACGAGCTACAAGGCAATATTCCGTACATACAACCCGATTACAATATCGACCACGCTATGACGTCTCTAGATCCCCTCATATCCTACCTGCATCCATACTATGCCTCCGCACATACGCGTCCGATGCTTCTAAAACTTCCGAGGGAGCTAAAACTGCGCACAAGCTTGAATCGGAAAGCGACTCTGCCACGAGCGCTGCCAGTTCTCCAGATGAGCCGCATTCGCAGAAGAAAGCCTCTTCCAACACACCACCTGACTCGGACTTCGATTGGGAAGAAAAGCCCAATTTCCACATAGAAAAGTTTACGGAGCTTCCTTATGCAAACTTTGGTGTAAATCAACATATGATCATTGATCGAGAGTACAAAGAAGCCCTTCGTCAGCTATTATGGAGATTTAGAGCTCCGATCCGATATGCCTTTGCGTACGGCTCTGGCGTCTTTCCGCAATCGACAGGTGGTACAGCTACTGAGGCTCAAATTAAGGCTGTCCATCCTAAGGCACCCGTTGCCGTCCAGAGGGCCCAGGATGGTTCTCCAAAGATGATTGATTTCATATTCGGTGTCTCGTATACGCAGCATTGGCATTCCTTAAATCTCATGCAACATCGTGATCATTATTCAATGCTTGGGTCGTTAGGATCAGGTGCCGTGTCTTATGTGCAGGATAAGATGGGCGCTGGAGTTTACTTCAATACTAACGTTACTGTGGATGGTATATTAATCAAGTATGGGGTTGTCAATATCGATACTTTGTGCAGGGACCTGAGCGAGTGGGACACGCTATACCTTGCCGGGCGTCTACATAAGCCAGTAAAGATTCTTAGAGATGATCCTAGAGTTCGTCTTGCGAATCAGATCAACCTCCTATCAGCATTGCGGACAGCTCTCCTGCTACTGCCTCCCACCTTTAGCGAACAAGAATTATATGCGACGATTGCTGGCATCAGTTATCTAGGCGACCCACGAATGACATTTCCTACTGAGAATCCAAAAAAGGTCGCGAACATCGTCAATCATAACATGCTAAACTTCCGACGGCTCTATGCGCCGCTTGTCGAATCTCTTCCCAATGTTGAATTTGATGACCCTGCTTGTAGCAAACCCGATTGGATCGACAATACAGACTCTGTATTAAAGCTACAACAGGATATGGACCCTGTAAAACGAGGTAACATGGTGCGCCGGCTACCAAAAGCCTTCCGCTCCAAGCTATACTTCGAATATCAGAAGAAGTTCCAGATACCCCAGCTCGAATTCAACAAAATGATGGAAGAGAAAAAGGACGAAGATGCTGGTTCTTTCAAGAGACAACAAGGCAGTGGCTTCGAACAGCGGATCGCGCAAGATGAGCCTGAAGCTCTTCGAAAAATTATCCGCGATGTTATCAAAAAGACGATCAGTTGGCCTAGCACTACCCAAAGTATTAAGGGCGTTCTTACGGCTGGTTTTCGACGAAGTTTCCATTACTTGAGAGAGAAGATGGCAAAATATCGCGAGGCAAGTAAACCCGAGAAGGATGGTGAGAAGTCTTCTTAAGGATTCTCAATATGCAGAGGCTATTCCTATTCGTGCATTCAGCTAGTGCTTCTTCTAGAGCTACTTAGGGCAACGCATACCCGTCGAGGACGATTATCGAATACCGCGTGATACACGTTCCAGTGCCAAAGAGCCGAGCCATAGCTATAAGGCAGTCATTGGACGTCTTAATCAATTCGAGAATACCGTTACGTTCAGCCCAAACAGTATATCTCATGCACCTAGGAGTAGCTCAAGCTTAGAGACATTAAAACAGGCTACTCCGATAGGAAGCACTAGTGAGCTACAGCTCTTTAATCAAGAGGTAGTTTGCAACGGTGTAGAACTTATCTCACAACCTAGAGACGTTGAGTCATGCCATACTATATATTGGGTTAGAAGGCGAGACGAACATGAGGGGTATACCGAAATACCATGCGTAAACGACGTAAAAGACACCATTTACCACTCATTATAGTCAGGCAACTCCATATGTATGTATAGGTATACATATATACTACCTAGCTGATCACAAAAACAAATATAATTTTCGTCAACTGGACATATTGGTTACCTGAACTATCAGTGTTAATCATGGATTTTGTGAGAAATTACAAATCGTACGCTGGCTAGGGAGGGATACGTATCAATTTCTCACGGACCGCTAATCCCTATACATTACAAATGCGAAGGGTACGGCAGCAAAAAGCGAAGAGGTTGTTATCATAGTCTCATTATTCGTTGGGGAAAGTTCTACCAAATATATCCTAGAGTTCTTATATTACAAGGCTCGCCATTTCGATATCAAAGCCTAGCATTGTCCTTATATCATAGATCTCAAATTACCTCCACCATGGTAAAATAAGAATCATAGATTCCACATCTAGGTCCTAGCTTAGCCGTTGACAATAGTGCCGCCATTGCAGTGAATCGTCTGGCCGCTGATGGCGGAACTGTCTGGGGATGCGAGGAACACTACACAAGTTGCTATCTCGCTTGGCTGTGCGGGTCGGCCCATAGGACTGGTAAACGACTTCTGTGCCTCGTCATCCATAGTAGCCGGGATAAGAGGAGTCCACACGGGGCCTGGAGCAATGGCGTTGACCCGGATGCCCTTGCCCACGAACTGGTTACTCAGACCCCGAGTGAAAGATACGATGGCACCTTTCGTTGAGGTGTAGTCCAAAAGATCAGGTCGCCCAATGTAGGCGTTGATACTGGCGTTGTTGATAATAGTTGCACCACGCTTCATGTGAGGTAGCGCATATTTAGCCAGGTAGAAAAAGGGGTGAATGTTGGTGTTGAACGTATGTATCCATTGGTCCCTTGGATCATTGTTAGATGGTGATGTCTAGAAGAGTCGAAACGGGGAATAGTCAACTTACTCGCTTAGTTCGTGGATGTCACTCTTCACCATTTGGTATGCGGCGTTATTAAAGAGGATGTCGATACGACCCAAGCTCTTCAACGCCTCCATGACAACTTTCTTGCAGTTGTCTCTGCTCGTCAAGTCAGTGGAAAAGAGATGGCATTTTTGGCCGTGCGATTCTACGATGCGTTTCGTCTCCTGGGCGTCCTTCTCTTCATCGGGGAGATAGACGATAAAGGAGTCGGCTCCTTCTAGAGCAAATAGAATGGCCGTCGCTCGACCAATTCCCGAGTCGCCACCTGTAATAATGGCTTTCTTCCCCTGGAGCTTGCCGGCGGCCTTATACTTCTGATACCCGCCATCATCTGTAGGTAGGGTATCATACTGGGCTTGTATGGGCAGCTTGTGCTCTTTTCCAGGAAACTCTTGATGAGTTACCGGGACTGAATGTCCTATAATACTCGCGTGTTAGTAATTACCCCTTAATAATATAATTGTTATGATATGCATGTTTTACTTACCCTCTTGGAATTGTGAGTCGGACATGTTGAGTAATACGCTACGCTAAATCGAATAAGTCTTTCAACAGCTAGTAAGAAGTAGCTATTTTTACAATTGAATTAAAGTAGTTCAACTAAGAGAGTTTGATATATCTGGAACGAGGATGAATTGATATATAGGCATATTAATGGGAAACACAGCGAGTCATGACATCACTCGGTATCAATTACATCTACATTGCTCAGAGCCGCTTTTCTGCAACTTAGCTCACAATGACGAAGGTGTAAAATGAACATTCCAATTTTTATGTTTGCATTTTTTGATCAGCAGAAAATTACAATTATTTAAACTCATAACAAAAAAAAAAACCCCCTAGATTTAAAGGAAATAATCGTTACCGTAAATTTTGTTTATACGAGGGGTTATTTTTTCCATAGCTTAAAAGGTAAAAAAGTAACTTTTAATAGGCAATGTTTAACACGTACGCAATTATGTAAATTCGGGCTATTATGCAACCCGTAAGATTGCCTCCAATTAAAAATAACTTTACAGGTTGCATAATAGCCCGAATTTACATAATTGCGCACGTGTTAAATACTTTAAAGTCATAGGAAAAAAATTCGATACAATGACCCCTTGTCAAAAAGGTGCATTCGCGCTGTACAACGCTACGCGCTATTCACGGATTGCTTAGAAATGGATGCTTCCGTCAGTTAGACTTTCCAGTAACGACTTCTTCTTCTCCTCAACCCCCCCTAGAATTTCAATTTCTTCTACTTGGTTATCATGCCAATTCCATTCTTCTACGATGTACTTGTCAATGGCCCCCCAGCTTGGGTTCCCGATTGGGCACGCGACCCATGGATCTTGTTCCAAATTGGAGCCGTTACCGGATTCCTGTACCTTCTAAAGCGATACTCCAGCGGAACCGTGAGCGTGGCGGAACGCAAAATGCACGGAAGGATAGTCATGATAACTGGCGGGACATCAGGAATAGGCGCTGCTGTAACACGAGACTTAGCTGAACGAGGAGCTCAAATTGTGCTTCTTACCCACCTACCGCCGTCGAACCCTTTCCTCGCTGATTATATCGGGGAGTTACGCCAACGAACGAAAAACCAAATGATATATGCGGAACAGGTCGACCTCTCTTCTCTACATAGTATTCGTAAATTTGCTACCAAATGGATCGATAACGCACCGCCTCGCCGGTTGGACATGCTCATTCTATGTGCTGCTACTATTACACCACCAGGGGGTAAACGTACGGAGACGGAAGAAGGAATTGAAGAGATGTGGATGGTCAATTATCTCGCCAATTTCCATCTATTAGGAATATTAAGTCCAGCTCTCCGAGCCCAACCCTTCGATCGCGACGTACGAATAATTATTCCGACGTGTTCCTCTTACATTCGGTCTCCCACGCTTAATAGTGCGCTCGTGAAGAAGGAATGGGCCCCAGGGAAAGCTTATGCCCGAAGCAAGCTGGCATTAATGGTATTTGGGCAAGCGTATCAAAAACATCTCGATGCGTACAAGCGACCGGACGAACTTCCAATGAACTCACGAGTCATCTTCGTCGACCCTGGCTTTACGCGCACTCCTGGAATGCGGCGATGGTTGACACGAGGTTCACTCTGGGGACTTGCGGTCTATGTATTCTCCTACATAGTACCCTGGTTTCTGTTAAAGAGCCCGGAAATGGGTGCCCAGTCTATTCTTCATGCCGTTATGGATCCAAGGCTAGGGATGGGACCGGGTGGCAAGCTTATTAAGGAATGTCGCGAGGTTGACTTTGCGAGGATGGAGGTAAAGGATGAAGAGGTAGCGAAAAAGCTATGGGAAGCCAGTGACAAGCTTATTGAAAAGACCGAGAAGGAACAGGCAGCGCTGAGGGTTTTGGAAAAGAAAAAGCAAGAGTTAAAAGAGCAGGAGAAGAAGGAAGCAGATAAGGCCGAGGAGATCGACTCGTTAATAAACACGATCAAGAAGGGGAAAGAGGCTGAAAAGAAAACTTCGCGACGGAAGGGTAAAAAGACTTCGTCGTAAATAGACTTCTTAATAGATAGTTTAATATTAAGTATCCTCGCTCCAATTCTCCTGTGCAGCTTTCGAGAAAAGAGTCTTGATGAACTGAGAAAGATAGGTACCTACCTACATTGAATAAATTGATGTATCCTATTAAACTTACATATTTCTCTAACGACTTATATGTATAGCAACTTCCGGGGTGCATACCTAACGGATTAAACTGCATTAGTCTACCTGTAGATCCAGCCTAATTCAACATAGATGTATAGCCCCGAATTTAATAGCTTATCGATGCATCATCATTGCATGAGTTCAACGTACCGAGTATACATTATGTATTTCAATAAGATATAATGGATCAGAGTTCCACCGTAGGACAAGCATTAGTTGCTACCGCCAGGAAATTTATCATCGTAGTAGGCAAATGTTTATTAACTTCTATTAAATTGTTTTATTTCTTCAGTCGAACGGGACATAATGCTGCGGCACTCGGTATCTCAAGTCTTCGGCTTAAAGCACCCTGCTTTATCCCCACGTGAAAATGACGACATTAGACAACGACCTCGGGTTAGTTTCAATTTCGCAGCTGCATACGGCTTCGTTCTTATCTTTGTTTACTAACTTTTACATTCAGCCGCCCAACGTAACAATAACTCAGTTGTCGGCTCAAACATCACCTCATGAATCCGACCGTATATTCCCAAATGTCTTACCTCTAAACTTATCACCTCGGTCCTCATACTCTCAAGAGCCGATTTCAATGCCGATACCGACTCCGGTCCCGGTCCCGGCAGTTCAGCCATTGCCGCTTCCCGGTCACATGCCACAAGGTATCGCGGCACCAATACCATACTCTTCAACTCTTGCGACTATGAAAATGGACGCTTCGAGTCTGCATCCCGTTTTCTTCACCGAGAGGCTACGGAGGTCGCCGTTTGTGTTTGACGCGGCGGGAGTAACTAGCCCCGTTGCGCATGGATACGCCTATCCGGAAACACAGCGAAGAACTGATGGGACTATTTCTTCTAGATTATAAGAGATATTTCTCATGGGCAAAGGGGTAGAGGCAGGCTTCATGGATCAATGTTTCGACTAATAATTAGAGTGGCCGAGTACTCTTAACAAATCTTTGAGCTTATCTAAAGAAACTATTTTTATTACATCATAAGGCGATCTGCTTGCTACAGACTTGGCTATAATCATAGGAGCTACAAGCTCACTTACAGCTGCTTGAACCAATCTGCTTGTTAAAAGTACAGAACTGTATGTACATAGTTACAAACGAGAATACACCTGGTATCCTAGAGCAATTCCTCCGACTCGAGTACTGACGCCAACAAAAAGAACAAGGCGGGTTGTTCTTTTTTCCGCCTATTCGTGAGCCTTGGTATTATCATAGACTACATCCTCTCTACTTGTCAGCCTAGGGAAAACGCCGTTCAAAATACAACAAATTAGGAGGCTTTTCGCGCTTTCTTCCTTAGACCGCGCATGGATATCCCTCAACTTTCAAAGAACGTATACATGTACGCTGTTGTACTTCTGGCTCATCCCGTAGCATTCTTGACTGTAATCACAATCGCGGCAATGATCAAGAGGATCACTACTACGAGCAGCGCCATTAACTTGACGTTTTTCCACCACATCTGCCTCTTGAGACCGCGGCTGCGCACTCTGAACTCTCGCGCGCTGCCACCTAGGCGGTCTGTCTTATCAACAAGTAAGTCGATGCGTTCGCCTCTCTCGAGTAGACCCTCGATGTTGCGGGTCATGATGCCACGGACGTCATCGATCTCGCGCTGTACATTGGTGATGGCATCGTCGCGGCCACCGCTCGTGGTGCCGAACTCGACCATCAGGTTTTTGAGCTCGGCATTAAAGCTTCCCGCGCCATAGTTAGGCATGTCGGTGAAGTCGGCCGTCTCTGCGGAGAACTCGTTGAAGAAGCGCTTGCGGATCTCGAATAGGAAGCCGAAGGGCACGCGACGGCCCAGCGACGACTCCGCGATCACGAGGAATGTCAACCCGCCGGCCGACCGGTTGCCCGGATGCGCCGAGGGCGCTTCCGATATGTAGTGGATGTGATGCGAGCCGTGCGTGTACGTGAGCTTCTGAGGAGTGTCATGGTTGATCTTGGGGAGAATAAGGGAAGCGAGCGACGAGGTTTGCGACGAGGCCGAGGTCGTACATTCTGCTAGTATGGTAGTATGATGCGCGATGCACGAACTGCGCCTGTTAGCTACGCTCATTGGTTCCTTTCGATGGATAAGATTGGATCAGGACGTACTAGAGAAGTGGAGTTTGAGGTGTCGAGGAGGACGCCATCGTGAATAATATATTGAGTCACTCGATCTATGTAGAATGTAGCTAATCGCTTGGGACTTTTGATGATGGTATTCGTGGATTTGAATCTTGATTAGCTGGTAACATAGGGGAGGAATATCTAGGAGGGAGGGATTTTCGAAGGTAGGGAATAGGATTGGCAATAGGATTGACAAAAATCAAGTCAGCAAGTTCAGGCGGTTGGGGGTGAGGTGAGGCTACCTTCTTAGGCGGTCTCAAGATCCATTAATGACGATGGGGAATGCATTAAGTGATACGCTAGCCAACACTAGCCAATGAAAGACTGAGCTTAAGAACCAGTATATCACAATAGGCAAGTACCGTTTGTACTCCGTGCGTATGTAATACAAACCGTACTAAGCGTCCCTCGGATAAGCCACGGATTGATCGATAAGAAAAATTTATGTGGTTGAAGTTTCTAGGGTACGAAGTCTATAATTTGCCTCCAATTGATTGAATGCTTCGTTAGCTTCAAGGTTGATGGCAAGCCATTTTTAGTGCAAAGGGATCAAAATTTAATGTTTAATATGATTCCTGACCTCTTTCTCATTCTCATTCTTTATATGTGAAATGCACTTCCCTCTCAGGACTGGACCGGCTAGTTCAAGCTATGCGGCTCACGTATATCATAGGCATATCTTTGGAAATGTCTCTCTTAGAAATATCTCTTTTAGACATGCCTTTACAACATTCGGTGCCGTGGCGCGCGTCCCAACAAAGTCGAGGCCAAATCCCTACTTAAAAAAATTCCAGGTAAGAAGAATATAAGATTACTCAATCATGAACATTAGCAATTTATAACAGTCGAAGCCAGGTGCACCATTTCACAATCCAAGATATCAAGAAGCTCAATCTCGTTTGAATAAATTAGGTGAAGATGGTTCCAAGAGATCCAAACAGTCGCAAAGAGAAGCGACTAAGACCTATGGCATATTCCGAAACCTAACTCTTGGTAGATATGACCTGATAATGTCTACTTCGAATGGTTGGGAAGGCAAGCAGAATGAGTACAAATCATTCGGTGTCAACTCCAAGATCGACCTAGACCGCGAGGTAAAGCTGTTTAGGAATTCGATTGAAAGGGCTTGCGATCTTGCGAGTGAGAAGAATGCTATCTCAAAGACTGAAAACCCCTTGTTCTGGAGTTTGCGCAATGCTTTCGTTGAAAATGATATTGTTGGCCTCACTGAAGAGTTGACCTATGGCTTCCATAACTTTCTTATGCGCTCGAGATTTCCCAAGAATATCGCCTCTACGCATAAAAAGATCGCAGATTTTCGGTTCCCTTATGAGTGGTTTCCTGCTACACGGGCTATGCAGCGCACAATTCATCTTCATGTCGGTCCGACCAACTCTGGGAAAACCTACAATGCCCTAAAGGCGCTTGAAAACTCCAAGTCCGGTATCTACGCAGGTCCTCTTCGACTATTAGCACATGAAGTATATAGTCGATTCAATGCTAAGGGCAAGAAATGCGCCTTGATTACCGGTGAAGAACAACGTATTCCTGAGAACGAAGACAATTATTTCAGAAGCTGTACCGTTGAGATGGCCCCTCTTAATTTACCAGTGGATGTTGCAGTCATCGATGAGATCCAAATGATTGGAGATAGCGAAAGAGGATGGGCGTGGACTCAAGCGGTCCTAGGTGTACAAGCCAAGGAGGTCCATCTCTGTGGAGAGGAGCGTGCTGTGGACCTAATTCAGTCCCTATGCGCTACTATTGGCGATAAATGCGTTGTAACGCGGTATAACAGACTCAGCCCGCTACAAACCATGAATACGAGCCTAGATAACTACACAAATCTTGAAAAGGGGGACGCTGTCATCACATTTTCCCGAGTTGCCATCCACGCCATAAAGAACCAGATCGAGAAGCTTACAGGGCGCCGATGTGCCATGGTCTACGGATCATTGCCACCCGAAACTCGCGCTCAGCAGGCCGCACTTTTCAATGATCCCGATAACGATTACGATTTTCTCGTTGCTAGCGACGCCATTGGCATGGGCCTGAATTTAGAAATTAAACGGATCATCTTTGAGCAAACACACAAACGCACGAAAACCAGCTACCGGCAAATATCAGTGTCCGAAATCAAGCAGATAGGAGGCAGAGCTGGCCGTTACAGGACGGCACGCCAAGCAACCGAATCAGAATCGACAAAGGACGTAAATGGAGACGAGATAATCGGAACCCCACCGCCTAAAACTGGCCAGCCTGGGTTTGTGACAACTCTAGAAAGGGCCGACCTTTCCGTCGTAAAGAAGGCATTCACTCGCGAGCCAGAACCTATACTGTCGGCTGGTATACAACCACCACCGTCAGTCATCGAACGATTTTCATCATACTTCCCACCTAATACCCCATTCAGCTATATAATATCCCGCTTGCGAGATATTGCCCGAGTTTCTCCGAGATTTCACATGTGCGGGTTGAAAGAAATGCTATCGGTTTCCGATTATATCCAACCTTTTCCCATGTCGGTTTATGATCGATGTGTCTTCCTAAATGCGCCAGTCTATCTGGCTGATAATGCGGGCGTTAAAATACTACAAGCTTTCGCGAGGTGCGTTTCTAATATGGAAGGAGGTGAGCTCCTCGATATCCCAGAGATCGACCTGGAACTTCTTGACACGAGCGATGAGGCGTTCGGTAACTCACCAGAGCATCTGCGACGACTAGAAAGTCTTCACAAGACGATAACACTCTACCTCTGGCTTAGCTATCGGTACTCTGGCGTCTTTCGAAGCCAGAACCTTGCCTTCCACGTTAAGGAATTATTGGAGGCTCGGATTGATGCTCATCTGGCTAACGTTAGCGTTGACACTGCTAAGCGTAGAGCGAGGTTAGAAAAGATTCGACAGCAAGCTAGTAAATCGGAGCGTAAGAAAGAAAGAGTTCTTGGTGGAGACGCCTCGGTCGATGGCCCCGGACATGAAATACCTGGCGAATGGAATGAGGAAGGGCATGAAGAACCCTTATATGACAGCCCCGAAGAACTGGAACCCATCACTCGGCTAGAGCCACGCTCTAAAAGGAGTAAGGCCAGTCAAAGAGCTTAGACGGGTGCAAATTAGTGGTGTCGTACATATATATCCAGGGATGTAATATAATGTACAATATGGCGACTAGCAAGGACTAAGTCTGCAGGATAACTCCAATCACGTATAGCCCTCCTATAGGCTAGGTATAAATATACCAAAAATGGGACAATGATGAAGAATACATACCTATATATGTATAATATATACCTATGCATATGTAAGACTTAAGCATCTGCATGTAATATATAGGTACATACAATTAGAGTAAGAAGGAAAGTGCATACACTTATAAGGTATGCATGTATTAATTATTCATAACTAGAAGAAGAAAGATCTTTCGACGTATATGAAGTAAGGCAAGTGCTTTATAAAGAAAGACAACCTTAGGCATATGCAGTACCGTTGGAAGTGCGGCGGATATTGCGTTAAAGATCTTTACCGACTTCAACCTTTCAATATTCTTATCTGTCTACCTCCTAACCAAGCCGTATTGACCTTGGTATAACCTTTACCTATAAGCCGCATTTCACACGATCGAAATTCCTATATTAATAATGGATCTTTTGTCAACCTCGCATAAAATTAACTCTTTAAAGTGACAAGACCTAATGACTATTATTCATCCCTACCCCTTAAAAATGCCCCGGTTCCTCGCTATGGGAGGCAGCGCTGAAGATAGAAGCTCGTCATCAGAATGGTCTCACCGGAGTACTACTAGTCGATAGCGACCTCCCAGCATCTCCGGTATGGATGGGCCAACGAGCAGACTACCGTCATCATCAGTACCAACTATGCACCCTGTTGGACGGCAAATTGTGAAAGAGTCATACAAGAGTGCGCCGGTCACCCCGAATACATATATTGACCCGCCGCGCCCGGCCAGAGAAGGCTGCGAATGGGTCTGGTTTCCAGCAGGATACTGGGCCGAGCGTGAAGTCGCTGAGAGCCCTGGAAAGGTCATGAGGCACTTCAAATGGCGAAAGCGCTCTGGCAAAAGTAGTTCTGGCTGGGATACTCAAGATGGTATGGAGAACTCATCCAGTAGTCTATGGGATCATATACCAAGGATCTCCCAGCCTTTACCTAGCCCCCTTCCCAGCGAGGACAGCCATAACCAGTCATATCAGGGATTATCGTTCAACCGCCATGGCACGAGTAGCGAGAGTGGCAAGTCTATGTTTCCGCTTAATCGAACGCCACAATCACCACTACCCAGCCCCTATCTAACAGAAGAAGCCCACGTACAGTCTTTACAGAGATCCCCCCAATGGTTTCAAGGTAGCGAAGGCGAGATTTCATTTTCTGGGCCGGCTAGACCGATACAAAGCTCACCACTCACAATAATAAGTGGTGATTCGGACTCCGCTACTCCCCTTGCAACTTCTGTAAGCCAACTACCAAGCACTTCAGGGGCTTCAGTTTCGTCTATGCTCAATTTAACTACAACTACGTCCGATGCTAAGCCCAGGAAATCGTTCTTTTCAAGGCTTTTCCTGGACCATAGGCCAGTAAGTCGAGGAAACATACTTAAATTTCGATATACCTGCCCCTATCTCTCATTCTCAAGTATGCCAGGGCACTGACAAGTACATTACATGATTAATGTAGAAAATCAAGAAGATGTACAGCGACAATGACGCATACGAATATTCAGCAATAACGGTACCGGGTACACCAACACAGCTTTTGAGTCACGGTCACAGTCGTTCGCCTGCGCCGCTCATGGGTCGCGCAGCATCGCTACTACGCGAGGAGAGCAAGAGGCGGCGTTCATTTAGGCTCTTCGGAAAGAGTCCCTGGCACCGTGAAGCTTCTGCCGGCTCTGATGTGAGCACCTCAAGCTCGATCCGCGACGTTCTCCGAGGCCGGACACCCGTCACAAGCCCGGTTTCGTATATTGGTGTGTATCTCCGAGACCCCTATAATTCCAAGACTATTCCAATGTATCGAGAAACAGATGGGAGGGTAGAGACAAGCAGACTGGGCAAATAAGATACGGACTAACTAACAGATTTATATAGAACCGACGCATACGTTTTGCGCAGAGTTCCCCGGCGGTGTAAGTCTGACGGCTATAATATTTGTATAGACGCTCAATTCGCTTACTTCACAACTAGGAGGCAACTCGCATAAAAACACCCCCGCTGCGTGGGAGCGGCCATCATGCTTGTAAACCACAGTCCTTCTTCTTCGACATCTCAGCACCACCGCCTCACCACGGAAACGGCAACAATAGTAACAGCGAGCCTGGACCTTCTCGCAGCCCCGAACCTCTTTCCCCTTCTACTCCCGAGCGTAATACTGTATAGGACCCGGATATTCAGGAGAGGGATAAAAGGAAGAGCGGCTCGAGCAAAGAGTGGTGGGAGGTGCCGGTAGCTCTAAACCGATACGAAACCGTGACGCATAACTCTTTCGAATTTGACATGCCGGAGCATCTGCCCAATAGTCCTATGTGCCCGACCAACAAGAGGCACGCATCCGGCGGAACGGGGATCTGCGTGTACCATGGCAGAAGAAAGAAAAGTAGAGATATGCTAGGCAATGCTAGGAGCGATGTTGATGATGATGACGGGGATAGATGGATATAAAGAGGTTGCTGATTGGTAATTAAGTATCACTTGTAGACGGAATATATTATTATCATAAAATATCTCTCGTTGAACCACGATATATTATTCTTATACAATATTGATGTATTACATACCACTAGAGAGGAAATCTCGACGAAACCCGGGAATCCCGAGAACCCTCGCCGAATGGTCGAAGCATGGCATAACGCAAAACATTGCTCAGTCCGAGCCAGTCCTACCTCCAACTCCTAGACTAAGAAGACATCCTTCTCCCATCTATCTGATCCGTAGTGAGTCTCGCTATGCAAAGTCTTCCTGTAGATATTCTAGCCGAGTCCCCTAAGAGCAGCCCTAGAATCCAGAACCCCCCGGGATACCGGTCCACCCACAACCACCATCGCGGCCGCTGGATTGGCGTGGTGGACAACACGCAAGACATCTAGTCGTGGGTCTGGATCTTATGGTCGCCCTTGACGGCCTCGGCGTAGGTAGGCGGGGCGTGGCCCTCGTCGTCGTGGACGTCGGAGGGACCAGCAGACGAAGAAGAGGCGTTGTTGTTGTGGTGGTTGCTACTGTTGTCGGTAGCACCGTAGTTGGGCTGCGAGTTAGAGGCGGACTTGGGATGGGCCTGGGGACGGGCTTGGGGTTGAGGCTCCTGCACGAAGATGTAGGTGACTCGGGCGCTCTCGCTGTCCTGCGGCACGGCTTCGTACTCGTACGACTCGGGGAACTTGGAGATTATGTACCAGGCGTGTATGGTGCCGGGGAGCTGTGGGATGGTTAGGATGGTTAGAATTGAGATAGAGATAGAGATTGATGCAGATTGCGTTATGCATGGGGATGGATATCATGGGTCGTGGATCGTGGGTCGTGGGGTATGGTGGGACTTACGTAGCCTAGTAGACATAGTAGGATGTTAATGATAGAGTCGGCAGAGCAGAGACCGGTTTTGACCCAGACTATTAATTATTTCATCGTCAGCTATTGGCCTCTAAAAAATGCAATCGGCGTTTAAATCGCAATAGTAGTTGACGGCTGTTCGTGGTCATCGTGAGATAGATTGTCTATCCGCGCCAGGCAGACGAATAGCGAGGGAGGGGGGGCAAGATTCATTGGGGGGATGACGTACCCGGCAGAGGGGGGAATAGGATGGCTAGAAGGCCGAGGAACAAGTCCGCGGAACACATGTTGATCTGGTTTTCGTTTTTTTCTATTTGTCGGCGTAGGGAAGAAGAAATAACAATAAAGAAATATTGGAATAAATCGCGAGGGAGTATGGAGATAGGTAGGTAAGTATATAAAAAGAAGACTAGGATCGTAAGGTTGCAGGAAAGTTGATGATGAACGAATGGGGCGTCGTGCGAGCTGAGTCCGGGGGTGGGTAAGGACAGTACACTAAGAACAGTATGGGAGTATTACTTCATACCTTCCTCGTTGGGGACGGGTACAGGGTCGAGGGCAAGCTAATTCTAGCGCTAGGACCCGGGTATTTGCATGATGGGTAATGTATGACGCTATGCTACCGCACTGTGTGTTTGGGTTGGTGTGGCTTATTTCTGCAGGCAACATCAATCCTTCTTCTGTGTGGCTGACAGCAGAAGACAAACGACCTCTATCAGCTTTCTAACAATTCAAGACTATAATACTTTCCAGTCCCTACTTACAATTTGGTTTAATCAGCAGTCTACCGATCTACTAGTTCGGCTTAACACTAGTTAAGCGATACGTTAACATAGAATCCACGAACGTTACAAAGTAAGAAAATATAGATCATAATTAACTAATAAAAGCTTCAGCAGCAATACAAATATTAAACGCGCCTATTCACCAGAGTCGATCCACCCCAATCTTCAACCAAGTCTGTTTTTCTTTCTATTCTAATCCGCTCCTCTATACCTTGGATCTCTCTTTTCTTGTCCTCCATAGCCATTCGTAGGTATTCACTTCTTTCCTTCAAGCGTGTGAGGCTCCGTAATAATCTGAAATCCCCGAGAGCCTTCATCCAGCGGCCCCCTATCATGTCTAGTCTCTGGGCCTTTTTTCTTTGTATCAGCAATTTCCTGCTTGGTACTAGGTTAGCCTTCCTCCTTCTACAAGTCCTCCTCACCAAAATCTAATTCTTGTCAGTTATCGTTTTCCCGGAATACACGTTGTCTTATGTCTGGAATTTTTCCATCGACTTCTTCGCGAAGTTCTTCAAAAAGCCTCTCATAAAATTGATCAGCCCTCTCTAAGGCATCCTTTGCTACGAATACATCGCTTTCTAAGCTATGCCGCAACATCCAAAGAGCCCAGGACTCTTCGTACTCCAGACATCTGGAGACCGATGGGATGGAAAGTAGTTCTGCAATATCCTTCTTGAGATCATTCCTTGAATCTTCTGTTTTGCATACCAAATACTTCGAGACTAGTGTTTTTGAGTAATTACGAACGTCTCCTTGTATTAACATCTGCAAGTTGCCAAGCCTTTCGAACTCTGCTGCCGGCTCTGTAGAAATTCTGACAAGCTCTAGCAGCGCCATCACTTCAGTTTGATAATCGCCAAGAATTTGTGTCGCTTTTATCACCATCCTTAGTGGAGCTTCAAGATCAGGTATTGCTTGACCTATGCGCCAACCTGGGTTTTCTGTCTTTAAAGGAATATAACGGGGTAGTCGATAATTTTTGTTGTAGTATACTGCGCCTGGTGATGATTGAAGGTGTTGTAGTTGTGGAACAGCATCGTTAGTATCTTTACTACGGGTTTTCATTAATATCCATTTCATGAAGGGCCGGCTCTTCATGCTATTGGGATCCTTCTTCATTATAGAAATTGCAAGAGATGTAGACTGGTCCATTAAATATTCGACTAGTTTATCCTGTCGTTCGGGGTTTAGAAGTTCCTTCTGTGCATAAGACATAAGGACACTGAGAAGTGCGAGTATTGTTGACGTATCATATCCATTAATTTCACCGAGCCAATCATCGATAAAGCTCTGGATACGCTTCCAAAGGAGAGGGTTGTCACTCCAATCTTTACTTATGTCAACACTCGGAATCCTTGCCACGGTAATATCGTGGATGTCCCAAACCCGCCCGTGTCTAAGGAGGTTGATATATAAATTTCTGTAGAATTGCGAAGGGAACAAGTTACCAAGGCGCTCGTTGATAGACGAGTCTAGTGTATGATTAAGACGATAGACCAAGGAAATCATTTTGATCTAACGATTTAGCAATAGTCTACTAAGCGAATTATAAGCTTTAGACTCACCTCTGTTGAACTTATATCTCCATCTCCTGCGGCTGCGTTAGGCTCAATCATAGTGTGAAGACCATGTAGAGCCTCATTCACACATGTATCAAATTTATCTAGGTTGCCGAATAATTCTTCCGAGTAAGGGCTAGGTTTGTGGCTGGCGCCAAAAGCCAGTATCAGCTGCCAGTATAATCTAAGCAGATTTCCATCGTCGTTGTTTGTAGCTTCACCCGCAGTAATGTATATGGGAGTATCGTCGATTCCGGATAGAGCATTGAAGTCGCCCTGCTCGAGTAGCAGCTCTGCGTATTCTATTATGATATAGGGTTTATCTAGGTGATCTTGGAGATTTGCTTTAAAGAATCTCTTAGCAGAGATAAAGTCACCTAGTCTTTGTAGACGGCAAAATTCTTCAAGACTTTCTTCGAGATCTTCTTGACAAGACATCTTGAGATGGACCGTAATATCAGAAGAATTGCATGGATCCCAAATGCAATTGATTTTCCGTTTCGAGAGAATCGAGCTTTGGTCATATACTCTGGAAGCTGATGAGGTTGCCTTATCTTCCTCGGGGTCCATGGTTGCGCGGCTGTCATTATCTCGATTTTGATAGACTGGGTAGTTTTTAGAACGCCGACATAATTTATTGTTTACGCAAGGTGTAGCGTGTTCTCGACTTTTGTCGTCCACAGTATTCTTCCCTAGTGTTTCAAGTTGCCTCGTATTAGTCTTGTCTTGATTCTCGAAGAATCTAGGCCTGCTGTAATTTGTCGGTAGCTCTGGCCGGTATCCAACCTTGGTAGTACCAATTGTGCCAGTAACCTCTTGCAGTTCCTCGCTATTAGAATCGCCAGACATGATGCTACATGGAAAGTGGCCTATTGTTCTTGAGATGAAATATTTCGCGAAATCATTGGGGGCAAGGCTATAGCGGGTTAAGGACGCGCGATTTTGAAGAAAAAGAATCGAATATTCAGCGACAAGAAGAGTCGAGCAGCTGACATAGTGTTCCCCACCCATTATCATTTATCGTTCGTGTATTAAGACAGCCTACATGATGTGACATTAGGAGACGCCACATAGAGCAACATGCCAAATCCATTGGCTAATCTGGAAGGGCCCCTCCGGTTCAGTCCGTATTAAAATATAAATACCTACCTCTTAGGTAGGCAACCAAGCCTAACAAAAGTCCACGAGTAAGCCAGAGCCCAGGTAGCTTTGGAAACCCAGATGCCTCATCTGACCAACGCTATGTCAAACATTCAACCTGAAGATCACCCCATTAAAAGCGGTTTCGCGCTGTCTGTGAAGGAGCGTATTCTACGAGGCCGTAAATGTGGGAAATATGATTTCGATCGGTTTAAGCGGTTAGTAGGATCCGCCTATCATGTTGGCGAAGGGAATATCGGAGACGTCGAAGTTTCGTGCAAGTTTCTATTCAGAGAATCGCGATGGGGCGTTTTAAAGCCGGAGAAGAACCCAGGAGGCATCGTCTACTTGGACTTGACCTTTGCCGAACCGCCAGGCTGTCACCTTAAGGGCGCGACGGTATCACTAACTTTAGACGAAGCGGACGAAGAATTGCAACATTACATTAATAATACGGGCCGATTAGAAAAACCTGAGGTTCCTGTTCAAATAGTCGAGTATGGCCCGAAAAATCTAAAAGGTCGACCAGATAGGTTTCCTAAGTCGGAGAGGCGCTACTTCGCTCCTAGTGTTGATGTCAATGGTATGTTTACTATTGGCGGCGTGGGTAAAGATTCAGAGTTACAATACATGGAGATAAATCAGTGGAGATTATCAAGCCACTCAACGGCTGGCAGATCGGGTAGACCTGAAACCCTTCGATGGTATCTTGACGAAAACAAGTTCGACAGTGAGCTGAAGCATGATAATACGTTTCATACAGCACTTGCATTTGAACATGATGGGCAACCTTTCTTCATGCGAGTCGAAGTTAGTGGTTATCTTAGAGGAGCAGCTTCACGACTACGACATAAAGCAACGAGTATACTGAAGGAATTCAAGTTTCCCACCCAGCCCCAATATGCAACAACCCTGGTAGACTTTGGCGGTAGAAAAAACCCTTACCAAGACCCCCTTGACAAGTTGGTCGAGACAATACCTTCCGATATGCTTAAAAGGAACATTAGCGTTATTACTGAAGTTCCCGAGGAGACTCATTTGAGCACGGGACCAACCAATGAGCTCCCAAATGAGGGACAGATATCAGACCCTCTTAGTCAACTTACTGTTTCGAACAGTGTAGATGAGTTAGAAGGCTTATCTAACGAAGAGCTTCTAGGAACCGCAGGGGATTTATTATCCCAGGAAGAGCGTTCTATGGGGCAAATTGAAATATCACGGACGATAGAAACACGGGCACCAATTAATATCCAGCGTCCAGAAATTATCAAACAACCGCCGGCTACTTCGAATACACTTCTTCACCGTCAGCAGATTGAAGTGCCTCCAACTGAATCCCATACTAACCAGGAAGAAGTTCAGAAAATGCTCAAAAATGCAGGTCTACCAACAATTTTCCAGATGCTTATTTTATGGATTTTGGCGGTGGGCCTGAAGATCTCGTCCACTTCGAAGAAGAACATCCATACGCGGCGGGTAAATTCTTGAGAACCCTTCGTATAGCAGCGCCGTAGCTTTCAGTTAAACTCGATAGTATTTTAGAGGTGGAAGGGTGAACGAAATATAGAGGGTATGAGGAGTGATCAGGTTGTTAGTTGGTGTTATGTATGAGTTGAAGTGAAGTATAAAAAAAGCTCTCGTTAAACTCATGTCTCCCGTACTTTAGGTTCATTCTAATCAAATATATCTCCATGCTTCTTATATAATACCTTCTAGGTATGTACTATACAACGTATTGCAAGATCTAAATTTATTCCCTAGGTACCTACCTAGGTAGATGCTTAATGGATTAAATTTACTTGCTCCTTCAATAGTGATAAGTTCTCCTATGTGTGTGATCGAGAGCTAATTTTATAGCCCCTCAGGTATATACCAGCGAAGATGTTACTAATATTATAAAGGGCTAATTTTAAATACGCCCTTGTTTCTATATATAATAGGCTCTTGTGGAATATTTGAAGCTATCACTGTCAGGGTATAAGTGATACTAGTATGAATTAGGCATAGATCTACATAATATATATACCATAGCAGCAAAGGGTGGTTTTGAAAAACGGTTATTCATACTTATAATTATTTACCTAAAAAATATCGTTTTTATCTAGATTATTATTTTCTTATAAAAAATCATTTTCGGATGGAATATTGTTTCCGAATTTAAAATTAAGATTTTTTTTTGATTAGATAAAGTATATAATGTTGAATAATAAGCTATTCTTGCGTATATATGTTAAATAAACCTTAATTGGCCTAGTAGTAAAACCTGCAACCTGTAACCTGTAAATCCCGTAATATGTCTAAAGTCTAAAGTCTACTATTCGAATCAGCTTAAGTGTAAAAAAAAAAAAAAAAAATTAGAAAAAAAATAAAAGAATTGAAAATTTTGTTTTTTTTTCGAGAAACGATTATTCGTCAAGAAATAATTCTCTAAAAAATAACGTTACCTTTTTAATAAATAATGCATATGGGAGGTACGGTATTCGGTCGAGGAATTGTTTCTCAAAACCACCCTTTGCCGCTATGGTATATAAGGGGCGCTACGCGCCCTCGAAAGAGAGTAGAAGGATAAGCGTTAATAGATTCATACTACTACACGGCTGCTATACAGCAGCGAAGCTGCTGCTTCTAACATTCACTCTACGTATGACAACCATCAAGGGGTATCTCTGGCAATCACCCTCTTAATGTAGGTAGGTAGACATTAAGTGCTAAATATACTTCCTATGCCCTCTTTGTTGCTAAAATCATCACAACTGGTGTCTTAATCTTGACTTGCTTCCCTTCCAAAGCACGCTCTAGCTCATCCCAAATGTACTGTATTTCGGACTCTTGGAAGTGGGGTTCCCAGGTAGCGACATAGCCTTTAAGCCACTCGATACCACACGTATCACACCAATCCTCATCTTCTACCCATACTTTCTCCTCACTTTCCTTGACCCTGCTTTCTGCTACTCTGTCATCCAGCATGAAGCCGTCAAGGGTCCCCTGAGCATTGATGTATATCCTCTTTAAGGCCTCCCAATCGTCCTCGGGGAACTCTAAACTTTCAAGCGCAGCATTAGCTATTTCATAAGCGGTTGAACTCATCCTGGCTCGATGTTTTTTTGAAAAAGCATCCCAGACAGCCTTCCAAGCTCTTACAGCCCGCTCATTTGCCCCAATAAGCGGGCGAGTGTAGTATGTGATCGCAAGCGTTCCACCAGCTTTGAGCTGCCTCCTGAATTCCTTGATAGCAATGTCCGGTGTGGTCCAATGAATACACTCGCATGCGGTGATCAGATCGACAGTGTCCGATTCAACCGAGCTCTTCTCGGCAGTTTCTTGAAGGAACCTGAATTTGGACTCGGGAAACAATGTCTTTTCAAGTATGAATTCCCGGGCGAGCTTAGTATATCCGTCGTTAGGGTCCGAGATTGTGACGCTGTCGAAGCGACTAGCAAGGACTGAAGAGACGATTCCACAACCAGCGCCAGTATCATGAGCTACAGACCAAGCTACGCCGGCTTTTTGGGTATGGTAGTTATAAATGCGTTCGAAAAATGATTGCGGATACACTGGGCGGTAGGCTAGATAGTTCGACCAGTCGACACCTCGGCGGGCAGAAAAGGCAAACTTTTTGCCTGTAAGATTTGTGCTAGACATTGAAACTAGAGCAGAAGTCATGGTGGGATAACGCATGAGGCAGCAGCGTGATGGAAATATTTGAATGATATTGTTGAGCAAACTTCTACTTTAATATTCGTACCGATAGTTATTAGGCTCGTCAATTAACTTATATTTGGGACCATCTTCTTCCGAAGGATCGTCCCCTCTTCTACATAGATTGCCTCACGTAGTGCGGGGCGAAGTTTTAAACCAAGCGAATGCAACAGTCCATATCAAGTACCGTAGGTAATGTATCCGTTCTCGTGGCGCCCTTGAGTTGGAGATGGCATTCACTTGAATGGAGGGATAGATAAGATATGCCGTGCGTCCACATTACTCTCGGTGTATGTTGCCAGTTTAGGAAATCCAGAATAATAGAACCTAGTTGTTGTATTATACCTGAATAGGTCAATGTCTCTAAAAGGCAAATTAATAGCTTGACCTAAATTGAGAGCCTGACCTTACCTTAAGTACTTAAGGACTTAAGTTATTATTTCAATACATATATCGATTTAAGCGTAAAATATTTATGTTTGCCCATTAGAGATTAATTAAGAATTAGTTCATTAGGAGGTACAGAGTCGTTCCTATAGATAGGGGCTTGCAATAGTCTCCTCTGAGGCCAATAAGCTAAAAGGCCCCCCCTTTTAGCCAGTTTCGATAATCAGAAAGGGGCTTGTATAATATGCATAGGTAAATACACTTTAAGAAACACATCAACAACATTATAAAAATCATCAAGTGATTGTCTCAATATATCCAAGCAAATAAGCCGTATTAGGTTAGACGAGAGCTGTATCGGATTCATAAGCGGAAGCAGTGCTACACTACTAACAGGTAATTTCGTAATAGTGATTATGCTATCACAGTATATCTGATAGTATCCGAGCGAGGAAAATGGAGCAATAAAGAGAAGATGTTTGCCACGAATATGTTTTCTATATTTGATGGCAGAAACTGGATTTGTAATATAATTGCTTAAGGCATTTGAATAGCCAATATAGTGGTAGAGTTAGTTGATAGTTTCCTTCCGACTGGGTTTCAACGACCAAGATAACAATATACTATAATATAGCAGCTATTCGTTATTTTCTTTTTAAATGAGTGACAACCACCATAGTCAGGTATAGTCATTGAAAGAGCGTCCGCAAGCCCCTGACTAGTACCCCCCTTAGACTATTCCTGCAGAGAATCAACATTCTAACTGCTATACTACTCTACCTCTTAATCCAAGAGATAGAAACATTGCATGGAGAGAAAGCCATGACCATAGTTTGAGGCACAGTTGCCGTTGTTGTACGCAATGGTCTGCGCAGCACCCTATAAAGCTATTAGGCTTTTATTCACAGCGATATTTGGTTTGATATAGATTAGATTTTCGGTGTCTTACCTGGCAGCCTGACTGAGCATAGAAGGTACAGTAGCAAGTGGAGCTCCCCGAAGCATCACAGTTAGCGATGTTGGCACTGTTGTCGCCGGTGTATGAGTAGTCATAGCAGCTACCGTCGGTGGAAGGGAAGATAGAAACGAGGTAAGAGGTGCAGCCGCCGTCTGTATAATAGTTGATCTTGAACCCGCTGTCTCGCGATTCGATTTCTCCTTTAGCAGCATCTCTCTCCGCAATATTTCCAGGCTTCTCAGGAGTTGCCAATGCAGCCGCGAAAGCCTGAGCGGCAAAGGGGAGCGCGAGCAGAGAAAGACGCATGGTGATGGTTTAGGTGGTAAGGTATTCGTAGAAGATTCCTTGGTAGCCAATGAGGTTAGAGTAGATTTCGAGAGTGATGGTTACTTGCTAATTAGAAGATAGAAGAGCGGGTGAAAAGGGTCTATATATACTAATATTTTTTGGTTCCACAACCTCTCGAAGCTTGATAAGTATATTTGTATAAGACGATATGGGGTGGAGGCTATTAGGGCTAGTCTATTTACAGTTGTCTATACTACCGTAAGACCGCGTTACTATAGAGATCTGATTACTGATAGTATTTTAAAAGGGAAACATATTATCCAATAACATCTCATGTTCCGGGACAACATTTCGAGCGCGAGGTTATCTTTACTAATAAGATACTATGGTACTCATGATAACCTAGGAGTCTCGGCTACTCGTCACTGGGCATATGTATCTCGTTCTCGGCCGAGTTAGCCTCTCCTAATAATCTCAAAAATACTGTCACACCATATCTACATCATATCCAATAGATAATTTGCGGCAATCAAAGGTGTTGAAGCCGGACTACATGGTATGGCGGTGAGGATGGGATTGTAGATGAGTAAGGACTCGTAGAAGCAATATCTACTATATACTTCACAAGTACATTCAGAATAAAGAAATAAATTAACTCGTAAGAAACCGTGCTCGATAGTCTTTCACCACGCAATTATTGAACTCGCAGCCAGGCGGTGGGGTGAGTAACTGGCCTTCAGTTAAAGTGACCAGTTCCAAGAGCCCCTTTTACCTACCTCCTAAATAAATACATCATTATCAAATATTAACTGGGTATTTAGTCACTACAACTATACTTTAGGTATTTAATTGTGTTGTTTATAACCTGTCATATCGTATGAAATGTACTTCTTTAGCGCTTTGAGTATACGTAAGTACTTCATACCCACACAATAGACACATCTTGTTCCAAATCGTCCCTAATAACCCATTCTGGCCGGTCTCATCTACAACTCCGACTGTTTCCCGATTTTCCAATTAGTCCTCATCTGCCTGGAAGTCACTATCTTTGGAGATCTAGTGTGGTAACATCCTCAGTACTACTGTATTCTCATCTCAGCTCAACCGGGAATAAGACGGCAGGCTGAAAGCGCTTACGATGATATAGATATGGATTACGAATTGAGCCTTCATGAATTATTTAACTCCTCCCTTACCTCGCGACAGTATAACGCCGATGACCCGGAAATCCAAACCGGTCAACAGGTTCGGACATATGCTGACCACACTTACACTATAAAAATACTTAGTCAAGATCTATAGGAGCATTTCACCCGGAGCCCTAATATTTCGCGACGAGCTAATTTGTGTAATTCTTCCTCGCCATTTATATTAAATCACGCGATTATTAACAACAAATATAAGTATAGCACTTGTAATCCGCTTCTGCCTGAAAGATAGGAAGCGATCGCTACAGCCTAACGAAAACAAAATATAAACCAATCATGATCTCGGGGTGTAAAGGGAAGAGCTATAATCTATATTGAACTATGACCCTAACTAGTTAAATTGAGTTGTAAGCGCTCATTTGCCTGTTATCCCGTGCTGCACCTGCAATGTAACAGTTCCACAAGACAATATTCTAACTGAATTTCCTATCAAAGTCTTTATGAGTGTAACCATCCAATTCATACCTACTGCGCTTAAGCTTATAATATCCTATGAAATATACTGTCACATACACTAAACAATGAAAAGGCTCAAGTGGCTAGTAAGCCGCTGACACTTGCCAGAAAGATTAGGTAGGCTACAAGATATAGTTACACAGCTTTTACTCTTGTACTACTCGAAGACATTCGCTAGTTTCCTATAGCCCCGCCAATAGAAGAATTAAGTAACAACCTCTTTACACAAGCACCTAAATATAGATTTATATAGGCTACTATGATAGGAAGTAACTTGAAATTGATTTGCCCGCCAGAGTTAAAATACTAACACATGATTTCGGAAGCTAAAATCTCATAACCTCGTGTTGATAGTTGCATTTTTATCTGGAATTGCAACATGCGTTGACGAAAAGTTGTCTTTCACTTCATAAAATCTAGCCCATAGCTTACTCATGCCGTTACATTGAATCCACAACTTATCCGTAAATATTAGTCAGAAGCTGACGCCAGCTAAAAGGGGGGACCGTCGCTGGAGAAAGACTCTTACCGCTGACCGCCATCATAAGCGCGAGTCTCGCGAGATCAACCCTATCATGAGATATATCACGATACTTGGTTCCGTTCTTCCGCGTCCTAGGGAGAACTTATTGCCGGCTACCCGGTGATGGCTCATCGATCTTCGTAGGACCAAGACGGACGGGGTTTAAGTAACGACTTAATATCTAGACGTTCATCGAGTTTCACTCACCATCCTAATTTATCATGATATCCCTACGCTCTCGTTTAGTAGCCGCGAGTGGCACTTTAGCGGCTGTGATTGCCTTAGCTGTATCTGAGCCAGTCTTAAATATCGTTCAGATCGGAACAACTCCTAATGGCTTCACGAGCCCACCAAGGGGGTGGAATTCTTTTGGTATACAGGCCAACCCCAATACAACGCCGGGCTTTTCATTCAACCAGACTGGGGTGATAGGCCAATGCGACGTACTCGCGAAAACCACTGCACTTAAAGACGCCGGATATGTTTATTGCAGTCTTGATTCTGGATGGTCTGTGGGCGGTAATGGCGATGAGTTCGGACGTATCATTTATGATTCATCCATATTTGATATTCCGAGCTTAGCTACTCACTTACACGCCGAAGGCTTACTCCTCGGCGTGTACGTTGTGCCCGGTGCTTTCATCGCTGACGAGGCGAAAACTATCTTTGGGACGAGCGTCACTATTGGCTCGGTATGCTCCGGCGATAACGGCTTAGCTCGCTGTAATTTTGATTACTCCCAGCCGGCCGTTCAGGAATGGCATAATTCTGTCGTGAACCAATTTGCTTCTTGGTAAGTTTCCAGATCGAAGATAAAACTTAGTTGTTTGAAGCTAATACGTTAGTAAAAGGGGCGTCGACTTCATCAAACTTGATTTTGTGACGCCGGGGTCACCATCAAATGGCGCAAACCTGCCTCCTGACTTGAGTGGCGAAGTCATTGCGTATCACCAAGCTATTGCACAGTCAGGACGGGAGATACGTCTGGGTATTTCGTGGAAGCTTGACCGCTCACAGGAGTATTTCGACATCTGGGAGACGAATGCAGACTCTATGCGCACCGACCAGGATATCAACAATGGCGGGGAGTCTACATTTGTCTCTTGGGAAGTTGTCCAACGGGCTATCGAAAACTACCGGCAGTACATTACCACCGTGATGCTGTATAATACAACTCTAACCATTTATCCTGACATGGATAACCTGTTTGTCGGTAATCCTGCCTCAGTATCAGGAGTAACAGATGATGAGCGCCAGACTATTATGACACATTGGCTCGGAGCTGGTGCCAACCTTATCATCGGCTCTGATTTAACCAACCTTGATGCCTTTGGACTTAATCTCTTGACAAATCCAGATGCTATTGCAATTGCCGACTTTACCTCCCACCACCCGATGCAACCCCGTAACCCAGGAACTGGCCTCCCCAGCTCTCAACAGTTACAGGCGTGGATCGCTGGGCCAGACGCGTCAGGGGTTGCTGTGGTGGTAGTTGCTAACTACGGCCCAAACGAAAGCCAAGGTGGTTTTGGGACTTCATTGTCAGGGGTACAGACTATTAGAGTATCATGGGATGACCTCGGGATTAGTGGAGGGTTTGAGGTCCATGATGTATGGGCTAATAATGATTTAGGGGTTGAGAGCTCGGGTTTGACGGTGCAACTTGGGGAAGGACAAAGTGTTTTATATAAACTCACTCAATCATAGAAAGGCTGGAAATAAGAATTTCCTGGATTAGTTGGTTGAGAATTAAATTTACCTAGATATAGAGAAACAATTGAGACGTCTAGTTTTTATATATTCTAAGAAGAACCGAATAGAGTTGGGGGAAGTCTACGAAAGACGTACAATTACGTAAGGCTTGTGATAGGTACACAGATACTCTAAGGAGACTAGACCGAGCCAATCAGATTTCACTAAACAAATTTGGAGATTTGGAGGTTTCCAAGTTCGATGTACATATGTTCCATAAAATAGTTACAATCAAATATTCAATATTTTTCCACTCTAGAGAATGATTTCTAGACAGAAAAAAATCGCAAAAATTATCTTGTATCAAGTGGAATATATCAATGTGAATTATACAAAAATAAACGGGCTCAACCGGGATTCGAACCCGGGACCACTCACATTTTCAATCCCTTGAAAGAGACCGGGAGTACAGCATAGCTAACCCGAAGCGAGTATCTTACCACTGGACCATTGAGCCGTGTTTTTGTTGCTTTTGTTATGATTGGATAGAATTCCGAGGTTTTTATCTTTGTTTATATCTAAAGCAAGAAATATGTGGGTCCATATAAATTTGTTATTACACATGTAACTTCTCCTGAGTTTGCAGGTTCGTAAAGTTACTTGTGCAACTAACTTAATATGGTACCTAAGCTTTAACACACTCCAGATTGGAATAACATCCGACCCTTATGCACGGGGACTCTGGTTTTGGAGTCTGGGCAAGCGCAAGCCTCGGAAGGTGGACATCTCCAAGATTGAGGCTATACGTAATAAAATGTAGGTATGTACCTTATATTTTCTCCTTTGTCATTCGCACTTGTCATTTGTACTTGCATTTAACACTTGCATTTACATTTACCTAACGTGACTTCTTTTAAAGCTGTAAATTGCACCACTTTCAAACCACTTTCAGACCATTTCTTGCAACTAGTCAGCTGTCTTTCTTTTTTAACGCCTAGTTATATATTTTTTACTTTACATATATTATGCGCCTTCGGTGACCTTTTGAGTCCGTGAATAACAAATTTCCCAATTCATACCTCCTGATACTACATATAACAAGCCCCCCCGGTCATATATATTTTTTTTCTTAAATCCAGTCGAGACTTCAACCCTTAGCTATCATAAACGACGATGCTTTACTCGCTCGACATAGTTTCGTTTGGCTCGACGTAAAATGTTTCTTTCGACTTTACTCGGTGCTACGTCAGGGCGGAGGGGTTCCTTTAAATCAAGCAGGTCCAAGCAATCCCAACGTTCTCCTGATGTCTCCCCGTCGCGTCCCCGAAACTTTACTTCCTCCACTCCCGAGTATCTTTCCGATGAGTCGCAAATTCAACCTGCTAGCCAACCGCCGCCAGATGTACTCGATCTAAACCAGAACCTCGAAAGACTCGCAGCCCTCTTTCCCGATATCCAAGTCGAAGTCTTTAGGGAGATGCTTGCATCCTTTTCCGAAGAGTCGCGATTATTCATCATCACGGACAAGCTGTTAAAGAACCCTGGTGAATTCGTCAAGGGGCGACGGAGAGCTAGCGAGCATACCGGTTCGGACTCGAACGCTCCAGTCTCGCGAACCGAGGCATTCAGAACGGCGGAATACAAGAAGGCAGTTCGTACTTTAGCGGCGCAAGAGTTTAAGGGTCTACTATCTAGATCCTCGATTGACGCAGTTTTATCCGAGTTCAACTACTCGTATCTCGACGCGCGACAGACCCTCGTGGATCTATCTTCCAAGACGTGGAAGTTCACTATATCTACCTTCCTCTTTCGTCGCAAGCCTGTGACCTCTGCTGAGGCCGAAACGCATCCCCTTATTATATGGAAAGCTGCGGACGATGGGTTGATGGTCCCGACTTTAAAGGCAACCGGTAGTGCCGAATTGGATAGAGAGCTGTTTGAAGAGTTGATAATGCCATTAAAAGAACGCGAGCAGTTATTGAGAGAGGAAAGAGACCGTGCTATGGCCGTTTCCCTACTTACAGAGGACGCCGAAGCCCACGAAGCTATGTTTGAGTGTGGTTGCTGTTATTCGGATGTGATTTTCGAAGAGATTACCACCTGTACTGCCGAAGGGCATGTAGTTTGCTTCAACTGCGTTCGCCATTCCATCACCGAGGCGGTTTTTGGACAAGGATGGCAACGTAGCATCGAGAAGGAGACAGGTGCTCTTCGATGCCCTGCTGTGGCGTCGGTAGAGTGCGAAAGCTGCGTATCGCCCGAGCACATCCATCGAGCTATGCAAGGGGAGAAAAATGGAGATGAGATTATACGCAAACTTGACCAACGACTAGCAGAGCATGGTCTTTTGTCTAGTGGCTTGCCTTTGGTTCGATGTCCCTTTTGCACATACGCCGAAGTCGACGATCTATATATGCCAGCCAGCATATCTAGACCTAGGATCCGTGTCAGCAATATTCCAAACTTTATCATCATTTTCATTTGCTTGATCATATCTCCCCTTTTATTTCCTATTCTCATATTAGCGTTAGCCTTTGCCGTTTTGTGCTTGAATCGTTCGTTTAGGGATTATATGTCTTGTCATTTAGGAGCGGCCGTCATAAGGTACCAGCGTCGTCGTCGCGGGTTAAAATTCAACTGCCAGAATCCAACCTGCCGACGTTCGTCTTGTTTATCATGTTCGAAGGCATGGGTGGATGTTCACGTCTGCCACGAGTCGTCTCTTGTCGCCCTACGCACCCAAGTGGAACAGGCGATGTCTATGGCGATTAAGCGTGTCTGCCCCCGATGCAGCACCTCCTTCGTCAAGACGGCTGGATGCAATAAACTGACTTGTCCATGTGGCTATAAGATGTGCTATGTCTGTCGCAAAAATATCGGTACTCCAAATGAGGGTTACCAGCATTTTTGTCAACATTTCAGGCCCGAGGGCGATGGTCGACAATGTGGCGAATGTAGCAAGTGTAATTTATGGGAAGCCGAGAATACCGAGGAAATCCTTCGAAAAGCCAAGATGGAAGCAGAACGGAAATGGAGAGCATCTGAGAGACGCGAACTGTCTGACGCAGAGAAGGCATATCTCGAAGATGGTGTAGGCAGCTTTAGTCGAGACAAGAGTCTGACATGGCTGCTTCCGGGCGGTAAGATCCCGAGCATTGAAGAGTTCTGTGATTTTATTATAGAGACCTTGTTTATATAGCGGAACGGATCGGGTTGGGCACGGAGTTTTGGTAAAAAAGGAGCATTATATGGTTATCGACTAAACCTCTCTTTGAAGTCAAATTTCGAAAGCGAACTTCGCATTGGGAACGGGCGCACAAGAATATATCGGGCGTATGGTAGGGAAAGGGATAGGAGGCCATCTGTATGTTATACCCATTAGTCGTATCGTACATGCAACTATTTGTCACAGGCTACGGCCTCTAGTAACATTACTGTATACATTGCTATTATTTTGACATAACTAGCTATTACTGTCGTCCCCGTGTTTATGGAATACTCACATATTTAGCGTACCTTACGTTAGGATATTTATTACTACATTGATATGTATCAAGAGGCTGGCTAGATGTCGAGAGTGATGGTGAATGTACCATATTCCATTTTATGGCTCTAAACTTATAGGAGAACAGACATTTAAAATTTACGAATATGACTAAACGGGCATACTTCTAAGATATAGTATAACTAGGTAATGAGTGAATACCTTAGCTAGGTTCTATACATAGACGTATACCGTGCATACAGATAGGCTATAAGCCGCCGAATCTCGAGGCAATCAAGCAAAGTTACTAGTTAGACGAACTATTCAAGTACTTAATACGCTGTTTATCAATATAAAGCACACTTGCATTCATGCGCGGATCCCTCCACTTCAAACTGAAAATATCCTATTAACCCAAGTTAAGCCACACACATACATCATCTTTTTACAACGACGCCTAATCTGACGAACCAAGAAAAAAAGGAGAACTGAACTCCCAATGCTAAAAAATTGAATGCTCCCCTATATCATCTCATCTCATCCAGACTCGTACACCCACCCTCCTCCCACTAAATCACCCACCCACAACCACAACCAGCCAACCCCTTCTCCTAGGCGGATTCACAACTTCCCGCCGTTTCCGCCGCCGACAAGTTCTGCCGCGGCGCCGGAGATAGCCAAACGGCCCGTCTCCTTAACCTTGGTCTGGAAGACGACCTTGGCGGGACCTTCCTTCCACATCTCGGTGACGAGGGTCTCGCCGGGCAGCACGGTGCCGGCGAAGCGTACCTTGACGTTGCGGAAGGGGCCGAATTTCTCGTAGACGGCCTTGCTCGCCACGCCCATCGAGCATAGCCCGTGTAGGATCGGCACCTTGAATCCGCCCATCTTGGCAAAGCTCGGGTCGATGTGAAGAGGGCTGCGATGCGATGTGGTTAGTCTTGGGGTTGCTAGGCTGGTGATAGAAGAGGAGAGAAACTCACTTGTAATCACCGCTAAGTCGGTAGATAGCGGCCTGCTCCTCGGTCGTCTTAGTCTCGACGATAATATCCGGGTGTCTCTTCGGCGGGGCATTAGCAGCGGTAGCCGCGCCTCGATCGGCCGGTTTCTTCTGACCGCCGAAACCTCCACAACCTCTCAAGAAGACGGTAGCCTCGTTGTAGAAGAGCTCTTCGTTGGTCTCAGCGTTTACGGTGGTGACGCCGTACTTGAGGATAGCAGCATTGCCCTTGTCCACGACCTCGATCAGCTTGCCGAAGTTCTTGGTTCGAGCCCCCGTTGGGATTGGGTACTTCTTGACCTCGAGGTACTGCTCGCCGTGTAGCAGCATCATGGGAGAGAACTTGGGCACCAGCTCGTCCATGCTGAACGGCATGTTGGTGTCAAACTGCGGGATCACGCCGTACGTTGGTAGTACCTGGAAGTTCTCGTGACCCTCGAACACGTACTGTAGCTCAGTCCTCTTGGCGCCGATTCCTAGGTTATAGAGCATGCTGTCGCGCTCTGTGTAGGTGTACTCCGTAGGCTGGGACTTGGCAGCCAAAGCATTCTTTTGAGCTTCGAGATATTTGTTACTCTCGGAGGGAGCCTGAGCAAAACACAAAAAGTCAATATCAATAGTTCATTTGTTTGCTAGACTAAAACATATTACATATATATACATGATAGTCCGAATAGGAGGACATTAAAGAAAGAGGGCTCATCATACCTTAGATGCCCCTCGCTTGTTCTCCATATTGGCCATGATCTTCGCCACCGAGTCTTGGGATTTCTCGGGGTGGTCTGCTCGGCCGTCGTCAAAGTCGATAATCTTGGGCCAGCTCTTGGCGACCTCTTCGGGAACTAGCTTAACATCTATCGGGAAGCCAACACCTCCTGACCGCTGCCACCTTGTCCGGCCACACCAACCGCTGCCTACTTCGTATAGGTAGCCTGTGGGATTCTTGGGCACCTTGTCGCTGCAGAGAGCAAGGACGAGAGGAGCAATGTAGTCGGGCTTGAAGGCTTGGACTAGTTCTTCTGGTAATATGGTTCGGGTCATGGCAGTTCCGGCGTTAGGAGCAATGGTGTTGCAGTAGATGTTATATTTAGCTCCCTCAAGGGCGATGGTGCGAGAGAATCCAAGGATACCGCATTTCTAAATTTTGTCAGCTTTACTTGATTCGTTTTGACCATTTTATGTTTTTGTTACTTACCGCTGCCGCGTAGTTTGCCTGTCCGAAGTTACCATAGATACCACTCGTTGATGTAGTGTTTACGATACGTCCATACTTCTGCTTAAGGAAGTAGGGCCAAGCTGCCTTGGTGACCTTGTATGTGCTTCGGAGGTGGACATTCAGAACAGGATCCCAAAGGTTGTCATCCATGTTGCTAAATGCCTTGTCCCGGAGGATACCAGCATTGTTGATAATGATATCAATGCGACCAAAGCCGTCAATGGCGGCCTTGACAACCTTGTCACCCTCCTCAGAAGACGCCTTGACACCGACTGCCTTACCGCCCAATTTCTTGATCTCGCCGACAACAGTATCGGGATCCACCAAGTCGTTTACAACAACTGACGCACCGTGCTTGGCAAAGGCAAGACAGTAGGCACGCCCGATACCAGCACCGCCGCCTGTGACCAAGGCCACACGACCGGTGAAGTCTAACTTCTCACCTTGTTCGTTCGGGCCCAGCTTCAACGACTCTTCAAGGAGAGCTAAGAAGTCGGCGGGACCAGTCGGGTATTGGGGGTTTGAGAAGTCGACAACCTTGTCCCACTTCTTAAGAATAGCACCAGGTGTATAGCTATCGTCTGCCTTTAGAAGAAGACCGCTTGACCTCTCCCACCTCAGCTTCGCAACGTGGCCACCACCGACCTCGAAAATGCTACCATTCTCCTTGGTGTTACTCTTGTGAACCAAAACGGCGACAAGGGGAACGACCCAGTCGGGCTTTAGGTTTTCCAAGACGTCCGGAGGCATAACGGTCTGGGTCATGCGACTCGCAGCTATGGGAGCGATGACGTTTGAGATGATGTTGTACTTAGCGCCCTCCTTGGCGAGCGTCTCGGTGAAGCCAACCATGGCCAGCTTAGCAGCCGAGTAATTGGCCTGGCCGAAGCTACCGAACAAGCCGGCAGCAGATGCGGTGTTGATGACACGACCATACTTTTGTTTGCGGAAATGCGGCCAGGCAGCACGCGCACATTTGTAAGAGCCCTTGACGTGCACCTTCATGATCAAATCCCAGTCCTGATCCGTCATGTTCTTGAAGCTGATATCTCGTAGGATACCGGCATTGTTGAGTAGGATGTCGATTCGGCCGAAAGCCTTGATGGCGGTCTCGATGATCTTGTCGCCATTCTCGACGCTGTCGTAGTTGGCTACGGCTTGACCACCGGCGGCTTTGATTTCATTTACGACTACATCGGCAGCCTAGTGGTTGTAGAAAACATGTTAGCGAACACATTTGATATTTGGCTTAATTAAAAGATGATTGAGATATGATTGAGACTCGTATTTACCTTTGTTGAGTTTCCATCACCCTTAAACGAGCCTCCGAGGTCATTGACAACGACCTTAGCTCCTCTTGATGCGAAAAAAGTAGCATATGCCTTACCCAAGCCACCACCAGCGCCGGTGACGACAACAACTTGGTCGTCAAAGCGCAATTCGCTTGCCATGGTGTCGTGTTTTGAAGCTCTGAAAAATAAGGGATTAGATGTTGATTAAAAGGGAAAAAGTTGGATGATAAATAATACAAATGTTGGGTCGGAGATGGCTTCTAATACAACAGTTTGGCAAGGGAGTAGAACTTAATGATAGAAAAAGCTGGCTTAATTACGGTAAGATAGGTCCAAGTTCCTGATAATAAAGAAGCTGGTCAATGTGCCGCATTTAAACTCCGGCTATTCAGCCGAGGCAGCTTTCGCATGAGCTACTAGGAATGCCGAGGGGCCCCAGATTGATCCACTTATTCAAAGGACCAGGTAATAGTAAACTAACTATACTAAATTAGGTATAGCCATCGGATTTAGCACCTGTTTCTACCCCATACTTGTACCTATCCTTTACGCCTACCTAGCTTCTTTGTAAGACCTTTCACATGCCGATAAACTCTAGATTTTTGAAATGCTTACCTTACGAACCATGTATGAAGTCATGCGTACGCTATATGTATTGCGCTTCCTGTATCACTATCACGTGTGCTATTATGTCTGTCTATGTCTATGTTAGTCCTTCTACAATGCTCGGTCTAAGATTCTAAGACTTTAAGATTACTTATCTAAGGCAGGTAATTAGCCGTAACCACTAGTTAACACAATATGAAGAGCCGAAGTTTTTTGTATTGCCGCTTTACGGGAGATTGGAACTTTTTGAATCAACTAAATAGTTCTCTTTAAAAAAAAAACTTATTTATAATCGATTATAGCATTCAGATTCTATAAACCAACTTCTAAGCAAATAAATAACTATATAGTTATTTGTATAGTATTGAACTGAAAATATAAATGCATCCGAATAGTCTATTAGTCCCAATCATCAACCATTAACCATCCGAGCCGCTGAACCAAAACAGATTCCCCCGCATTTCCCCATCCCCACAAAGTTAGCCCGAGATCTGATGCTAATGACACTTGCTCTATGTATAATGTTTTATCTATGCATCCTTAAAACGTGCTATTTGGAAATCTCATGCATGTAATCCCGTTGGGGTAAACAAACGTCAAACGCCCGAATAACCGAACATATAGTACCTGCAGCCGATCACAAGCATCACAAGCATCACAAGTTAGGTCCAGATGCAATAAGAGATCTACCAAAATGTCTACAGCAGAGATAATCGACGACAAGAGTCCTATATGTATACCATTTATACTCGAACGGTATAAGCAATATAGTGCCTCTAACCCTACTCGGCCCTTTATCATCGGACTGAATGGCGTGCAAGGCGCTGGTAAAACAACTCTAGTAAAGGCCCTTGCCTCAAAGCTACAGAATGACGAAGGCCTCCAAACGCTAGTCTGCAGCATTGATGATTTCTACTTGCGGCACGAAGATCAAAAGGCGCTGGCAGAGTCTCACCCGGACAATTTGTTAGTCCAAGTCCGAGGCGAGCCAGGTACGACAACTTGCACCCAAAATCTTAAGTCAGAAGGATATCTATTCTTATTTGATTCTAATGCTATGGTTATGTAGGTACACATGACATGAACTTAGCTCAAAATTTCTTCACGGCTTTATGTAAGGGTCAGCCGGTTAAGATTCCTCAATATGACAAGTCGGCCTATTCGGGTCAAGGCGACAGGGTCCCAGAATCGCAATGGGAGACGATCAACGGCCCGGGTCAACCCAAGATTCAAGTGGTCATCTTCGAGGGCTGGTGTGTTGGCTTTCGGCATTTGAGTCCTGTAGAGGTCTCACTTAAGTGGAATTCGCCAAGCAGGACGCTACACCGACACCCTTTAGAACACCTAAACTTCATCAACGAGCGTCTCCGGGACTACGATGTCATCACAGACACGTTCAATGCATTCATCCACATCGACGCTGAAGATACCGAATGGGTGTATGACTGGAGGTTAGAGCAGGAAGCCATGTTGCGGAGGGAGAGAGGGGCAGGTATGACAAACGAGCAAGTTGTCAAGTTCGTCGATGCCTATTATCCCGCGTACGAACTCTTTTCCGACAAGCTGAGAGATGGGCTGTTCGCCAACAAACCCAGATGTCAGTTGAGATTAATTGTCGGTAAAGACAGAAAAGTCAAGCAGACAGTCATCGTTTGATACGCGAGTAAGCGGGTATCTTACCAAATAGCCTCACTTAATGTGAAAAGGCCCAATAAGCATCATTTGTTGCCGTACATAGAGCACCGGATTGAAAGCGCAAACACCATAGCTCTAGCCCATGTTATAATAATAACAGCAACCTCATAGCCCAAGCTAACGCACAGCTGTATATCCTTCCCTTTAGAATGAGTTCGTAAAAGTCCGCCGGTGGCAAGTTATTGGTCATGGAGAGCCTGCGGTACTGCGTACATGCTTACTTGATTCAATCAAACTCCTTTCCATTCATCATGCCCTCGCCTTCGTTTTTGAGTTCGGCGAGAGTGCTGTCAATTGTTCGGATTTTACTCCTAACAGCTTCGTCCCGGTCGGCAATCTCGTTCTCGAAGCCTTCTATTAATGTTCGCTTCGTTTGGCGGGCTTCTCTGAACCGTTGCATAACCTCACCAAATCTCTCAAGAAACCAATCCCCAGAAATCTCCCAGTCTTTAACGGGCATCTTAGAAAAGAACCCCATTTGACTTTCCTGGTCCTTGTCAAAAAAGTGATAAAGTTTCTCTGGTAATGTGCCTCGGGGTGGTCCTATTGCCGACTGGGCCTCTGCTTGGGCTGGGTCAAAATCGAATACTTCATCTTTGAGTTCGGAATAGTCCATTGCCGCCAGAGCCCCATCATCATAGTCAAGCTCGTATTGACGCTTCTTTGGGTTAGAAACACGCTTCTCTATTGATGAGCGAGGCATCGCGCTCTCGTGCAATCCTAGGCCGCCTTTATTACCACCTTTGATAAAAAGTTGTCGATTGAGTTGAGGCTTAGGTTTTACGACTAGCTTAGGCGCAGGCGGCGGCGGAGCAATGCTATCGCGGTCTGACTCGTCCGGATGGCTAACCATAGGTGTATCGGTATCAGCAAAAATAGTCGAGCGGCGGTGTTGATGTTCGGGTAATGTCTTCACCCGTAAGTGTACAGATTGTTCAGATCTTGCATCATCATCTAAATCATTATCAGGAACTGGGTAGGCCTCACGTGAAGGCGAAGATACGATATTTTCTTGGGGAAAGGCAGCCCTTTCGGAAAAGGAACCACGACGGTTAGTACGTAAAGCCAACGCTTTGGGATGATGAAGCCGCTTAGTGGAAGGGGTTTTTTCTGGGCTCGTCTGATATGGACTATCTTCCGACTCTTGGTCAAGTTCCGGAGATGATACTCCCTTCAGATGGCCACGGTGATTCCTAGCATCCGGTGTCGAAGCACTTCTAGTAAGAGGACCACCTACTACATCTATCACTCCGTTAGGTCCAATGACGAAAGGGGCATGTTGATCCGGCATATTGACTTCCCCCTTGGCAGGGGGGCGAGGGCGTGGGGTATTCCCTCTCTGTTGGTAAGTAATGGGCGCCCGAAAAGGCATTCGATACATAGAAGTGCCTGCCGTGTTTGCGTCAACATTGCTAGCGGTGTCACTAAACATGGAGCCATCTACTGTCGAACCCTCCCAGAATGGCGCTGGTCGCCGAGAAGATTGAATAGGCTCAGAAGCAACGGTCCCCGATCGCCGTATGTTAAGTGACGTATCTCGGGTATGGCCATTACGACTAGCAGGAACAGGTAGCTTAGCTGCAGCGACAACAGCTGCTCTATTGGAATTCGCATTGACTATAGGTGCGCGTGATCGTGGAGGCGAATTTTGCGTTGCTTGTACCGTCTGGGCGGGTTGCGACGCCGCAGGCGTAGGTTGAGGTAGATAGACGTGGCGTTGAGGAAGGTGGCTTTGGCCATCATGTCCCGTTCCTGTCCCAGATCCAGCAGGAGCAGGTTGGCTATTATTGAGCCCGTTGCTCGTGACCCAAGCTTGCATTTTCGTCTTCGAATGCTTTAGGAACTGGCTGGCTGGCGGCATCTGAACGGAGGCAGATTTGGTAATGCTTCGGAAAGAAAGACACATAGACACATAAACACATAAGCTGAGTTTGTTTACTTTTCGTAAGCTCTGTCTATATCCGTTACGCGTTCAATGGCTATGAATCTATCGTGGTCCCAATGTTGACGTGTTTGACCACGGATGGTAGTTAAATCGGGTGGATAACAGGCGGAGAGGTTAAGCTTGATTATTATGTATTATGCCGCCATCCTGCCCAATGCGACGACGAGGTTGGGTCGCAATATCTACTGGTGAGGCATGAGAATAAACTTGGAAGGTCTAAATAGAAGGCGATAGTGAGCGAAAGACGGCGGTCCAATAGTTGAAATGGTGAAATGGTCGACTAGTGGGGAATTTAGGTACAACAAGACTTTTTTTTTTATTTAGAAGCCTCGCGACTTCTCCTGCACGTAAGTCAGTCACTGTCGCGTCTGCAATGTTCTAACACCTTTCCGGGTTAAGTCAAGTGGAACTATTTATGGGTCCGTGCATCCATGCTGCCATGCCTAGCGCACGGGTCACCCCCGGATTCCTTTTTAGAGCATCAACCCCCACGAGTTATTTCCCCTTCCCCAATTACCTCAGACCATATCATTTATATCATTTAAGAGGTCGCCTCACCTCATTTTTGTTTTCTAGATGCCGCTAGATGACTTGTCCTGCATGACCTCTTTCATTATTTGCGTGATATCCAACCACTTAACTATCACGACGCGCCTATCTACCTGTTCGGAAGGAGCGCATTGAACGATTCTTCCCGATGCAATGCCACCTTGCTCGCGTCTAATTTCTCATGGCCGTTGGGCAGCAGACAAACATGTCATCCAAGGCTTTTTTGAAGAATATTCAGGTTGCTTATTTTGAACCTCTCACCATCCTTCGCGGCAACGGAGCTCTCCACTCCTATTGCTCCTGTTCTATGTATATGCGATGCAAGCACGGAGTTCAGATAGCAGACGCTGTGGAGTGACTTCATTTCCATTTACGTGGCTTCAGACCAATCGATCTATCGCAAGGCTAATTTAAGGCTAAGAAGAGGGAGTATCTTTCTATCCAATACCCCTTAAGCTTATCCCGAGACCCAGGATTTCTCAAGCAACCGACTTTTTCATATACACAAGGTTCACTATAGTCCCAAGTGTTAGCAATTCTGAAATACGCCGAGACTTAAAAAAACACCTGTGAGTCGTCAGGCCTGTTCTATGAGCCCCTGGCCCTTGATCAGGTCGAGAGGGGACGACAGCACATGCTTTAAAGTAACACAAAGGCCCCGAAACGGCTGGGATGTAACTTACTAGACACACTGATTCCTTCCTGAGGGTTCCATATATATGCACCTTTCTCTCGTCGAAGTACTTCGTACCCTTGACCAGTATACCAGTCTTCATTGGAAACCTGCATCAACACGTTTTAGGAGTGCTACAACTTCTAACAATACTGCCACGACTTACCACTGGCAGAGGCATACGTCCTTCCCCATATAGGAGGTCTCGTATCTCTGGTTCGGTCTGCATCTCCTTTGATAGGGTATCCAAGGCTACTATTTTCGCATTCATTGGGCTTCGCGTGGCTAGCGTCTCGATTTTAGACATGGCTCCGGCACCAAATCCACCTCCATGGAGCGCTCGCGAAATGTACAGTTGATGAACCCACACGGTCCCGGTAGCTGGAAGGCCAAGTTTGATGTCCTCATCGGGTTCGTGGATATCAAGAGCAACATGACCAATAGGGATGAACTCCACCATGGTTGGCTGCCGCGGGACGAGCCGAATTTCTGCTGCTGTATCCCTCAACGGGTTTGCCTCCTTTGTACACGTTCTTAGGTCATTTAGTATATTGGTCAAGTAATTACAAGCATACCTTCGGATAGGCACTAGTGTGCTGCTTAAGTACCTTTTCTCTATCCGGAAAAGCATCCGAAAGGAGCTAATCCATCAGCTACCACGAAGCTAAGAAGGGATTATAGAACTCACAACCCAGTAAAATATCTTTCCGCCTTTCTGTGCAGCTTCTACCCACTATAGAGTCTGGAATTAGAAGTTGCTATTGACGGATATTTTCGGATCACATTGCACGATCTCAAGTCACGGGAACCGGCTCGGTAATCTATAATTCTCGGACGTGCCCGGAGGGTATATGTATGCTCTCGAATGGCAACATGGAGTAAAAATGTAACAGAGTGATAGAAAAGGATATACTTACCGATGGTACTTCGTCAGCCCTCCATCCACAAGCAACACGTTGGTCATACATCCTCTGTACATGATCTGGACTTGAATGGTCCCAAGGAAGAAGCTACGTAGTATTCAAAAATATTAGCATTTATTCTTGGTATAGTTCATAGTAGCGTTAATAAAAATAAGCGCCGGTACGTTATAATAGTAAGTAAATTGCCAAGGGTGAAACGAACCTCTACTTTCCAAGCATGTTTAGACTCCATGATTACTAGGTGTGTTAGTAACGTGAACCGAGATTAAAAACAAGGTTGTAGGCAACACTACACTAAGCTATGAACAAAGATAGATATATGTTTAGGGGAACCAATTTTCAGATATGAGGTGGGTAAAGGCTTCAAATTCAACCTGAGCTGTCTCGATTTACACGAAGTCAAGACGATAGGTAAGACTTATTTGTATATCGTCTGAGTCACTCCGATAATCGTATATCAAAGCCTGCATTTACGATAAAACTTCTTTACATAAGCACCGCTATTATAGCCAACGTCTTACACTTTTCTTTAAAAGGTAGGTTGACGACGAAAAAAAATGGCTAATAAAGGCTAGTCCGACCTCGGTTGATGTAAAGGGCGTTACGAACGGGCCACTCGCGACGTTCTAAACTTTATCGTAACGTTATCAGATCTGACAGCACCACCCTTAACCCCGCTAAAGCTAATAGAGCGGAGCTAACGAAGGTTACTGCACGTAACCGCGACCTCTAGAAAACTCCCTAGCCTCATACATACCTCTAAAAAAAACTGCCTAACCTAGGTACCTAGAATCTTACTTATCCACATGACTTATACAACCCATGGGTCCAAAGCGTAAAAGCCAACCAGAACAGCAGAGCGAAGCATCCTCTGCATCGCCATCTAAACAACGCAAAGCCAATAGTAAGGAGGAAGTGGAGACTTCCGCTTCTTCTGCCTCCTCCTCTTCCAAGCCGCAAGACCGCAGTCTCTACCATGGCTTCGAGACGTACCCGCCATCCCGGGTATTCCGACTAATAGAGCCCGGCCCCGTACTGCTAGTCACGACGGGGTCGCTAGCCGACTCGACCCACAACGTCATGACCATCGGCTTCCACATGGTGATGCAACACGAATCACCGCCTCTCATCGGCATCTGTCTCGGGCCCTGGGACGCCTCGTTCGCCGCACTCAAGAAGAACCGCGAGTGCGTGCTCGCTGTACCCGACGTGGTAATGGCCAGCGTAGTCGTCGATATCGGGAATTGCTCTGCCGACGAGGAGGAGGAGCCCAGCGGCAAGTGGCAGCGCTTCGGATTGGAAGCCTGTCCGGCTGCGAAGGTCAAGGCGCCGCTCGTAGGCGGCAGCGATGTCATTGCAAATATCGAGTGCGTAGTCGAAGACACTAAGATGGTGAGCAAATACTCCATGTGGGTTCTAAAGCCCGTCAAGGCGTGGCTCAATCCGGACAAGAAGCCCGGAGAGGGCGGCCGCATGTTCCATCACCGTGGCGATGGCACCTTCGTCATTGATGGTGAAGTATTAGACTTGAAGGATAGGATGATCAAATGGCAGGAATACCAAGATTAAATCATATATTAACACACTCCCTAACCTTTTATTTAGTACCGACTACCTAAGTTCGTAATGACGAATTGACTCTAATCCCAATTTTTATTCTTCATAAACCATATCCGCCTACTTCTTCTCTTCTTTCTTACTTTCAGCTGCACTATTAACTACGGCAGTTGGATTCTCGGAGTTCTCGGGGTTGCTCTTCTTATCCTTTTCTTCCTCGCTCGGAGAGTTTCCCTGCGTCCCCAACCGAATAAAAAAGGTCAATACCAAACATGCCGCAGAGAACGCAATAGACATTTGGAATGTTCTGGTGAATTTGAGCATCGGATCGGCCATGCCTTCGGGTGTTAATTGCACCGAGCTATAAATCGCCGTCGAAATCCCCATCACAGCAGTATTAGCCAGGCGGATAACCACATTGAAAATGCCGCCTGCCAAGGATTGTTTATCTTTAGGTAACGACTGCATCACGTACATCTGGTAAAGTCAGAACTGTCAAAATGTAAAGCATAGGAGTGTAACTCACATTGGCCACGTTGAACTGGAGATCAGCACCAGCAACGATCAAGATGAGAGCTGGGAACATCAAGGCCCAGTAACTAGTCTCTACCTTTATGAAAGAGAGCAGCAAGTTAGCAGCGAGGTAGCATGTGGCGCCAAAGATCATGATAACCGTGTTGTTGATGCTATGCATTATACGACCAGCAACTACATTCCAGAGTAACCCAGCAATAGCCTGAGGGAGTAGATGAACGGCGACCATGAGGGTGGAATATTGTTTAACTTCCTGCAAGAAGAAGGCAACCCAGAAACAACTGGCAGTGAAGCCCATATTACCGAGGGCAATAGTAGGGATAATCTACAGTTGTTAGTATTAAGGAGGACAAGTATATCTGAGTAAAAGCTCACAAAACTGAAGTTCCAGTCCTTCCAGATATGCGGAGGCATTAGGGGGTTAGGAAATACTCTTTCCCATAGGATGAAAATTACAAGCAGCGCAATGCCAACAACTAACATTGCAATCACATGCGCACTTGCCCAACCATCTTCAGGACCCAATCTAGATTCGTCAGTATTTGAGGCTCTAGAACTTCAAGGGTACATACGTTAAACCCGCAGTAAATAAGCCCGTCCCAAAAATCGTTAGAATCGTACCGACAATATCGAATTGCTTCAGCGTCTTTAGGCGTTCTTTCAGAGGAGCTCGATCAAAATTCTCGACATTAGGTACTGCCCAAATCGCATGAAGGGTGAAAAGTGCCCAGATAACGCATAGGACAATAAAGGCAGCACGCCAGTTACTTAGTTGGGTAACAATACCGCAGATAATAGTGCCGAACACAAATCCTAACGGGTTCCCTGCACTGAATGCCGAAAATGCCAAGTTCTTCCGCTTCGAAGGGGTGGCATAAGCAGCGCCGAGTATACCTATGGCCGGAGGAACAACCATGGCCGAGCAAGCACCGAGGATACCGCAGACAATCAACATCCAGAAGGGGTTTTGGGAGAAAGCCACCAGCAACACGAATCCACTGAAACTGGCCAGACCAGTTATGAACATGGGTTTTCTTCCCAACAAGTCGGCTAGCTGTCCCAAGGCGAGCTGAAGAGCACCAGCCACAAGTCTATATAACTGGAAGTTAGTGATATATAGAACTTACCTAGTCAGAGATTTAGAAAGATATTCTATACGTACGACGTCGCGGCGCTGATCCATGCTATTTCACCCTGTGTCATACCCAAGTCGCGAGCGACGGGAACGGTGATAACTAGAGCAACACCGGATAGGAAAGATGTCGTAGCGGTTGCGATAGTAGCTTGGAAGATGAAGGATATCTCCTGGAAGGTGTTCTTAAAGCACTCCGGTCGGTCTCCAAACTTCGATTTGATTCTCTCAAGCGTCGACATACCCTGCTCCTCATCGCCATTCGTGGTGTGGGTACTCCCACTAGAACTAGAACTGGAGCCTTGAGCTGTCGAATCTGCATCTTGCCCTGTTTTCGCTGGGTTGAGTGACATCTCGATGATTTCTGGTGTTTGTCCAGACGGTGACGCCATTGTGTACGAAGACCTCGCGAATTAAACCTCTAGAAGGCTATTCATCTAAGTCAATGAAGCGTGGTGTTAAGCTTCATGCGCCGTAGCAGGAATATGTGAGAAGTAACAATGACTGTTACTCAATAATGGGTGTATTAGCACACAATGATTATATAGGTGGCAATAATTGTTGTTAATAACCACATACTACCTGATATATTCTATCCCTCGGAATAAGGACTCACAGGGAATAAATCCGATGCCTATGGAGATATGCTTGCTAATCGTAGGTATTCACACAAGAAATGTGGGTTATCTTTTCGTCTTACAAGAGATATTATAATGTTTATTATATTAAGAAACTACTACTCCCATAATGGATAAGCTTGACTCAGGTCCACTAAATTACCTACTAAGTCTAGTCCTATTCAAACCTTTGTCTTCACACCGTCAGAAGCAACAAGGCTCGCGATTTCCCAAATAGGGGCAGATTATCAGTCATGCCATTCTCCCACATCCCACATCCCACATTCTCCCTTTTTCGGCACACCATTGGACAAGATTTTTAGAGCTAACGAAATGAGAACGGCTAAGGGTCCTCGCACGGACCAGAGTCGGCAACGGAAGCGGAATCGGACCTCATTAACTTAGAAGTCTTTAAAGCTGTAAAGGCAAGAATGACACAGGCACATTGTTTATTTAAGTCTGATTTATCGATTTCTTTACACAATTCCTACTAACTATAATATATTTTAAACCCTTTAAACGTCGTGATTTGTTGATATAAGGGGAGTGTATACCTCACAATTTCAGGACGCGGTTAGTTACACGCGTGGAAATTACTTATTCACAACTTCAAGCGAACCGTGCACGGGCTCGAAATGGAATGCATGATGACTTCACGAATCGATATATCAAAGTCGGTAAACTAAAACGACATAGGCTGTTTCAAGTGTTTACACTCCTTACGTGTATGACAGTCAAAATATAACACCAACGGAAGGCACCGCGTACAGAACGGCATACAAACACGTTTCGTACTCCTTAACATCGCACAGCTCTAGTAGCACTGAATCGAGTTTACTGTCTGTATTTAGTTTGATCGATATCAGTTGTTCCCCATATAAAGGGCTAACTTTGCACGATAAAATATCCTTTGGTAATAACAAACATTGAAGGTTACATGGTAGTATTTACAATACTAGTGCTGCGTAGAAGTCTTAGATTGCTTTCTGTCATGACCCTATGAGACATCAAGAACGCCTTATGTTCTAAATAGTTAATAGTCTTTGTAGTTTAGATTTAAAGTTGATTCCATGCTTTCAAGATCTACCTCGTGATACCTTCTCTCGACACAGTCTCTCCCTTGTAAAATAAGAGTAAAATATATATATAATCTCGGAAATACTTATCATTAGGTAACTACTATAAACATCGGTATCTTGATATTTCCCTGGTAATTATGATTATTCCTACTTCGGACTTCCGTAACAAACTCCTATTGTATATCATAAATACCCTCTCTATCTGACCCCTATTAGCACCAGTTACATCTGCGGGTCACCTTTGGATTTTATAATTGTGGAAATCTACCAAATGATAATGTCAAAGTGGCTTAGGTAGGTAGCTATATAGAGTATTGAAGTTATCTCGAGCAATATTTAAGTTATAAATTCATTTTAGTATGCTATGATTTCTCTCTTCTCCTACCCCTATTATGTAGTTCCCTTATCTTTGGATTTAGAAACACGTCTTATCAGGTGCTAATAACTATTGGTCTTTTATGTTAAGTATCTATAACACCATCGAGCAGAAGGGACATGTAGTATGCTTAAGACTCAATTTATACATACAGTAAAAACTATCTGGTTGAATCGTTTAGGGGGCAGTGAAGCTACGTAATTAGCCAAAGCAACTACCCGTTTCGGCGCCCTACTAGCAAGACTCAATGCTCAAGAGACCGAAACCTTGCAAGCAAACGCCGTTGATCAATCTCGCTAATATATTGTCATCGCGACTTCGTTTGCGCTTCATTTCATCGTCCCACAATCTTCGTCTCCCTCCATTTAATTTCGAGAAGACTTTCTATCCCCGGTTATCAACCCCCTAGTCGACACGCTGCCCACCGTTAATTATGTGCTCCCTCCCGTGCTCTGCTGAGAGCGTGCTCCTGGCCTCATCTTGCCTATCACTACTTAAGTAGCGCCCAGTTTTGAGTGGCGGCAAAACTGGTTCCCCGGAAAGGAATCATGTCAGGTTGAGCATATTATGTAAAGCCTCAGAAGCGTTGGCAAGAAGGTCCCCGTTACGAGTAGAGGTGGCTTCCCAAGTACATATTTGAATATAGGTATATATATATCTAACGTGGTAATTCCAAATCATGCCCGTGGACTTCTGAGGAAGTTCACAACTCCTCCGCAGTAACTAACAAGATTGTCTAATCTATTACATTCTTCTGCCTGATGTTTCTTCCATTCTGACAGTGCGCTCATTAGGGTATCACTCGCCAGGATCAAATCGAAATGTAGACGAAGGAAGACAGCCATCCAAGCTTGGGTGAGCTCATAGTCACGACGTGCCACGAGGCGGCTAGTCATGGCGTGGATGAAATGAAGCAGCTCGTTGGTTTCATCATCGTCCCCAGTTGTTAGAGAGCGTAATTCTAGGTCCGCAGTAGCCGGAGAGAGAGATTTAAGATGCTCGATGAATTCAGTAACTGGTTAAAGTTAGCTCATAAATATAATGGTATAGGGGATATAGGTAATTTCTCTTACAATTTCCAGAAGTAGCTCCTACTTGCAGCTTATTCGTGAATACTTGCTCAGCCCTGTTCCGATCAAAACGGGTGATCCTCGATTGACTCTGAGCTTGGTCCGTGTTTGGCTGAGCTACGTTTATATCTGAGGTGCCGGTGTTAGTTGCTGATGGCAAGAAGAAAGGTGCTCTTTCTGGAGCCTTTGGAGCTTCTGTTGGTTTGTTCCTCTGTTTAATCAAGTCCAGGTGCAATAGTGTTTGCCATCTGCTTCGCGGAACTAGACTTAGCGTCATCATATCGGTACTGAGCTGATCCACGCCAGGCGCAGCGATTTCATCATCTTCTTGAGAGGCTGTTTCTTCAAAAGCCGCTTCGAGTAAGCCCTGGCCTCCCTCTCCTGATGCCGTCGGTCCCGATATCTGCTTGATTGAATCTTCGGATATTTGTCGGGTTGGAACGTGTGTGAAGAGAGCCTTATTATTCCATATGTTAACACCCAGCTCCCCCTCAGTGGCTGCAGCCAAATATTCCCCCGTTGCCGAGAAGGCTAGTGCAGTGCAAGGCTTCTCTGATCGAATAGCATCAATTAAGTGACCTGTTGGTAGATCCCAAACTCGTATTATAGCATCCTGAGAGGCTGCAATTATCCAGCGGCCATCATTAGAGAATATGAAGTCGTTGATTTTGCCCTGGCATCCCCAGAATTCACGAATAGTTTGTTTCGTCTCAATATCTACGACCCGAATAGAGTTATCGTCACAGGAAAAAGCTATAAGATCATTTGCAGCGTGGTAGCGGCAGCCTATGATTCCTGTCATCGGAGCCCAGTTGATTTCCTCGAGCAGATTTCCCGTGAGGAATTCCCAGAACTTTACTTTGCCGTCCAATGAGCAACTGATCACGTATTTGTCCATTGAATCGACGACAATCCCGGTGACTGCTTTTGTATGCTTTCCAGTTCCTGGTGCAAAACTGGTTGCAGATCGAGCTTGAAGCTGAACGACAGTATCCGCCTGTCTTGACTGCTGCATCTTGACCTGTCTTGCCTGCGCCGGTGTGAGTTTGGATGGAAATCGTTGGCGGTGCAGTCCTGATTGAAGGTTGAACATATCAATAGATCCGCCAACTGATCCAACGACAGCAAAAGTCCCACACGGGCTCATGGCCACGGATGATACGTTTGCGCCGTCGCCAGTTTGGAATGCCCATCTTCCAGCTCTTTTTCGGCCCCAAAACCAGGTTCGAACAAACGGATCATCCTTATGTGCTGTAACCACGCTCTCCCAACCCGTCATGCCGCTAATCTCGGCATCTATGGGCTTCTTTTGAGTTTGAGATTTTTGCCACAACACCTGCTTCCCGGGCAAGGCACCCATGCCACCATCCCTATTTAAAGAACATGCTATGCGTGTGATCTCCGGGGCCTTTAGGTCATCTAGCGTAGTAGTTGGACCACGGCCTAAGGTGCTGCTGTCTAGAATTCCGTATTTCTTAGCCTTCTTGCGGATATTACCCTGACTCAATTCTGTGCTTTGACCGTCTCGACGAAGACTCCAGCCCCAGAGACTCCTATCCTTACCACCACTAAGAAGCCATTTGTTACCTGCTTCAGCACCTTCGAAATCGGTCGGCAAGAACTGCAAACTGGTGACTGGTGCAGCATGGCCACTCCTCGTGTGTAGTATTCGTGGTATAGGCGAAAATGGTGTCTCATCGAATATCCAAGTTTTTAAAGAATTGTCTCTACCACTGGTAACGATGACGGGTTGGCCGGCAAGGAACTCAATCTTGCTTACACCTCCACGAATCGATGCTCCCTCTTGCATTGGAGGGTTATGAGCGCTTCTAAGGATACCCATAATCCTGCCACCTTGGTTAAGATCCCAAAACGTGATATCGCCGCTCGACTGCGTAGCTGTTGCCATAACGCCATCTTTGCGCCCATCCTGACCTGCGCCCATACCGTCGGTGCGAAATGAAATGTTAGTAACAGGCGCATCCTCGGTACCTGCGTTAACCTCAAGAACCTTCTTGTCTGTGAGTACGTTATGAATAACTAAAGGCCCTTCGGCGTATGAGATGGCCATTAGAGAAAGCGCAGGTGTTGGCTGCATGCAAGTGACGGCACCACAGGTTGGAGATGGAGGTAGGATGGTATAGATAAGTTTTCCAGTAGAGATGTTCCAGATCTCAACCCATCCGTTCCGACGTCCAGCAAATATCTTATTTAAGTAGGTCGGCATAGTACATATCCCTCCGGTGAGTTCGTTATCGTGCTTTTTCGAAGCCATAGTAAAAAGAGTCGTATAGTGTTCCAATGTCGTCGTCTTCCATACTTCTATTCTTGTCAAGCCACAGGCAACAACCCAAGATCCGAAAACGATAATCTGTTTAATCGGCTGGTGTAGATCAGAGGGAAGTTGTAACTCGCCAACTTTCTTCCCTCTTTGGAAAACCCATATACCCTGAGAGGAGCCTTCTCGGGAGTCGCCCCAGGCAACAAATACCTTCTGTTTCCAAGCGCATGTCGCCGTTATGGTACTTGGGGTCTGGGGTCGAGTTATGAAGACGAGATTGAGGCCGCGTTTAAGGTCATAAGTCTGTAGCGAGCGGCCTATAGATGTTGTAACCTGGAAGGTAGTGTTCCCGAGAGGAACAGAGGTGAAGGGCACATTAGTAGGAGAAACGAGGCCGATTGTCTTAACACTATATATTAGAACTAGGTATGGTCATTGCGATTCCGAAAATATTTGAACATACCCGATATGGAGCAAAGATCCTAGACTGTTGCGATGTAGATGATTTGGATTTCGCGACAGAATTGAGCTTCTGACGCTTGATCAATGGTCCTTCTGGCTCTGAATGAGGCATTGTAGCGAATTATTCGTCGGAATAATCGTTGAGCCCCTATGTGAATAGAGCTTTAACTATTAGAGCTTTTGTGGTGCATCTAGGAATCGCAGCGCAACGACTGCTTAAAGTTGTCTGTAAATGGATTTTTTTTTCTTAGGACGGAACAGCGCGAAGCATTTTTGGCGTCTTGTACTAGGTACCTTAGCCCCACTATCTTATCCTAAACTACTGGTAAAGTACTTAGAATTACGACTGTTATTAATAAAGCTTTTATATTTGAAGTTTATAGGGATAATCTACAACTATCTCAATTGACTGTAGTAATAACAAATTTTGATAATTGTGCTTATATTGATTTTAATACTATAAAATAATTTCAAGGACAAGTAAAGCGTTGAATAGGAATCTTAGGTACTATACATTTAGCTTTAATGCTGTAATTCTTATCATTATCGATACCCATTATCGCTGTTATCGATATAGCCCCATCTGATGACAAAGCATTGATAGTCTCAATATGTATATAGCGTATGTGCCACCATCTACTAATATATTAACCCTTTAAATGTTTAAGAGGGTACTTTTGTATTTAAAGAAAATACATTCTTAACCAGATATTCCTAATTACACCTTATGTGCTTAAGTTAATGTAACTATTTCATACTTTCACCGCCTTAATACCTGTTGAAAATAATAAAACTAACTGTCGTACTGAGCGCTACTCCACCTCAATTATTCCATGCTATTGGCTGATTACCCCTGTGACCTTGTCATTGGACGTCATGTCATTGGCATGTGCTCAAGACGCCACCATGAGGTACCTTATCATGCCAATGATGCGGTTTACAAAATTCCCACTATACAAAATTCCATAATTACAGTTACATCTCGGCTTTCTTTTAACGAATCCGATAACAGAGGAGGTCTCGTTTGTCTAATGGTCTATTAGCTTTCACTGGTCCAGTTGCCCACCACGTATACTCCCTAACCGTGGACCGCAGATGCAATTATCAAGTTGTCTATCTGAGCTTCCAATGAAGTTCATGATATATCCCTGACTCTTGATATTCCGAATTGCCGTATCCGCGACCCACTTCCAACATTCACGAAGTTGCGGCAAACTAAAAATAAACCGGGTCCTAAATCGATATTTCTTTATTATATTTCTTTCGAGGGCCTAGTAACCTAGTTCTTCCTAACGAATAATTTCACACATACGAAATAAACTCAGTAGGAAGACCCGAACATTAAATTACTTTATATGAGTTGGTCGTGGAGGTTTTATTAAGCTTGGTTTCGTCTAACTCACTAGAACATACGATATTTGGCTAGGAGGTGAACGACATATTATTTGCCACCATTTCCAAGTATCCAGGGATCTTCACCTTATCCGTTAGTAATCGATAATACCTTGGATACTCGGAATAAAGTATTGTGGTACGCATGTGAAGCTGCCTACATAGCTCTAAGAGTTGCTACGAGAAGAAAGAAGTGGGAAATTGAGCATCGAAGGTTTTATCTAGCCACGCCGATAGGTACTTAGAACTTATCGAATGACGAAACATCGCAGTTAAACGGTCAGACTGCGGAGTACAGTATACATATTTTTAGACTCTAGGGTCGTTCGTCCTAGAAAGGATGGAGACTAATAATACTAATAACAAGTCGGGTCGCAGTCTAAGCGGTTCTAGCAAGAGACTTTCCTGGTCATTTTCACACTCCCGTACCCGCTCGCCATCTTCTGTAGCTAGTAGCATCGCCAGTTCCATAGCAAGCGGGAAAAGTCGACATGCTGAGCCTCTCGGGACTACCGATGTATCAGTCGAACCCGCGAACTTGTCTATGCCACCTCTAGCTAGACCATTGAAGTCGTCTCATCCTCCTTCATCTTCTAATCGTACACGCGAGTCATTCAGTTCCAATATTTGCAATGAGGAGTTCCACACTAGTACTACTACAACCGACGAAGTTGCTATCGACGATATCGAGAATACTCCGAAACAACAGCCCGGCAATTCTGCCCCTGACACAAATTCTCCTTGTCAACTACCCGAACCTGCAGTAAATCTACCCTCCTCGTCCTCAGAGCACGAGGTCGGGAAACGCATTTCTGTTTCTTCTGTCTTCTCTCTTGCATCGTCTCGTGGCGCTGCAAGCTCTGCTCCCTCTACAAACGGCTCGGACGGCGGCGGCGGTATCCAACGCTCTGTATCGGGCATCATGGCTTCTGGCAAAGGCCTGGGTCCATCCCCAGGTCAATCCGAGTCTGGTGTGTCTAATGTAACAGTTACCACATCTTCTAACTCAAATACCCAGAACCCTATTAGCGGCCCTCAGTTAACTCCGCGGGAGACTCATCATACCAATCCTCTGGACCTCGTCAAGCGAAATCCTGCACCTGCACCAAACCCAGCTCCTCGGCCCCAGGTGACTCGATCTCGAAGTAGGGCTAAGCGGCGATTGAGCGGTAGTACTGCTAATAGTAGCCACAGCCCTAGCAGCGAGCGAGGTCCTCACGTTAAAGAGAAGGAAGAGGTTAAGCCAGCGCCGTGGGGTATCATTGGTGTTTGCGCGCTGGATGCTAAAGCCAGAAGCAAACCGAGCAGGAATATTCTTAACAGATTAATTGCAAACCGTGAATTCGACGTTATAGTGTTTGGAGATAAGACAATTTTAGACGAAGGTGAGAATATTCTATTGGTAATAAAGCCAGGTGGCTCAGGATGCTAACAACAAAACAGAAGTGGAAAACTGGCCGATATGCGACTATTTAATATCTTTCTATTCAGATGGCTTTCCTTTGGAAAAGGCTATAGCTTACGTTAAGGCTCGAAAACCGTTTTGTGTCAATGATGTGCCGATGCAAAAGGTACTTTGGGATAGGCGACTCTGCCTGAGAATACTTGACAAGATCGAAGTACCAACCCCGAAACGAGTCGAAGTAAATCGCGACGGCGGACCGAGTTTGCTAACCCCAGATGTTGCGAAACATATAAAAGATGTTACCGGCATTACCCTCGAGCCTGGTGGACCAGACAACTATCGCTTCCCTCGCAAGGTAGAGCTGCTTGACGATGGAGATATCTTAAGCGTGGACGGTACCCTATTAAAGAAGCCATTTGTTGAAAAGCCAACCAGCGGCGAAGACCACAACATCATTATCTATTTTCCAAAATCTTCTGGCGGGGGTGCCCGTAAACTCTTCAGGAAAATTGGTAACAAAAGCTCAGAATTTGTTAAAGATCTTATTATTCCCCGTGCTATAACCGAGCCGGAGGGTAGCTTCATTTATGAGAAGTTTATGCAGGTGGACAACGCAGAAGATGTAAAAGCCTATACGGTTGGGCCGCAGTACTGCCATGCCGAGACAAGAAAGTCCCCTGTCGTAGATGGTATTGTTCGGCGTAATACGCATGGCAAAGAAATACGTTATGTCACCTCGTTGGGCCCGGAAGAGAAGGAGATTGCAAGCAAGATCGCCAATACGTTTGGACAACGCGTCTGCGGGTTCGATCTACTTCGAGCGGGTGGTAAAAGTTATGTTATAGATGTCAATGGTTGGAGCTTTGTCAAAGATAACGAAACCTACTACGATCACTGTGCGAGTATCTTGAAGGATATCTTCATCAGGGAGAAGATTCGTCGTGGGGGGCCAACGCCGCCTCTCCCATCGCCTACTATTTCCGACATTGGTGATCCACTAAAGCAAGCTATTTTTAGTAACAAGGAAAAAGATGGGTTGGTTAGTACAAGACAGCCAAAGTCCGCAGGAAGCGCAGGCACACTTTCCCCCGAAGAGAGTAAAGAAAGTAAGGACGAGCAGAGCGCAGCAAATGCCTCACCACCCAAATCTGATACGGGAGTGGCGGGTATCGCGACAAGACTGCAAAATGGTATCATTAGTCCCATAACTTACCTTACAGGTGGCTCTGCTGCAAGCAGCTTACCGACTACGGCCCCTCCAACTCTTCCGGCTACACCCTCAAGTAAAGCAGAAGAACAAGCTGACCACTTAGAGGAACCGACACCGCCTCCGCCTCCCCCCAAACACTCGTGGAAGCTCAAAGGAATGGTCTCGGTCATCCGACATGCAGACCGTACTCCAAAACAGAAGTACAAATTTACCTTTCACACACAGCCATTTATCGACCTTCTAAAAGGCCACCAAGAAGAGGTTCTCCTTATTGGAGAGCCTGCCTTGGCCAGTGTCCTCGATGCGGTCGACTTGGCTTTGAAGGCCGGTGAGGAGGACCGAAATAAGCTTAAATCCCTTCGTAATGTATTGGTTAAGAAAGGGGGGTGGGCAGGCACAAAAGTTCAAATCAAGCCAATGTTTCGTAAGAAGAAAACGGCCGAAATGAACGAATCAACTCCCAAAGTCACCGAGGGAGTAAAGATGGAGTCTGAAAGTGTAGAAATCCCACCTAAGGAAGTAGACGCCAAGAAAGAACCGGAACAACCCCCCGCAAAAGAGCAATTGAAGGCCGAAGACGGTCTGCGCCGACCTGATCTGTCAGAAGTAGTCGTATCTGACTCTGAGCAACAGCCGAATAACCCACCGCGGCGCCAAGATTCCATGTCAGGGGTAACAATGTCCAAATTCACTGCAGCCGACAACAGTTTCGTTTTAGATAAGTTGCAGCTTATTGTCAAGTGGGGAGGCGAACCGACTCACTCGGCACGTTACCAGGCGCAAGAATTAGCACAAAATATGCGTAATGACTATCTTCTGCTAAATCGTGATATTCTGGACCAAGTTCACGTATTTAGTAGCTCTGAGCGGCGAGTTACAGCCAGTGCACAGATTTGGGCAGCATCGTTTATAGAGAAGAATGACCTTCCAGAAGACTTTATTACGATACGGAAGGATTTGTTGGATGATTCCAACGCGGCTAAGGATGAGATGGATAAAGTCAAAAAGAAGCTTAAGGGTTTATTGCGAAAGGGGAACGAGCGGCCATCCCAGTTTGCTTGGCCAGAAGGAATGCCAGAGCCTTCTGAAGTACAAACGCGAGTAGTGCAGCTGATGAACTTCCACCGTCGCGTAATGCAGCACAATTATAGCAAACTGCAAACTGGCGCTGTAAATTCCCTCAACGCTATCAATACCCCGGGCTCAGATAAAACTCATAGCGAGAGTTCTAGTACATCTGTAGCCTCGTCGCTTTCCCAAGCCAATGCTATCAACGGCATCCAAGCTCGCTGGTGCTGTGGCGAGGACGCGGAATTGTTTCGCGAGCGTTGGGAAAAGCTCTTTGCGGAATTTTGCGATCACGAGAAGGTTGATCCTAGCAAAATCTCGGAATTGTATGATACGATGAAGTTTGATGCTCTACACAACCGTCAATTTCTCGAATGGGTCTTCACTCCGCCAAAGCATATGCTAGAGGAAGAATTTAGCATCACCATAAGCCGCGAGGGCAAAGCCTCGCCAAAGGAGCCTGAAGAAGGCGGTAAAACGACTGATGACAAATCGGATAAAAGCCAAGTCCTTGGTTCGTCACCTGGGGAAAAGGTGGATAAGTCGGACCGGCCGGAGAGGACCGAGAGGTCAGAGAAGACTATGAAGCGTATTTTCCGAAGGAGATCTTGGATGAAGCATCCTCACGAGGTTGACAGACCTGCCGAATATTTTCACTTACCTAAAGGTAACAATCAGACTAAAGCAAAGACAGACGAATGTTTCGAACCTCTACGGGAACTTTACCAACTTGCTAAAGTTCTATTTGACTTCATCTGCCCGCAGGAGTATGGCATTTCAGATAGTGAAAAGGTATGTCCATCTCTATTCGATTTAGGCAGGTCTATAACTGACGCAGTATTACAGCTCGAAATCGGACTCTTGACATCACTCCCCTTACTCAAAGAGATTGTCCAAGACCTCGAAGAAATGCAAGCGTCTGATAACGCCAAGTCGTTCTTCTATTTCACCAAGGAATCGCACATCTACACGTTGCTAAACTGTATCCTCGAGGGTGGTATCGAGACGAAAATCAACCGCAGGACGATCCCTGAACTTGATTATCTCTCGCAGATCTGCTTCGAGCTATACGAGTCGGAGACCAAGCTCCCAGTAGATGCGTCCCTCGTCGATCAGCCTACCTTCAACTACAGCATCCGCATCACGATCAGCCCCGGTTGCCACATTTTCGACCCCCTGGACATCCAACTAGACAGTAAACACTGTATAGGATGTGCACCGCGCAGGAGCCTAACACCTCACGCGGATTGGAAGAAGGTCATCGAGACGCTCAGAGCCAAGTTCCATCAGTAAGTTTTCTTTTTCTTTTTCTTTCCACGACGTAGCCCCGACGTCATACCACGAGAGGAGGCCTCCTTCTTCTTCATCGTAGCAGGACAGCTGACTCACGGTGACCAATAGGGTCAAACTACCCAAGACTTTCCTCGCGGTCAACCTCTCAGATGCCTTCACATTCCAAGAGAAGGAGCGGCAAAATTCCGAGGCGGATTGCCTCGAGAAGGATCCCGGTGGCAACGAAACCGAAACCGAAGGTCTCGAGATGAAAGCACTGGGCTCATCGCGGTCCTCGCCTGTGAAGGTCGATCCGCGCGGTGACGACACCGAGGTGTCGACTGTTAATGATGAGCAGCAGCCATCTCTTCCACCTCCCGTTGCAACGGTTAATAATGCGGCTGATCTGCCTCCGGCCGCAAATACAGCGGGAACAACGGTCCCTGAATTAGAAGGTACCAAGGACGCAGGCACCACCACTACCACCACTGTCGACCCTGATACCACTAAGACGGGATGATGGAAATTTTTTTTTCTATCTGTCTGTCTTCTGCAAGAGCGGCACGGAATCCGGATGAGGAACCGGTGGATTAATAGGGGGGGAGATATGCTACATACCGGGACATTTTGTCGATGATACGGCCGCCCCCCTCCTCGCCCTTCGTCCGCCTGTGGGCGGTGAGAAAATTCTCATAATGGGGCCGGGGGTCGAACGAGTAAGACAAGCATTACATGCAGAGATGTCAAGAAAAGGAAATGGACCTGAGATAAGCGTCATGACGTGCGTCTAGAACGAACCTTTTTTTTTTCTTCTTCTCGTAGTCATCTTATAGTATGTATGTAATGTAGATATATGTAATATGCACGTATTTTATCGCTACCGAAAATTTAAAAAAAAAAAAAAAAATATGACAAGGGCGTTATGTATGTATGTATGTACATATGTTATGCGCAGATACGCTTGTATGTTAATTTATTAGACGAGGAACATGACATGATAAGCGAACCCGTAGCGAACCGAACCCACGTGTGTGTCAGCATGACAGATGATTTATTACGAATTAGAGACCATGTATTAAGAATTTATTTACCTACCTGTATGTATGTATGTAGCTCGAATGGATCTTACCTAACCGTAGATTTGTCCGCGCTTGGCCCCGACCTCTTGTATGCCGATGCGAGATGGTTCCTGAAGCGGGTTCTCTTGATTTGGGGAGCCCCTCTGACCCATCACTTTTTTCACGATGATGTAAAGAAGCATGGGACAAGGGGAAAAAAAAAATCAAAAAACCTTGCTAACATCACTTCTTTTTCTTCATCTTTCCTTTGCTTTCACCGCTATGCCGGAAAAGGGGGACGGCTCAGAAAAGTTTTCTTTTCTCTTCTTTTACTACTGCAACCGCTTCCAGCTTTCTTTTAACCCTTCTCGGCAGCCGGCGAGAGAGCCCGGATCCCCTTGCGCTGTTCATCATCGATGCATCATCGAACGTCACCGGGCTTGGTCCTGGGCCCTTCGTTCTTGGTAAGAAGTGATAAGGAAAGTGACAGCCAGACGGAAAGGTCTAAGTTGGGTTATTAAAGGTATTGCGAGTAAGCATGTAAGGTAGGTGGTAAGGTGGTAGACATCCCGGCATTGAAGAAGCGAGGTTGCAGTGTCGAGCCGCGCCTTGTCCCCCCCGGTCCCTAAAAGTTACCTATCGTTCGGGGTTTGGGTCGGAAGTTTTGATGCAAGATATGAGGAAAAGGGGGGTGAGAAAGTTTCGGAGAGTCTTCTCTCGTCCGTTCCCCCCCTTCTTCTTCTTCACTCTCAGGCGGATGGATGACTGGTATGATTGATCTGATCATCGACAGGACGGGATGCGTAACCGTGACGATCCAGATTGTTGCGTCCGCTGTGCGCTGGTACCGCAGCTCACATGTTTAGGTATGATGCGCGCGGCACTAATATGTATGCAAGTACGTTGCGTACGGAGAAAAGCGTCGGTCTGCATCTCCGAGGTGTCTTTGACCTGCCAATTGGGCTAGTGCATGTAGTTTTCTCGCGCCTAAGAAGCATGCCTACCTACCTAGGTAGGCAGTAGGTAGTGGGCAGTAGGTAGATACAAATACAGATGGCACATACATCATGGGTATGGTGGTGGCAGCGGTGGATAACTAGAGGCCAGGTTTTTAAGAGGTGGGAAGGATGATGAGGGGAGACACTAAGGAGGATTAAAATGTGATAGATCATATTATAACTTCGTCAGACGAAATCTAGGCTATCATGAGCAGCGAGTAAGTCCGCCCCGCCAAATTTTAAGAACCGAAAAGTAAAGGAAAAAGGGAAGGGGGGGTAAAAGGAACACGGAAATATGTCTACGGCCCCCGGATTATTGAACATCGTTCGTCGGATGGCGAGTATAATGGAAACGAAATATGAGCCGTCGACATCATGCGGCAGCAGGACGGGCCGTCGCGTCACCTTAAATTGAGGCTGATTCTGAATCTTCCGGCTTGAGTGCTACTCCGTAACGTCGTTTTCGAGACCCCTTCAAACGAGGCTGATAAACTGCCCAATAACGAAGGCCAGCACCTCGTCATCAGGTTCGGAATAGCTTGCCGTCCAGGACCCAGGGGGGGAAGGACGCATTACGTCCATCATCAACTTTCCGGCCGTCTAATTTTACCGAACCATACTTGACGCTAGGCAAACCCGACCCCATAGGTGTCTACCTGTTTACATAGTAGCTGCGACTTCGGGCTCTTCCTAGACCTCTTTCCGCTTAATGTCCGTGGGCCCCGGTATTAGCACATCATGCTCGGAAACCGAGAGCCGTGGCATGGCCAGCGGGCCCACAGGCACCATGAGAAATGTCAAGTTAGGCAAGTCGGTATACACGATTAGTAGGATGGAAGCAGTGATCAACCGGCGAACTTTTGCCCTGTCAACAGTAGCATAATACATACACCAGAATATAGAACAACGTTGATTGTGGGCCGTTTTGATATCAGAAGGTTGGACGCACAACATGGTCTGCCTTGTATATAATAAAAGTACGTCAAACTTACCACGTCTCCGACAATTTTACCAATTGGTTGTCATCATCTCCAGAGATTTTTTGTCGACCGGGCTGTGTGACGTGGGATCATTCAATGTGGGGGCAGTAAGTTGGTGAGGATCATACAAGGCAAAAGAGAGACACCCATACAGGCCATAGTGGGGGACTGACAGGGAATCTAGGCGTAGCCCCTCATAAGGAACAAAAATAAATACAGGGAAGATGACGGGGAAGAAGAAAGTCTGACAGGTACTTCTGCATAGTGCTATATCAGATAGACCTGCAGCTAACTATCATGGCTAGCCAAAAGAGCGGTAGGTCGTGTTGTAATCTATTATATAGACCACCAAACAGGTACTGAAACGTCTCTTTGAATCTGGATGTTCTTGGCAGGGCTAGGCAGGACGGAATAAGCTCACACCCTCAACAGTATTGTGTGGTAGTCGATGAACCCTGATGACTTCTCATTAGATTCCGTATTGCATACCTTAGGTACGACAGGGGGTGCCTCATAATGAGGTGAGGACACTTATTAGCCTGTGGATTTTGTAAAACTGTTCGTCTTGAATCTGAAGATTGTGTCGGGGAGCCCGTTCGCAACCTGGCACTGACACTTGACACTAACACTGACACTGACCTCACCGATATTCAGGACCGGCCCATCGGAACCTCACGATGCTCTCCTGCTTGACCGCACAGAGACGGAAAGCCTCATGAGCACGGTTGTTGATATTTTTGTCCACCAATGGGATAATTAGGTAATGCAAACCCAGACCGGTGGGTGGTTTCAATAATGTCGATAGTAATGCGTATTGCGTATTGCGTATGTGGATACGTAGCCCTGTTTTCTTCCCGAAGTTTTTGTTTGTCCTCTTTGATATGAAAACCGTTGGCATCAAAACATTCCAATAACCTGAATGTGCATAGGTAAGTAGGCTTGTAGTATTTGCGCGAGCCACGCAAGACATGTTTGCTAAAGTCCAATTGCTAGCGCATGTCGAAAAGAAAAAGATCGTATTCAATTTCATTAAGGTCTGGTTGCCGACTCGACTATGTGTAAACCATGCCTGGATCATCCACGATTGGCTACAGGGAACAAAATTGATTATTGTTTGATGTTGTATTGACGACCAACCGGTGAGCATACCCCCGAGCTATAGTATATGAATTTGTTTCTGGGATAATTAATACGACCGGCAACTTTCCTGGATTCGTTCCTAAACAGGCGCTTCGCGAATCAGGTCTATTAAACGAGCTTAATTGTGGTCGGTAGTTGGCGCTATGGCAAATTGGAGTACTTCCGTTTTAGGCCATTTGCATCTCGTCGTGACCAACCAGAGGCGACCAACATAAAAAAAAATTGAGTGATGACTCCCGCACGCGACAAAGATGAATCTTGTACTACAAAACTCCTACGATCACGATTTCGACTTGTCGGGTAGTAATTGGATACTTGAATAATTAAAATCGAGTCTTGGCTTGGCATCGGAATACGTGGCCTTGTCTTTATAAGTAAGTACTATGGTAGCACTTTAACATTCCGCATCCACAGCCGATGGTGGTACATTAGTCGATATTATATTCTCATCACAGCCTTGTTAGTGTAGTTGTATACCTAGTGTTAAATGGTCTTGAATAGTTGAAGACGAAGGAAGCCAGCCGATTGGCGTCAACGCTGACCAATGTTGTTTAGACGGCCGAATTATTACTGGGTTATCCTGGCTCTGGTCAGACAGTGGGGTTAGCTTCCAAACCAGGAGGGACCGAATTATGTACAACCTTGGAACCAACAAACCGACAATGTCGAAACCACGTGCGGCATTGGTTTCCTTAGGCCTGTGCGGCACTATGTAGTGGAGCCGGGAGGATGATAGAAGCTTGCTTCGAAGGTTTGGATCTGTACCTAAACCGTGGGCTTGGCCTCTCTCGCTGTCGGGGAATTTTATGATTTGTTCACTAAAATTCTCCGGGGCATAAAGCGTGAAACCTTTAGACGGGGATCACCTCGCTAGAATCCTTCATTAGGCGAGACCGGTTCGCGGCCTCGCATCCTAAACACGGTTCCGCTGGTCGCAGGGACGGCCGCAGGTTATTGCGCATGAAGACATGGTCAGCAGACATCAGCAGACGCCAGCGTAACGAAACACTTTAAAAGACGAAATAGGATGTTCGTGGCTAGTTTAGTTGGCTTAACACTAGCCATGCTCCAAGTGCGCCCAAGCCACAGGTCCGTGTGTATAAAGGTACGGTGGACGTTGGAGCAAGATGCCAGGTGATGTACTTACCGACATGAAAAGGTTAAGTAGATTACCGACACTTCGGGAGACGCCAAGATGCTGTATATAGAACGTATTATTATCGTCATACTTCCCCCCCGGAGCCCCATAGGTATTCAGCTCCGAAGGGGAAATAATATGTAACGAGACATAGCAGCATAGGTAATGCAAATCATGCTTGGTAAGCGAGACGAGTTCATGTCGGG